ATAATTTCTATGTAATGATCAGCATGAACAATACTTTGAGATATCTACTATAATTTTATAATGTGATATAGAAATCTCTGTGATTCCATTTTGGACAAACTCTTGTGTCCTGCTAACGTTACTGTGGTCTGTCTACATTCATAGGCTAGGGAAATGCTAAATTTCACTCAGAAGTTAATGAAAAAAAGATGTATTTTTCCTATTTATGTTCACAGATTCTCTAAGTTATATCTTGTTCCCTGTGATATGTCAGCTTCCCAGACTCCAGCTTAGCAACCCAGACTCTGTAGTTGTAGCTGTCCCAAGAGCACCCAAGTGTCAGTCTATTTGTGTCTCTTGAATTCACTTTTAGCTTTTTTTAAAAAAATCAATTGATTAAATAACTTTTTAGTTAACAAATAAAAATCGTATGTAGTTATGGTATATAACATAATGTTGCTTTATAATATCATTGTACAATGGCTAAATCAAGCTAATTAACATATCTATGACCTCACATGCTTATTTTTTGTGGCAACAACACTTTAAATCTACTCTCTTAGCAATTTTTAAGTATACTTACACTTTTGGCTTCTAAGAAGCCAGCTCCACAAGGACTTGCAGATCATCAGTCTAGAATCAGAAGGATCCGTGGCAGCTCTGGGAAAGGTCATGGAGGAGCTGGGTCTGTGGCTGCCTTAGTTTCTCTCTCTGGAGCAGAGGTATCCAGGTCTTGAGTGTGAGGTTGCTTCCTGCCCCCTCCCCATCACAGGCGTTAGGTCCACTGGTAGGGGCCTTCTACACTATTTTCCTTTGAGGGAGAAGAACTCAGAAGCAATCCCTAGGGTCAGGAGACTTGGTTAAGTCACTCTGTCTCTCCAGGATCAGGTTTCCTCATCTGCAAGATGCTGGTGTCAGACGAAAGCTGTGATTTCCAAAGCATGGAGCTGTGCAGAGCCCCAAGGCTCTTTGCCCTCTAGGGGCCGGGAGAAGGCAGCTTGGCAGGGTTCTGAGCTCCCCATCCCAGCTTCAGTCAATCACTTATTTACGTACTGGAATCCCATTTTAAAAAAGAATTTTAAAAATATATATTTATCAGCAGTCCTCAAACATTTTGGTCCCAGAACTTCTTTACACTCTTAAAAAGTTATTGATGATCTCAAGAGCTTTTGTTCACAGGGTTATTGTATCTATTGATATTTCTCCTATTATTAATTAAACTATCTTTTTTTTTTAAAAAAAAAAAAAAGGTGTTGGAAGGGTAGACTTATTTTACACTTTTGCACATCTCTATAAAGTCTGGCCTAGAAGAAAGCTGGATTCCTATATCTGCTTCTACTTTCAATCTTCTATAATATTGCATGTCATGTAGCCTCTGGAAATTTCCACTGTCTACTGATGAGAGGAAGTAAGTTAAAAGGGCAAATATCTTTTTAGTATTTTCATGAAAATAGTTTTCCCTCAGGACCCCACTGAAAAGGGCCTCAAGGACCCCCAGAGGTTGTTCCTCAGACCACACCTGGAGAACCACGTTGTACGGAGCAGCCCCTGCAACGTGGACCTGCATTGTAACTCCTGACCAGCTACGCAGGGAAAGGTCTTACTTTTTGACATAGTCACTGTCCTCCAGATCACATAATTTTACTTTATCTTTTCATAGGTGTGCCCAAATGAAGAATAACATTCCCAAACCCTTTCACTGAAATAGGAGGAAATCTATTCCTATTAATTTCTGATTAATCTCATTACGTTAATTGTCATATATCCCTACAAAGGTAAGGTTGTGTTGGCATTGGCACATATCACCAGGGTCTCACCAACATTCCCGGCCTCTTGTCATTGCAGCAGAGTCATGGAGAGTTTTGCCTGTGGCCTTGGAGGATGGTGCTCTGGAAGTTCAGGGTCATATGCATTATTGGTTTCTGATCTCTGGATTCCAACCCTCTGCTTGCTTTGATAACTGTTTGAGTTCTGCCAGTATCTGACTTTATGGTGCCTTCTTACTAATAGACAACAGGAAGATACAGGGTCACATGCTTGTGACTTCCTTTCAGAATGGCTCTGTTACTTTTTCACTGGTCAACACTGGCATGTGACCCAGTATTTTCCAGTTACTAGTCAGCAAGAAGGGATGGTGAGGATGAGCCATTTTTTGTACTTTAGGAAGTGGCTTACAGATTAGCTGGGGTTGTCAGTTACCACTGTGGCATGAATGATGTCACAAATGTGCACAGCATATGGGGAGTTAAGGGTAAAGTATATGAAGTAAAATAAAATCTTAAGCCCCCCAGGTGAATGAATGGAACCCCTCTTGGCCAAGGGGACCCCAGAAAAACTGTAAAGCTGAGTTGCTGGCCATGAGAAGGGAGGTCAGACATGCTTTATCATATACCTTCCCTTTTTGGAGATATTCTTCATAACAATAAGATACTAAATCATTAACAGGCCTAAGGCTGTACAAGACAAAATTTAAAGCACACCTGAAGGCCATTGATTTACTTAATAGATCACTTGAGTTTTGGTAAATGTCCTATGGATTGTCTCTGATTAACAGACATCCTTAAAACATTCCAAGCCTTTAGACAAAGTTTTATTTCTTTAAGCAGTTATAAACAAAAGAATCTTTAAACCCACCTATAACCTGTAAGCCCCCACTTTGAGATATCTTGCCTTTTCGGGCCAAACCAATGTACATCCTTCCTGTGTTGACTCAGGGTCTTACGTGTAATTCTTGTCTCCATGAATGTATAAAACCAAACTGGAACCCAGCTACTGCGGACACATGTTCTCAGGACCTCTTGAGGCCTCTTGCTCCAGCTGGTCACACACATTTGGCTCAGAATAAACTGCTTTGAATTGTTTTATAGAGTTTGTTTTTTTTTTGTTGTTGTTCTTGCTTGTTTGTTTATTAACAAGTATCACACAAACAACAGAAAGATCTTGTGTACCAATGAAGCTCCTTTCTTGCTCTTTTGCCTAGCTATCTCCGCAACTTGAAGTGAGAACCAGGTACATTTCCCCTCTAAAAGGCCCCCTTATACTGGGGCAAAATATAAGGTGGATTTGTCTTTCCAGGAGTTCATAAATGCAGAAATCTAAAAGCTTTCTCCCCCCCCCTTCTCTCTCTGTGTGTGCACTTTCCCATATACTAAGCCTTTGAAGCAAACGTGGAGGACTATCGCGGGCATTATTATTTATGGTTCTTAGATGCCATAAAAAAAACCCTCTATACCCTCATATGGGACTGTGAAATTCACGTGCATGCTCATAGCAGCGTTGTTCATAATAGTCCCAAAGTGGAAACAACTCATATGTATATCAACTGATACATGGATAAACAAAATGTGGTATAGCCATACAACAGATATTATCCAGAAATAAAAAGGAATAAAGTACTGATACCTGCAACAGCATGGATGAACTTTGGAAACATTATGACAAGTAAAAGAAGCCAGACACAATGGCCAAGTATTGTACGGTCCCATCTGTATAAAATGTTCAGAATAGGGAAATTCATGAAAATAGAAAGTAAATTGCTGGTTGCAGGAATAAGGGGAGAGGAGAATGGTAAGTGGCAACTATGTGAGTATATAATTTATTTTGGGGGTGATGAAATGTTCTGGAATTAGACAGTGGTGATGGTTGTACAACTTTGTCAATATACTAGAAAACACTGGATTGTATACTTTAAAAGGGTGAATCTTATGGTAATGTAAATTATATCTCAATTTAAAAGACCCTACTTTAAGTAGCTAACGTAGAAATTTTCAAAACATATCAGTGATTCATTGAAACGATAGGAGGGCTAGAGAGTGAGGTTTGCAGGCTAGGGACGACACCCAGATTACCTGTAGGGGCGTCTACTGCCACTGCCCTTAGCACACACCTAGCAGCCTGCGCCCCAGTTCTGAGCACAGTCTGCCACAGTGCTTGTCCCTGCTGCCTCTGAAACATGCTGTGGCGTCGACATCCTGAGTTCCACATCCTGAGTACCTCTTTCTCTACACTTTCTTCTGCACCTAAATCACTCACAGGCACATCTCAATGGCTGGGCCCAGGAATGTGCCTCAACCTTGGCTGGAGGAGGGGCTGTGAAAGAGAATTTCTAGTTGCTTCTTTGGGAAGGGAGAATTCTCAAGGTGGGAAGTTCTTTAAGTTAATTTAAATATGACAAGAGTTATTATTGAAAGGTGCTGAGCCATCGAAGAACATGACGAATATCCATTAGAGGTGTCTTCCCACATTATGTAATTTCTATTTTAACTGTGCTTCACTTACTGAGAATAATTGATGGATTCAAATAACTAATTATTTGAATTAATGAAAAGCTGAGTTATACCAAGAGAACTTTTGAGGACAAAAATGAAGAAAGGAACAATATGAAGAACCAAGAGCTATTTCCGTTGTTCCTGTCACTCAGTTTATTGTGCTTTATTATGGCAGCCCTAGCAAACCTTTATGCTTACGTTCTCAGGAAATCCTACTTGATCACAGTATATTACTCTTGTTATATGTTTTTTACTCCTTTTGCTAATATTTCGTTGAGGATTTTTGCATCTGGGTTGGGGGATACTAGTGTACAGTTTTGTTTGTATACTATTTTTGTCTGGTTTTAGTGTCAGAGTAATTCTGACCTTGCAAAGTGACTTAAGGAAGTGTTCTATTTTCTGGAAGAGATTGTGTAGTGTTGATGTTTGTTTCTTCCTTAAATGTTTGATAAAATTCACCAATAAAACCATCTGGAACAGGAAAAAAAAGAGCTATTCCTTCTTTATTTATTTAGCAAATAGTTATATATTTAAAATATCTGTGCATATGGGCAGAGTGAAGAGGAGGGGCAAGATGCTGGTTCTTGAGCCCGTTAGGCTACATGGGCAGACAAGGAAGCACAATGCAATGTGACAAGCGAAGTAATCATATATGAACAGGCATGCAGAGGAGGGACGACTATTAGGGAAAAAAAAAAGCCACCTTCTCCTTTTATTAACAAATGGAGCTTTCTCCTATGTCACAGGGAGAGCAAGGTCCCTTTTGTGGTCTATTGGAAAATGAACAGTTGTTGTCAACTTTATAGGGCCATAAATCAATTGTGGCAGAATCTGGCTACATGGACCCAGTCACCTTTGCTCAGTGCTCCTCATGGATAGCTGAGGGACAGACACAGCAAAGAAAAAGACAAGGCTATGAGGTGAGTACTGTTGCCCATGCAAGTGGTGCTTTGAACAAGTGGCGTCTCTCTTTGTAAATTTTCCTGTCTCCTGCTCTGTTAACTGATCTGGTTACTCATACTTTTCTTCTGCACCTGATATTTTCTTTCTTTTCTGTAGAGGATAAGGAGTGAGGATGGGACAATGCATGGGGTGGAGGTGTGTGTGTGTGTATGTAATTTTTGTTGTTTCCATAATTGCTACATATATAACAGATGAAGAATTGATATCCATAATATGTAAAGAGACTTTATGAATCAATAACAAGAATGAATGAATGAATCAACAACATTGTAACAATGTACAAGCCAGTAGAAAAAAAAAGTCATGAATAGAAAAAAATAAAAATAAAAGAGGAAAAATTCTTTGTCCACATTGATTTATAGTTTGTTGCTGCATAAATACTGGTTTAATATGGCAGGGATATAGGGAAGAGGAGAGGCCAAGCAGCTGGGTTTAGGAGATTTCACAAAACCCAAGGGTTTTTGGATTATTTAGAGATCCATTAAAGACTTGAATATAAGAGATCCAGGTGACCCTGTTTGTGCTGGGCCCTTTGGAAAATGAGCCAATGATACTGGGAAAGTAGTCTGAACTTGTCACTGGCTGTGAGAACTAACAGAAAGAAAGGAGTCAAAAAAGATTCTTGGGTTTATTGATTTATTTTTTAATTGTGGCTATTCCTCAAGGTATTAATTACTTGAGGGGCAGCTCATTTGGCAGAATTGGCAGAAGTTGGGAGGGGCTGTGGGCAGAGATGATTTTATATTGCATTTGGATGTCCCCAGTTCAATATATGAATCTCAATCTCTGGGCTAGAAATACAGGCTGGATTACTGTTAGATGTTATATGAAGTCACATGAGTAGTGGCCATTGCTCAAGAAGAGTGTGTAATTTAAAAAGAGGACCTATATGAAAATATGAGGAATAGCAATGTTTAATGAATTAGGAGACTACAAAGAAAATTGAAGAGGAGCCAGGTGCATACGTGGAAAACAAAGACTGAAGGATACCAAGGAATTCATGGGTGGAGAGTTTCAAGGAGCAGGGAGTGGTTGATGGTGCTAGATGATTAGGACAGTGCCAATTGTGTTCAGCCAAGTCACTGGTGGCCTTGGCAGGAGCAGTTCCAGTGGAATGCAGGAAATATAAGCCATGCCAATAATAAATGAGGAAAGGAATACAGATGGTGTGGAGTTATCTGTGCAGAAGGTTGCTATGAAAGGAAAACAGGAAGTTATAATGGTACCTAGCGAAGTACACAGAGTCATCAGCATAGTCTAGGGTGACCTGGAATATATTTATAAGGGGGAAAAACACATTCAGAGGGAGAGGTTTATAGTGCAAGAAAGAGGAGAAATAATTGGTGAAACAAAATTTTTTAGAAATTCAGTTGCTGTGAGATCTACAGAATAGATGCAAGGACTATTCTTAAAAAAGAAGAGGACAAACTCATTGAGAGCAGAGGGAGAAAGATAAGAATTTAGCTAGATATGGCTAATTTTTATGGAAAAGCTTGGGTTGAGAATCAGAGAGATGAAATAGTTTCTGCAGAACAGTTGTTTTCAAAATAGACATTGGGGCCGGGCGCGGTGGCTCACACCTGTAATCCTAGCACTCTGGGAAGCCGAGGTGGGAGGATCGCTTGAGCCCAGGAGCTTGAGGTTGCTGTGACCTAGGCTGATGCCACGGCACTGTAGCCCAGGTGACAGAGCAAGACTCTACCTCAAAAAAGAAAAAAAAAAAAAAAAAGACATTGGAGATGTTAATGGGTGAGAATAAGAGTGTAGATGACAGAGATTGGGTTAGGAAAGAAGGATCAATTATTTAAATTACTGTCATGAAAACTAAGAGAAGCTGGCAATATCTTCATTCAGCTTGCAGGCCCAGTTTCTTGGGGAGGTTAAGGGCCCCAGTGACATCTACCTTGAGCCAGGTGCAACAGCCCCGAAGGCAGATGTTTGGATGGATGGTCTCATGCTATAGATCCTGTTAGCAGAATGGGGGCAAGGAAGATGAGAGCAATGGCAAGTTAAGTAATAGAGACTGAGGCCCAGGTCAGTTAGGGATGACAGCCAGGAGGGGTGGAGATTAAACGGTAATGGAAAGAGAACGGAAGCCTTGATTTGATCAGAGGATAAGGAACAATTGAAGTAAGGCAACGAGAGTGTAAAAGACATAAGCTTGTGACCAGTAAATGAGAAGTAAGGATTAAGATTTCAAAAGTGGAGCAATTCTGGAAGATGCCAAATTCCCTGATATAGCTAACATGTGGGGGTGATAGGAAATGACAGTGAAGAACATTGAAGTTCAGGGCTGTCATGGACCCGTGAGCCATGCTAGATGCTAGATTTATGCTAGATTTACCATAATTAGAGAAGAAAAATGAGAATACTTCCAGAATCTGACATTATTTTTGTAGATGAAGAAACACTGTCCAAATAGGTAAGCAGCCCATCTGTTAATAAGAAAACCAGGGCAAGAATTCAAACCCTGTGATTCCTAGTTGGGTATACCCTCCAACACAGCAAATATTTTAAAGCTTGCCTCAGTGCATGATCTTTGGGGTTACTATGAGCCACCAAATTTGTATGAGTTGTGAGCTGTGAAGGTACAAGCAAGCATTGTGCAGGAGATCGGGACCAGGTTCATTTTTGTTGCCAGATTCTTTAAAAAAATCAGTGGCCGTTAAACAGTTAAACACCTCAGCGTCATCCCATGGGAACTGGAAGAAGAGTTGGATTCAAATTTTGCTACTTTTCTTTCTCCCCAAATTGCCCTATTTTCTACTGCACAGGGTGGGTGTGAAGGTCAAAGTGATTATCTATGAGGACTTTGTGGGTCATCTTAACACCTCATCTCTATTTCTTATGTATGTTGTTCCACTCCCACTCTCCTTGGAAATACTTGTCGATATACTTGTCCTTGGAAAATACTCAATTCTCCCACAGGCAAAAAGGCGAAGCCCTAGAGGTGTTGGGTGTACGGACTGCAGTTAATTAGAGACACTGTGATGAGTGGAAACATATATTCTCTGGATATGTAAACGGGAGTGCTGACAATCAAGATTATTTTGCAAACAAGCCCACATTTTAATCACAGTGACTGTCCTGTCAGATTGGTGGGGCCTTGTGGTTTGCTTTAATGCAGTTATCTCTGTCCATCCAGATGGCGAGGAAGCTCAGTACATTGGAAGTCCTTCTGGTCATCTTCTTCCTAATTGTGTTTGCTGTGGATATCCTCTTGCTGCTGCTTCTGTTGGAGACACCGACAGGTAAGAGAGATGCTTGTGGCTGCTGGGTTGGAAGGCTGGGTAAAGAAAGTCCCTTCTGGATGCCAAAGAAATCATTTTATTCTTTCACACTTCAGCCTGGCACCACATTGCAGTATTCAAAATCCATATCCACAATTAGATTAAGTCAGTCTCCAAAAGATGTGTTCTTTTTTTGCAATGAAACCTTGAATGTTAGTGATATTCAGGGTCTCTCAATCCATTTTTAGTGCAGGTTTTTGGGGTTTTTTTTATTAGTTTTTTAAATTTTTTTCAGCATATTATGGGGGTACAAATGTTAAGGTTACGTATATTGATTGCCCTTGCCCCCCTATCCCCTCTCATTGGTGCAGTTTTAACAAGATGCAAAGTTATGGTTACCAGATGCCTCCAGAGTCAGGAAGTAATACAGGCCTCAATGAGAAAGAACAAAGGCCCAACTCATAGATGTATACTAGACCAAGCTTACAGTGAGAAGATGCTGTACTGATAGCAGAGCCCTACCTGCCCTGTCCTTTTCACCTGTCTCCACAGTAAACAGCAAGGCAATCTCTAAGGACTATCATGACTTTGAAAGATTATTTGAAAACCATTGATATAAACCATTATGAGCTTATTCATTCTTCTTCTCTAGAAAACCTTTCTTGGGTCACAAGACTCATGAAATTATTATCTGGTGTATATAAATAAGTAGTTTCTTTTACTTGATTATAAAAGTAGGTCTTCTGTGGCTGGCTTATGCCACTCAGCATAATATCCTCAAGGTTTATTCATGTTGTTGCTTATTGCAAGAATTCCTTCTTTTTATGTCTGAATAATATTCTACTGTAGGTACACACCACATTTCTTTATCCAGTCATCCTTCAATTAACATTTAAATACTTTCTATATGTTGGCTATTGTGAATAGCACTGTCGTTAACATGAGCATACTAATATCTCTTTGAGATTCTGATCTCAATTCTCTTGGATAAATAGCTATAAATGGGATTTCTGGATGATATCATATTCTATTTTACTTTTTGAGGAACCTCCCTACTGTTTTTCATAGTTGCTGCACCATTTTGCATTACCATCAACAGTGTACCAGTGTACCAATTTCTTCACATCTTTGCCAACACGTGTAGTCTTTTTTTTTTTTTTTTTTTTTTATAATGGCCATTCTAACAGATGTCAGGTGATAGCTCATTGTGGTTTTGATTTGCATTTTCCTGATGATAAGTGATGATGAACATCTCTTCTCATACCTGCTGGCTATTTGTATATCTTCTGTAGAGAAATGTCTATTCAAATCTTTAGCCCATTTTTAAGTCAAGTTGGTTTTCTTGCCATTGAGATCTGAGTACCTTATATAGTTTGGAAATTAACCTCTTATTAGATATATGGTTTACATTCCCATAGATTCTCTGATTGCCTTTCCATTTTGTTGATTGTTTCCTTTGCTGTGCAGAAATGTTTTTATTTGATGTGATTCTACTTGTCTATTTTTGCTTTTTTTTGCCTCTGCTTTTAGTGTTATATTTATGAAATCATTGCCAAGACCAATGTCATGAAGCTTTTTCGTTGTTTCTTTTAGGAATTTGCTACAGTTTTAGATCTTACATTTAAGTCTTGAATCCAGTTCTAGAACAAATTTTTATTTAAATATGTAGATATATACATAAACAAGCATAGTGCCTTAAACATAGTAGAGATACTTTGGGGTATTTTTGTTTTTGGAAAAAAGGCATTGAAGGAATCTATTATGCCTGCAGCAACTGTTAGCTCAAGTTTCAGCTAAAATCCTGGGTTACAGATGGCACATGGAGCCCACTGAACCACTCCTCCTTCTGATGTTGTTATATGGGGGAAGGTTACACAAAGTTGATAAAGGCTAACGTAAAACCAGCCAATGTTGAACAAAAGTGTACATTTCAAACAGGGCCAATAATATCTTCCTAGTTTGTAACCAGAGGTTGTTGGAAGTGAGTTGAACAAACTCATAACTCAAAATAAGGAAACAGACAAACAAACAAACAAAAAATGTGTGGGACAACTGGATATCTACATGTAAAAGAATAATATTGGATCTCTACCTGACAACATATATGAAAATTAACTCAAAATCGCTCTAAGACTTAAATGTAAGAGCCAAAACTATAAAACTTTAAGAAGAAAACATCAGTGTAGATAAATGTGATCATGGATTAAGTAACAATTTCTTAGATGATACTCAAAGCACAGTAACCAAAGAAAAACATAGGCAAATTAGGTTTCATCAAATTTGAAAAGTTTTATGCTTCCAGGGACACTATTGAGAAAGTGAAAAACAACCCACAGGATCAGGCCATGTAATTGCAAATGACATAATCTGACAAGGACCTAGTATCTAGGATATATAAAAATATTACAATTAAAAAAAACCCAAGTTGATTCTTAAATGAGCAAAGAATTTAAATAGACATTTCTCTATAGAAGATGTACAAATGGCCAGTAAACCTATGAAAGGATATTCAAACTCCTCAGTCATTTGGGAAATGTAAGTCAAAACACCAAGTTACCACTTCACTTCCTTTAGGATGGTTATAATAAAAAAACAGATAATAGCAAGTGTTATTGAGATTATGGAGAAATTGGAATTCTCATACATTGATAACATTGCTAGTGGGGACATAAAATGGCATAGTCACTTTGGGAAAAAGTTTGGTAGTTCCTCAAAAAGTTAAAGATAGAAGAAAAAGATGGAGTTAACCAAATTAGTCGGCAATTCCACTTCTAGGCATATAAACAAAAAAATTGAAAGCATATATTCACACAAAAACTTTTACATGAATTTTTATAGCAGAATTACACATAATAGCCAAAAAGTGGAAACAATCCAAGTATGCATCGACTGATAAATAAATAAAACATGTTATATTGGCACAATGGAATATGATTTAGCCATTAAAAGGAATAAAGCACTGATCTACGCTTCAACATGGATGAACCTTGAGAAAAACATTATGCCTCTTGGCCCAACACAAAAGGCCACACATTTTATGATTCTGTTTATATTAAATGTTCAGAATAGGCAAATCCGTAGGGATAAAAAATAGATTAGTGTTTACCAGGGACTGAGAGAAAAGGGAAATAGGAAGTGACTACTAATGAGTATATGATTTCTTGTGGAAGTGATGAAATTGTTCTGGAATTAGATGGTGGTGATTGGTTGCATAACTTTGTAAACTACTAATAGCCACTGAGTTGTACAATGGGTGAATTTTATAGTATGTGAATTTTATTTGCTTAAAAAGAAAACAAAAAAGCAAGTGTGTTTAATACTTTTCCAAGTGTTAAACGTTGTGTGTGAATGTAGATACCAGCTACTGGTGATTTGTTGATTGTAGAACTGGCTGAACGTCTGTAACTTTGCCACTTTCCTTTTTGGAACTGTGACTACACTACAAACTTTCAACTTTGTCCTTTAATTCCTATGCAGATACTTCGTTTACTCCAGAGTGCCCAGAGATCCCCCAATCAGAAAGGATAGACTGCACGCCTGGCCAGGTGGTGACAGAGGTCAGAGAAATAGGGTCGCTATTGGTGGCCCACTAGGTTTTATTGAAAGGAACCCAGTAGGTAAAGTAGGGAGAGGGAGGTGGTGGTGTGGTTTATGGGCCTCTGATTTGTTTGGAGTTATTTCTTTCTTTCTTGCCTTGTTGAAATAAACAATAATACTACAGAGGTGAGGGAAGCAGGGTAGAAAAAAGGGAAGAGTAAGAAGTGCTAATAAGAGTGTTGGCCTAAATCTAAAGTCCAAAGCGGAGGGTGATTACAGGTGTAATTAACCATACCTTAAGTGCAATTCCTAGGATAGCCATGGAAAGGTTAAATATTTATGGGCTAGGCTATGCATTCCTTGAGAATAAAGGTCACCAACCACATGTAGATGACTCAGTCACTTGTAGAACTCAGGTGGTTTATTATAACAGTAGACTTCTGAAATTATGTTCTTGACAACAGAGGTCCCAATGAACATGTTGTAAAGAACACGGGTTTTCTCCCTAAGTAGCTTCCATAAGAATATCAGCTATTTGAACCCTGCTTAGTTGTCACTTATGACTTTGTCATAAAGATTATATGTATTTATATATTCAAATTTTATTTCTTTACCCCATAGCCTACATTCTATGTCCCACTGTGATGTTAATTAGGACTGCATTGAATTTTAGGTTAAATTTTAAACAATGTTGACATCTTGATAATTTTGAACCTTCTTGTTCTAAAAACATAGAAAGTCTGTTCCAGTTCTGTGTATGTGTGTATTTCTTAGCTGATTTTTATATTTGTCTTAAAATGTGTTTTATTTGATATCAATTATGATATTTTCCTTTAGGCATTTCATATCATTTGTTTTTCTCATAAATATAATCCATTATGTTTTCTATCTGGTACTTCTTTTATTACAATGCTTCTTTTTTTTACTAATGATTATTTTATATTTATTATTTTATTTTATGTTTATACAGTATATATATTATATTTATTATGTAACTGGCCAACTGAAATTTCCTATTGTTTCTACAAAAGGTGTTTTTGTTTAGTTGTTTCTCTTGAGTTATTAAGTATAGAGTTATATCCTAGGCAAACTATGATAATTTTGCTTTCTATTAGTATTATATTTATATCTCATTCATTTACATATTCAATTGCATTGTCTAGTTCTGCCAGAATAATATAAATAAAATGGTTATGATTGGCAACACTTATTTCTGCTTGACTTTGATGGAAGTTCTTCATATATAAAGTAATAAGCACTATGTTAGCTCCTGGCTTGAGAATTGTTTTGTTTATAGTAGGAACCATGTTAATATTCCCATTTTTAAGAGTTTTATTGTTTTAAACAAAAGGAAAGTGGATTTTCCCCCCAACAATGTAGTATTGAACTTTTCAAACATAAAGAAAAGTTGAAAGAATTTGACAGTCATCCTTATTACCTACCACTTAAATTTCACTATTAATATTTTACCTTGTTTTCTCATAGGTATCAGTTTTTCCCCCAGTTTATCCATCTATCAATCCATCTTATTAATATTTTATGAATTTTAAAGTAAATTTCAGAAACTAGTTCACTTTTCCATACATTCTTCACCATGTATATAGTTAGCTACAGTTCAATGTTTGATTATAGTTGTTTACCTTTAGCTATTAAATGTATATACAATGCAAATTCAGAGTTACACATTTTGCACAACTCTTAGGAATACATTTGTTGAATTATGGAAAATGACTAAACCTGTGTAACCGCAACCCCTATCAAGATATAGAATGTTACCATCACCACAGACAGTTTGCTCTGACCAAATTATTCCCAAATTATTCCCACTTGTACACCCTTGAGAGATAATCACTGATATGATTTCTCTCCAGCGTATTTTAGTTTTGCTTTTTGTAGAACTTCATATAAATGGAATCATATAGTATAATATAAAGCCTCTTTCAGTACATTCTTAAGATTCATCTATAGTGTCGCATATATTATTCTTGCATTGTTGAGTAATGTTCCATTTTACAAGCATACCACAGTTTAACTTTTCTTCCACTGACACATACTAGAATGTTCATGGCAGCGGTACTCACATTTTCATGCAAAACTATCCATTACATCCATGTTTTCAAATTTATGAACTTGAAGTTACACTAAATATATCCTGAGCTCAACATTATTTTTCTGAGAGTTATTCTATTGTTAGGTGTAGTTATAGATTATTCATCCTTTTTTCTATATCCACTCTAGTTTTGATAGCATTTGTGAGTTTTCATTGAAGGATTGTTTTGAATAGTGCTGCTCTGAACAGTATAACACATGTCTTTTGGTGAACATTTGGAAGAATTTTTATTGGCTCTATACCTAAGAATGGAATTTCCAGTTAATAAGTATGTACATGTTTAGCTTTAGCTAATACTACTACAAAATAGTTTTTCAAAGTATTTGTACCAATTTACATTTCTTTTAGCAGTACATAAGAGTTCAATTGCTCTAAATCCTAACCAACTGTTGATATTTTCTCCTTTTTCAATATAACCATTCTATGGTTTTTATTTTCATATCCCACATGACTAATGAAGTTAAACACGTTTATGTATGCTTATTAGCTAGTTGGATAATCATATTTGTGAAGTATATTTTCAATTATTTGCCCTATTTTTTTCTGTTGGGCTGTCTTTTTTTAAATTGCTTTGTAGTCATTATTTATGTATTCTGGATACAAGTCTTTTGTTAGTTACATAAATTTTAACAAAATATATCTTAGTCTGTGGTTTGGCTTTTAACTGTCTTAATGATGACTTCTGATGACAAGTAGTTATTAATTTTAATGTAGTTCACTTTATCATTTTTTCAATGGTTAGTGCATTTTTTTGTTTTATTTAAGACGTCTTGCTTACTCCAACATCAAAAATATATTCTTATTCTTCCTCTAGAAGCATTACTGGTTTATCTTTCAAATTTAGGTCTTTGATCGATATAGTGTTAATTTTTGTGTATGGTATCAAGGAAGAATCCAGAAATTTTTTTCATCTTGAATTTCTAAAAGATCCATCACCACTTACTGAAATGACCATCTTTTTCCTTCCATATTGTAGTGTCACCTTTACTATAAATCATGCCTTTATGTGTGTAGATCTGATTCTGAAATCTATTTTGTTCAATTATTAGTTTGTTCTTTTGCCAATACCACCCTGTCTTCATTGCTTTTGCTTTATAATAAGTCTTAATATGTGGTTGTATAAGTCTTCTAAATCATTCTTATTTTTCTTCAAGATTTTCTAGCTTATTCTTTGCTCTTTAGTATTAGAATCAGCCTACTAGTTTCCTCACAAAATCTACAGGAAATTTTATTGTGATTGCTTAAAATTTACAGGTTAAATTTGGGAAAATTACCATCTTTTAAAGAGTGAATATTGTACTTTGTAGATATGATATATCTCTCCATTTGTTGAGATTTTTATTTTGAAATTTTGAAATCTTACACATTTCTGTGCTATATTTCTTCTATTTGATATTTGATTCTATTTAAATATTGTTATTAATTTTAATTTCCTGTTTATCTGTTGTTGATATATAAATTTAAAATTAATTTTGAATAACACTAAGTTCCTTTTTTTCCCTAAATTTTTAATATAGTTTGAGATAGTTTATCCAAAAGGCAAGATGCTACTATAGTAGGTTTTAGAAGATAGAATTTTCTGAAGACTAATTTTAACTAAACATAAGAAACAAGATGGCAATAACATACTATTAAAGTGGAATTTCTCAATTTTGGAAGAAATTGACATCATTTATAGAATTTAAGCATATATCAGGGACTCTACTGAAAAAATCTCTGCATCAAATGGAAGTTGGTCCGAATAATTTCCAAGCCAAATTTCAGTTCTTAAATCATATTAGTCAGTACTTTCTGATTTTAAAATGACATAAAGTCTATTTGGAAGATAACTCCTTGGAAAAGGTTGGGGTTAAGGCAAGAACAGAGATGGGGAGTCTGGTTGGGAGTCCACACTGTAGTCTAGGCACCAGTTTATGAGCGTCTGTGCTATTGCGGTGGCAATGGACCTGGAAAGGAAGGAAAGCAGTGTTGCTTTTCTGTTTCCATGGTCAACACAATAACACAGACCCTCATAAACTCAGGCCTGGATTATGGCAGTTGATACACAGCGAGTCTCCCTGTCCCCATGCTATGTGGGAGAGACGGGGGACTGAAGAATTGGGAAGTAATTGCCTCTGAGGGTTGACCTTTGCTGTGTGGGACACTGGTAATGACTTAAAACTGACATTGGGATGTGAGGGCAGACTGCGTGTCTGACTGTTTATTGCTTTTTTTATGGAGGTCTGTAGACTTTGAAACAGTTTATGGCAATGAAATTGACCTTTTGGACCTTACTGTCCTCAGTTTCAGAGGTAGCAGCGGTACTTAACGCCTGCCTCCTCCTCAGGAAAATCAGTTTTCCAGATGCCTTGCAGAACCCCAAATTCTTTCTCCACTGATCTCTTCCAGGCTTTTTTTGTTATCTAAAGAGAATGAGATAGTAATGTCAATTAGATCTATGAAGAATGAGTACATTTTAAAAGATGGTATGGTTACAATATAATTATTTTGTTTATAATAGGCATGTAACACTGATCGAAGTTATAGTCACAGTGTGGCTTTTCAGAGCAATTACATCAGATACTAGCATTTAAAATACTTGTCCAGACTATCCATTTTCAAATGAGTAGTATCGTGACATATTTCTTTTTTTGTCACACAATCTATACTGAATACATTCCTTTAATAGGAAAGATTCAGGCATTATAATTATGTATAGAATAAAATGGGGAAGTCCTTATTCATGTTTCTTTTCTGCCTCCAAATTCCCTCTTCAGAATAAAGTCAATAGCTTAGTGTATACCCTTCCCTTGCTCTTTCTAAGCTTGTGTATGTGTGTGTGTGTATGTATCTGTTTTAACACAAATTTGATTACACTATATTTTTTTCTAACTTGTGTTTTAAATGTAAGGCATTTAAATTTACTACATTATCATATTTTTAAAATAGTTTGCTTTCATTGAGATGATAATATGATTTTCTTTTGTCAATGTTGTGAATTACATTAAAATATTTCTTAATTTTAAACCATTCTGGCTTTTGCTTGATAAGCCCTATTGGATATTATACATTAATTCTTTTAATACACTAATGAAATTAAATTGGTAATGTATTATTAAATTTATTATTTATTATTATTATTTATGTATCTATTTATATATTTATTTTTAAATTTTATTTATTATTATTTATTTAATGTATTATTAAAATTTTTCACATCTATGTTTTTTCATTGTAATTGCCTTATTTATTTTTGAAATTGGCTTATATATTTTTGTTTGCATGTTTATTTGGACTATCCTATTCAGTTTGTTGCCAGAATTATTCTAAAATGAATTAGCAATTCATAAAATGAATTAGCAAACTTGCAACATTTTTCTATGTTCTGAATATATAGTGTATATAATATGAGGATATTCTATTCCCTAAACCATCTGGGCAAGACACCAATTTTTTTGTTTTTTTTCAGGAAAAAATCTTTATTCCTCACAATTTTCTATGGTTACTGGTCATTTCAAATTTTCTATCATTTCTTATCTATTTTTGATTATTTACAATGTTACTATGTAAAGATTCATTTAATTTAGAGTTCCACATTTGCTCACAAAATATTTGTACAGTTTTCTCATAATTCTTACTCATGTTAAAATATCCTGTATATCTGTTGTCATTTTCCATTTTTCTTTCTAACCTGTTTTTCTTCCTTTCTTTTTGTCAAAGTAAGACTAGATAAAGTATTTATTTCCTTGATATTTTCAAGGACTCTAATTTATTCATCTGCAAAACTAATGTCAAAACATATCCTCACACTATAGTAATAGTGTAGAACTACAACAGGAATTGATATATAAAACATTAATATATAATAGGAAGTCCTAAAACACATATTCATATGTTCATATGTGTGCGCTTAAATTTAGTTTATAATAAAAATGACATTTCAAATCAGTGGTGGAAACAAGGTCCATTTAATTAATGGTGTCTGTTTCTCCTGTGCTTGCTGGCAGCACTATTTCACTCAAATCTAGACGAAACAACACACTTAATGATGTTTTCAACTGATGAATGTAGATTCTTGCTTCTTTTCTCTTCAATCACTGCATTTATTCTTACTATTTTATATACTTTTTATGGGTTTATTGTGTTCGTTTCTAGTTTCTTGGGTTGTACATGGAGTTGTTCATCATCTATAACATTCCTTTCTCTTTCTTTGATTCCCCTTCTTTTCTTTTTTTCCTTAATACTTCTCTTTCACTGTTTTCTTTTTGTTATTTAGTTTAAATATTGAGTTTTGGCTGGGCGTGATGGCTCATGCCTGTAATCCTAGCACTCTGGGAGGCTGAGGTGGGAGGATCACTCAGGGTCAGGAGTTTGAGACCAGCCTGAGCAAGAGTGAGACCCTGTCTCTACTAAAAATAGAAAGAAATTAGCCAGACAACTAAAAATCTATATAGAAAAAAATTTAGCCAGGCATGGTGGTGCATGCCTGTAGTCCCAGCTACTCGGGAGGCTGAGGCAGAGGATTGCTTGAGCCCAGGAGTTTGAGGTTGCTGTGAGCTGGGCTGATGCCACAGCTCTTTGTCTCAGAAATAAATAAATAAATAAATAAACAAACAAATAAATAAATAAATAAATAAAATAAAATAATTAATGAATAAATACATATTGAGTTTTAAATCTTGTTCAAATTCTTAATATTCTTAACATTTCACATTTCTTATTGCTTTTACAATGGAAGCAATAACTGCATGCCTCTCTCTGAAGACAATCATATTTAATTATATTTATTTTGAAGCCTTATAATGTTTTCTCTATTAATTGTTTCCTCCATTTTGTTTCTTTCATTTATTAAGTTTGGTGACTTCTATCACAGTGTTGGATTCTTGCAAATGTTTGGTGATGCTTGACTGTCATCTTTGCATTTGAATATCCATAACTGCCTATGCTAATTACCTTGGTTCATGCTGGGTATTTAAGAGGGAAGGAAAGGACTTCTGGAGAGACTGTGGATATTTATCTGTAGGTGGTGACAGTAGGGCGTTAGCTGGCACATTGTCATGCCTTCTGGCTCCCAGCATCTCTCCTCACTTCCTTAGACTATGAACAAATATTAATACTATGGGATGCCTGCCAATCAGCAAGAGCCCAGCATTAGCTGTAAGAAATGTTGAGTTGAGCTTTCCAATTAAGCACCCAAAACTATTCCCGGGCTCTCTTCCATTTCTACACACTGAGTTGGCTTGGAGCCGTTATCTTTCTCCTCCTGTGTTTTAAGCAATGAATATATTTTTCTCTAGAGCTGATAAAGTCTATTTCCTATATTTCAGAATTTTATAACACTCTGGTCTGCCATATTGCAATATATTTTGCTTTTTTGTAATGCATTTGTATTTTTCACATCACTTTTCTCACTTAATGTAAATTTAGTTGGGTGAGGAGGCTGATGCCTTTTATTCAACTTGTTGATTACATTTCCTATCTGTTTTATTTCTTGCAACAAAATAATTATATGTAAATTAATCTCAAAATTCTAGGACCTTTAGAAAATAAATCTTGCTAAATAATAATACAAGAATATCTATAATCAAACCACTCTGAGAAACCACATGTGATTTGTTAACTTATAGACCTTATAGACATTGTGAATTTTTTATGTCACCCCCTGCCCTAGTTTTATCTTAATAGTCTCATTTCCTTTGCTTTACTTTTCTTTCTTTTTGGAAATGCATTTCTTCTTCCTGTATTGTTGGCCACTTTCATAATTCTTCCTCATGAGAAATTCCAAACCACTTGGATTGGCATCCAGCCCATTCATGGTCTGAATACCTACTATGTGCTTCCAGCCTCATTTCTCTTACTCAGTGCTTTAGGCACAATTAAATTTGCGGTTTATGTGAATGTATCATGCATTTCTGCTTTCTATGCCTGGAATACTGCTCTACTGCTCACCTGTCTAACCTCTCCCAGTACTTTAGGACTGGCATTACCTTTCTACTACCTGGAAGTCCTCCCACCCCACTCCTAGCCTCCCAGGCTGGGTACAGTGGCCGTGTGTGGGCACACTCTGTTGGAGCACTTGTCTCATTGACTTCAGAAAAAATGTCAAAGCTTTTACTGTGTGTGTAATTGCTTTCTTAGCTTTCTGGGTTTACCACTAGACTGTAAGTTTGCTGAAAGCACAAGCTATGTCTTATTTCTCTGTGTTTTCATTTCCTTGTCTGGTATATAATAAATGCATATTGGATGGCTGGATAAATGTATAAATATAGGATTAATAAATTAATGAGCAATGGCCTGTCTTCAATTCTCCCTGTAATAAAATGGGAACAAATAAATAGACAAATAATCCTTTCCTTCTTTAATCTTACAATGCTAACTCTGTGCCACTGTTTGTTACAGGATGTCTGCAGGTGGCACTATAAGTGCTGCTGGAAGCTGGAGGCAGATGTCAACATCCCTCCATGCTTCTTCCCCAGGAACTGGGGCTATGAAGTCAGCGATGGCCCGACAGATAGTAGCACAGGTGAACACTGCCCTGATGCTGCCCCAGGGAATGACTCCTTATGGCCCAGATGCGGTCACTGAAAAATAAAAGCTAAAGTCAGTCTCTCTCCCTCTCTCCCCCTCACCCGCAGGGCTTACCGCCCACTTGAAAAGGTTGCCATCTCCATCTCTGTTTGGAAATGATGTCAACAACACCTTCTTCACAGCCGAATTTCAGACATCCAATCGGTTGCATTTTAAGGTTGGTTTGGGAGTCACCACTAACTACATCTCTGAAGAAAGCTGTGTCCCCATACTGGGTTTGAGTTGCAGAGGCAGAAGGTACCTCTCTTCCTCTCTGCAGGAATCTCTGGATGGGATGGGTAGGCTCATTTTTATTTGATGGAGCACACGTGATTCCATCATTTCTTCTCCCACATCAGAAACCACAGGGGCAGGAATTAGAAGGTATTCTCATGGAGGGCTCTTTTGGAGGGAGCATCTTTTATAGCCCTACAAGGAAGTGGGCTTATGTGCAGTTGTCCCTTATGTTTTCCTTTTGACAGATCACAGATTCGAATAACGTGCGCTATGAAGTCTCCCATGAAAATGTGAAGCTGCTTAAAGCGACCGCTAATATCTCCAATTTGAGCTATCAAATGGAAGTCACCAGAAACCCCTTCAGCATCAAAATAATGAGGATGAGCAACAACAGAGTCTTGTGAGCTTTCCAGCACTCTTTGTGCATCTCTGAATACACAGTCCCAGTATCACTTATTCTGACTTACCCTGGGTAGGCAGTGGGACCAGTCTGACTTGGAAGAATCTTTGAACTTCAGAAAAAATGTCAAAGCTTTTACTGTAAATTAACAGTGGTAATCTGTCATGATTGTAGAGCAAATGATGCTAAAATGTAATGTACTAGTTTGCTAAGTTACATAATACATAAATATTATGCATAATATATATTATAATATAAAAATATAACATATAACTATATTTTATATCTACAAATGTAGTTGTGGTTCACATATGGTATAAAATAGGGGATTTTATTGTTTTAAATGATCATTCATACTAGAACTCAGACTTCACTGTTTATCGTTCCAAATCACTATTTCCTGTGAATCCTAACTTCAAGAACTCAACAACAGTTTGAGCTTAAATAAGAAATTGTACTGGAGGAAATAGAAGTATGAATGTCAGTAAAAGCTGTATTCAAATCCTGGCACCAGCAAATCAACAGCCAGTTGTGTGACAGTAGGCAAAGTAACTCACTCATCAGCATCAATTTCCTTGTCCATAAAAAGGGATTAAAAAAAATCCACTTTTGCTAGGGGCAGTGAGACACGGCTCACGTAGCATCCAGAGCGGTGGCTGGCCTGCAGTGGATGCACGGCAAATATAAGGTCACGTCTGCCATCTGTCTCTCATCATCCAACCTGAGGTCCTGGTGTCCCATCACTATGCTGTGTGCCTCTAAATCAAAGGACCAGAGATGCCCTAGAAAGGCCTTCAAAGGTAGCATGGAAACTGATGGTAACACCTGAAAGAACTGATCTCTGAGAGTACATGGAAAGGAGCAGATTGCTTCCCAGCAGAGAAAAGAGAGTTGTGGGGTGACTCTTGCTCTTATCCCATGCCCTAGGCTGGACACAAGCATCGGGCCCCTCCAGTTTGCTGAGCAGTACTTGCAGCTGTCTTTCCGACTGCCCAGTGCCAACGTGTATGGGCTGGGAGAACACGTGCACCAGCAGTACCGCCACAACATGTCCTGGAAGACCTGGCCCATCTTCACCAGGGACACCACCCCCACTAAGGTGAGGTGCCCTTCCTCCTCCTCACAGCAAGGGGGTACATCTGTATCTTATTTTGCTCATTTTAGGTGTGCTGGTGTTGAGGAATGCTTGTCTATGAACTCAGAAATATAGCAGTATTAGAAATAGAACATTTTTAGAAAACTATCAATTTTCCAGCAATGAGACATATAGCAATTTTAAAAAATCTTACTTCTAATAGAAAACAAAATTTAAGGACTATAATAGAGCCTAGTATATATTAAAAAAGATTTCTGCAAAATTACTATGTCTGGCTTTGATAAGGGAGGAGAGGAGAGCTTCAGCAGGAGCCACGAAGCAGAACTTTGTGGACTAAAAGTATCTCTTGGGACAGCTTTCACATTGCTCTAGATCTTTGCTAGTCAGAATACGTTTTAGCAACAGCAGTGTTGGCATCAACTGGAAGTTGTTAGAAATGCAGAGTCTCAGGCCTTACCCCAGACCCTCTGAATCCAAATCTGTGTTTTCACAAGACCCCCAGGTGATTCACATGCCAAATTGGGAGAAGAGCTGCACTAGGCCAGTGCCTCTTAACTTACCTGGAACGAAAGATGTGTTTCCTCTTGTTTGATGACTCTAGCATGGGCAACACTTTTGGAAACTACAATTAAAATATGTTATTGCAAAAATGAAATAAAAATATCCAAAGACATACAAAATACAAGTCCAAATGGAACAGACATAAAATTACTCTTTTCAATTACTATCAAAGAATTTCTAACTCTTTTGATTTTTGTATTTACCTTTTTGGTGACTGGAAACAAAGGCATTTGGAAGGTATCAGTCCACAGACAACACTGAGTAGCGTTGGTTTGTAGAGCATGTCTTGAAGCTTCCATTGTGCACAGGAGGGAGGGGACTGACATTTTTTGCAATTCAAATTTTGCAGGAGATGAACAAAGCAAGTAGTGCATTAACTTATAGTCCATCTACCAGTATCTATGTAACGTAGGGAGTGCACCTATTGAAGCGAACAAAGAGGAAAAAGAAATGGCCAGCACATTCACTAATATTTTTGGTCAAGAACCTTGACAAATATGGAATACTAAACATGTTTGACTTTCTACAGCTGAAATTCCAACTGTGTAGTCACAGATCAGATTAAATGCCTGCCTGCTTGCCTGCATGCCTTTCTTCCTCTCTCCCTTTCTTTCTTTCTTCAATTGTTTTTTAAATTTTGTTTGTATTTTCTCGCAGTGTGATGCCATGAGTTTTCCTGGCTCTCTCTCTCTCTCTCTCTCTCTCTCTATATATATATATATATATATATATAAAGTTTATATATATATATAAATTTTTTTTTAAGAGACAGGGTCTCATAGTCTCTGTTGCTCAGGCTGAAGTACAGTGGTGCAACCATAGCTCACTGTAACCTGGAATACCTGGGCTCATCTCCAGCTAATTTTTAATTTTTTTTTTTTTTTTTTTTTTTACAGACTGGCTTTCACTATGTTGTCTAGGCTGGTCTCAAACTCCTGGCACCTGGCTATAATTTTAAATTTAGTGTAGGCTTATTGGTCTTCTCAATTTTGTATATCATGATGATTTTTTATTTTTTTCCTTCTTCTGTAATTTGCCATTATCAGTATTATTGTCCTATAACAGGGACGAAGATTGTGACACTTAAAACTGGTGAATCTTATGGTATATAAATTATGCCTCAATCAAGGAACTCTGCATATTCTGTTCTCAATACCTTTCTGTTCTTACAGCTCTTAGGGTTATACACACACACATTATCTTTTTTTATGTCAGTGCTTGTCACAGCTCTGTCACAGGTTCAATATATTTCTCTTTTTTATTTTTTAATTTTAAACTTTTTTTACTAAGTGTTAATATTATATGTTAATTAAGGAAATATTCGAAAATATAATTGGGCACAAAAAAGAAATTTGAAATTGCTCATAATACCATCACCTGCTAATAGTTTAGTATGTATCATTGCAAATATTTTCCAATTTTTTAAAAATAACTTGATTGAGGCATAATTTATATACCATAAGATTCACCAGTTTTAAGTATACAGTTCAATGATTTTTAGCACATTTACTGAGTTAAGTAATCATCATCATAATCCCGTTTTAGAACATTGTTTTCACCCTAGTAGGATCCCTTCTTCTTTTTTAAACTTTACCGCCATTCCCACCCACCCCAGTGCCCATTTTGGCTCCAGGCAATCACTGATCTACTTTCTGTCTCTGTATATTTGTCTTTTCTAGGCACTGCGTGTAAATGGAATCATGCAATTTATAGTCTTTTGTGTCTGCTTCTTTCATTTAGCGTTAAGCCTTTTGAGGTTTATTCATGTTGCAGCATGTACAAGTATTTCATTTCTTATTGTCGCTGAATAGAATTCCATTGTCTAGATATAATACAGATTGCTTATTCCTTTGCCAGTTGATGATACTATTTCAATACCCTTTGGTACAATACTAACCTATATCAAGTGTTGAACAAGTACATGTTATAGATGGGTTTTGATATTATTTTGGAGTGAATAAAAATGTTTTTAACACATGCTACTATTATCATTTTCTTCTTTTTTTGCTGACAGGGCATGATTAATCTGTATGGAGCTCATACATTCTTCCTGTGCCTTGAGGACAGCAGTGGCTCCTCTTTCGGAGTTTTTCTGATGAACAGTAATGCCATGGGTAGGAAGCTTCTTTTTATCTTCTATGGGGAGGAGTATGTTGTGGGATTCTGCTTTTATTTTAAAAAAATCACTTTTATGATGAGATCACTATTTAATAAAAGGTATATTGAACCTAAAGTACTTTTATTGAAACTGAAACTTGAAAGTAGGTTAACCTGTTTACGAATCTAATTCATCCTTAAAGCTATTTTTATTGAAAACTGCTTCCAGGGTCTCCTTTGATGTAATGTTTCTCTGAATATTCTGATAGGATCCACTGATAGATATACTCCACAGATATCTGTAGCTTTCAACGTGTAACCCATACTGTATGTTTGCAGGCAGCAAGACTGTGTTCTGCAAGCTGTTTCTCGTAGCCTGTCCTTTCTCCACTCCAGAATCTTCTTCCTCCAGCTTCTGGATTAATGGTGTCCTAATAAGCATTTTAAATTAATTTAAAAATTTTAAATTGTAGTCAAATTTATCTAATGCGGTTTTTAAAACTTTTTTTTTTTTAGGTTAAATCACTCATAAACCCCAGAAGTTTATGTTTTCATATGGCCACACTAAAATAAAATTTATTCTGCTTCCTCTTAAAAAAAATAAACTTTAATTTTTCTTTGGTGTTTTACTCATTCAATATTTTAATAAACTTCAACAATCCTCTGATAAAAGGAACATGTGTGGTCTTCATCCCTTTCAAAATGAGACTGAGACTATTTTGGACTGGTCAGCTATTCATACTCTTGAGAAATGTATATTTTCAACCCTGAGATTTTAATAACTTTAATTTTAATCTTTTCAGAGGCCACCCTTCAGCCTGCTCCTGCAATCACTTACCGCACAATTGGGGGTATTCTTGACTTTTATGTATTCCTGGGAAACACTCCAGAACAAGTGGTTCAGGAATACCTGGAGGTATGGCTTTGCATTTAGATAGTCATCATTCATTGCCGTTATCTCATGCACTCATGAAGTAACAGAAGAAAAATAAAATTATTAACAAACTCTATGGGTCATAAATGCTGGGATTGTGAGTCTTTCATCTAGTGTTTGTTTATTTTCATGACATTTATTGGGCGCTTTCTGCATGCTCGAGAGGCACTGTGCAAAGCTTGGGGAATGCAAAAATAGGACAGACATCATCCTGCTTTCAACGAACTCATAGTCCATCCACGTGTAACCAATCATCTCCAAGACCTAAGGCAACAAACCGGCAAAGTGTATTCATTCATTCAATAAATTAAAATTCAATGAAAAGGGACTCTGTGAAAGGAACTTTGCTAGCTATTTATGTTTGATTCAAACTATAGGACAGGAAGGAACTTTGGACATCATTTAACTTAAACTTCCTACTTTACAGATTAAAAACCTTGGGCACAGAAAGATGAAGTGGTCTGTTATAGATGACATGTAAAGACATATATGAAATATGGTTCCAGATGCCAGTGAATTTAAAATCAAATGCGAGGGCTATGGCAAAGCCTGAAATAATTGTAATAGGAAGCACCTTGTAATAGATGTCATGAATGAGGTGCAGATAAGCTGTATGGGAATTCAGAGGCGTGGGAGAAAGTGCCCTCATAGCAGAGGGTGGGCAGTCTTAGGGGAGGATAGGAGACAGGACTCAGGGTGTTGGCTTCAACAACTTGGAAGACTTGGATTTTAAACATTCCAGTATTTTGTCACCCATTCTACTCATAATCCCATCAGCCCTTATTCCTTTATCCTTAGCACATAATGCTGTCCGAAATTACATTAGACATTTATTTCCTTTAAGCTGTGTGAGGGCAGGAACTATGTTTGCTTTTTGCCACTATATTCCAAGTGCTCACATCTGCCCTTGACACACTGTAAACACTCAGGAAAATACTTATTGAATAAAAAATATTACTGCTTTGCCCCACTCCCAAGATGCCACCATTATTCAAGTATTTTCTGTAAATCTTATTATTTCCTGATGTTGCAGTTCTTGGGAATATCTTTAGGTACTTAGTAAAGAAGGATGATTGTGGAATTGCACAGATTACTCTAGCAGATGACTCCTGACTCTGACATTTTCAGCTCTCGGAACTTTACGGCAAATAAAATGGGGCTGATATTTCCAGCGTTGGGCATAGTGTTACAGACAGTGTTTATGCTAAAAGTGTAGACATTTCTTTACTTCTCCTTTCAGGTTGTTGGACGACCATTCATGCCATCCTACTGGAGTCTTGGGTTCCAGCTCAGTCGCAGGGATTATGGTGGCATCAACGGATTGAGAGAGGTTGTAAACCGCAACCGTTTAGCTGAGATCCCATACGTAAGTTGGGACTTCTCTTATCATGCATTAAGCACCACTTTCTATCTTCTGTCTTTTGCATCAAGTTCAATTCATTAGAAAAATATAGGTAGATTAAGAGATTGATAGACACACTGTCAGAAATTTGCATGCTAAATTACCTATGTGATCCTCGAAAGTGTACAGTTTGTGTAATCATATGGGTATGGCTTTGAATTTTAGCTTCATATGGCTATGCAATATTGGGCTAGTTAATTAACATACCTTAGTCTTAGTTTCTACCTTTATAAAATAAGAATGTCAGACTTTTTTGGTGAGCTAGTAGTAAGGAATGCCTTATACTATGCACTTATAGCATCTGGCACAGAGAGTGAACTCCATCAAGGTCAGCTATTATTTTATAAGAGAAAGCAACAGCTGCAGTGACATGGTTAACAAGAGCTGATGATTATAATAGTCACTTTCAGGAAATGAGTTTCTCATAGTGACCTTGTATACCGCCCCCCCCCAGATTTATTAGGCTCTAATTGCAAAGTATTTATGATAGTCAATGTCAACCAGAAAATCAAAAGATAATTAACTGTAATATTTGATAAGCTCCTGCAGGAAATGTATAACACGTGGTTAATGAAGTTATTAAAACAACTTATTCTGGGCTAGCTCTTTGGAACTTGGGTGCAAGCATGTATGTGCTAACAATGTATGTGCTAACATGCTAACAAGCATGTATGTGCTAACAAGCATGTATGTGTTAACATCTGAAGGAAGATTGTACAGATGACATGACTTTGGCTTTAACTTGGGATTCTTCAGTCCCCTCTCTGAGCAGTGATGAGGGTAGGCAGGGGGATTAATTTTTCCCATGAGAAAATGGATGTCCAATGGGTTGCCTTGTTGTTAGGGGATATTGATTGTCTTGAATTTTACTTCTCCCATATCTGCTATCTGCAAACATCCAATTCCAGGAGGAATCAGACCAAACATTGTCACGCTTTCTTTCATTAATATACGAGGGGCTTTCACATTCATGGTCAGCCTCCATTTATCATTCTTTTTTAAGTGAGGAAATGGAGCTACTGTGTGGTTAATAACTTCTCCAGCATCACACAACTAGCTAAATGCAGGACCAAAACTCCAATATGGTTCTTTTGATTCTGTGTGTGGTGTTGGTGCCAGTTTATCCTCTGACTATGATAGGAAGGAAGGGCTTTATTGAAGTGTCGCCAGGTCAGAAACAAGTAAGTGTTTCTTCCACGGATGGGATCTTTCCCTGTATGTGTTGGTGGAAGACAGCTGCATTCTAAATGACTGCCCAGTATTAGAACAGATGATGCCACACTGGGTAACAGGTTACAAGTCACATTTTCCTTCAGTCCTATAAGCTAGAGACTTCTAATGCATGATACACGAGGAACACTTAGAAGACTTTTGGATGTCTTAGAGGTATGTAGCAGATTGAGGATAAAAAGAGCACCTGGTGTCAGAGAACCTATCCCTAAGCCCCATTCAGCCCTTACCTCCCCATACACGTGACTTTGGGAAATGCCACTTAACCCCTTCTTGTTTCAACCTCCTCACTAAAAGTAATAAATACCACTCCCATAGGTGGGTATGCAAACACAAGCGACAACGTGTGTATGAGAGTTTGGTTAATTAAAGCTCTATCCCTTTGTCATTGATCTTTGTTAATCATTACTCTGGCTGGTTTATAGGGCCAGAGTAATGAGGGCCATTATCTCCTCTTTCGATATATTCTTGCCTGATATTTGGGGTCAAGTTGATACATGGTTATAACATTACTATTATATTTATTCAAGCATTTTGAGAGCACCTGCTTTATATCAAACATCCAAGCTCTCAAGTTAGAGAGATGAAAAAGATGCAGTTCCTACCCTCAAATTCCTCCCAATACCTTATGATATGCATCTGTCAGGACAAGGAGGTAAGACTGCAGTCTAAGAGAAACTGCATTTTTCAAAGAGGGCTTATTTATTTCTAAGAGCTAGTGAACCCAGGGAGTTCCAGGATCATTAAGAAACATGGCTTCAATTGTAATGGTCAGAAACCAAAACTGTGATTATTTTCAATTGGCATGGTGGTATTTCCTAGGTTCTAACTGGCCAGATCTATATTTCAGGATGTCCAGTACTCTGACATAGACTACATGGATGGAAAGAAGGACTTCACTGTTGACCAAGGGGCTTACCCTGGTCTCCCAGATTTTGTCAAGGAGCTACATGACAATGGACAGAAATATGTAATTATTATGGTATGTTCAAATGCCCTGTTCCCTTCTATTTTCTTTTACAGTGAAAAAGAAATTTATAAAAATAATATTTATATCATATTTCTTTATTAGAATCCTGGCATCCTCAAAGACTCTGGGTATGACCCCTATAACGAAGGAAGCATAAAAAGAATATGGATCTTGGGCAAAAATGGCTTTGCTGTTGGGAAGGTAATTTCGCAAGAAAATCAGAGTAAATTACAGTCATGTTGGAAAGTTTGTACTTTGGTATGAAGATGGGTGAAAGGACATTTACATATTGTTACTATTTTCATAGCTTTAGAGGTTTCTTTGCTTACAAATTTTAAACCAGTAGATGTAATAATGGGATGATTAAAACTCTGAAGAATTTAAAAAGCTAGCCCCTGACTCTCTAATATTACAGATAACTGGGAAGCAATATAATCAGAAGAAACTTCAGTTACTTAAAGCCCTCCTGCTTCCAAATTTCCCTCTTCTCCCCAGAACAATATATCTGACTACAGTAATGTAGCAAGATGCTCATAGATTGATGTGGAACCTACCTCAGCTAATATATTTTTAATTTATGGAAGATTTATAGATAGAGCCCAACCTTGATTCTCAGGTAGAAATTTTAGGCATCGATATAGGCTGACCTGGTACTAACATAAGATTAGAAAAACAAGCACCATATGTACTCACCATCAAATTGATATTAACTGACTTAACTGACCAAAACTTAAGTGCACATATAGTAGTAACATTCATTGTTGTCGGGCAGCTGGGAGGGGGGATGGGTATATACACACGTAATGGGTGCATTGCGCATTGTCTGGGTATGGACACACTTGAAGCTCTGACTTGGATAGGGCAAAGGCAATATATGTAACCTAAACATTTGTACCCCATAATATGCTGAAATAAAAAAAATTAAAAATTAAAAAAACCAGAAAAGAAATAGGCTGATTTGGAGCCTGTTTTCAAGACAGCTGAACTTCTGAGACTACTTTAAATCACACCATGTAGGCAAACTTTTATTCCAATCATAAGTAGGGTCAGCCCAGGTGATTGGATTATGTAAGACTTACTAAAACGGCCACTTCATCTTAAACTTCATGCTCCTGCAGTCCTTGTTGCTCCTGGGTAGTTTACTTTGCAAAACCATCTTTTCAAGCCAATTGATGGCTCCTTACCAAACTCTACTCACTTAATTCTTTTCATTGACTGTTTACAATGCTTAATTCTATTTACTTTCTTCATTGATTCTAACTTTTTATGAAGCAGTAGGGAAGTTTTCTTCCTTTTCCAAACCACGTCTTTATTTTATTGCTTTGTTAGAGGTGAATTTCTAAAATATCAGACCCATATTCATGTTCTGTATAAATACAAAATCAGAGGCCACAGTCAAATAAGTATTATTTCGCTTATCTAAAATTTTATCTACACCCATGAGTCATTTCAATAACACTTATATTTTGGTGATATATAATTAAGAATTTGTATATAATTATAGGAACTTAATATGATGGTTGCCTTCATTGATCAATAAATAGCATAATCATTTGGTCTAAGAATTTAGTAGTAGTAGATGTGGGTAGGGATTTAGTTTAAATGCATTTGGTTAGATAAAGTTTGCTGGGCCTGATACTCTAGGCTAAATGTTGCTGTAGGTGACTGCTTTGCCACACCACCTGTTTCCTGAGGTCCAGATTTGCCTCTGATTATTACTTGGTGCCTGTCACCTAAAACAAAGAACCAAGAGCTCAGTCCATTTGAAGTTGGTATTTTAAGCTTCCATCTTGAGTTTTGAGCACTCTTCACACACACACAGACATATATATATATATATATATAGATAGATAGATAGATAGATAGATAGATAGATAGATAGATTTGTTTTTCATTATGTTCTCTGAGTATAAAGTTGTTCTTAAATTACAACCTATAAATTTGTTGGGAAAATGAGCAAAAATGTTACACAAAAACTTGTATCTTTTTGATTCAAAATTTTCGGTAATTTGGCTATGGTTATATCTTTGTGCTCTTTGTGGAAAATTAAAGCTACCGTGTGATAGGCATAGATAGGAAAGGGAAATAGAATAAAGAAATATTTGACCTGAGTAAGAAGCACAAACTTCATTTAGCCATTTATAAAATATTGTTTATATGTTCCCAAACAATGTATTATTTATAACCATAATTATTCAAAGCAGGCTTTATATGACTTTTATTTAACAACATATTAAGCAAATTCATTCTCTCTAAAAATATTACATAATTAGAATTTCCAGTATTTTAAATAGTTTGTCTCCCAATTAGCATGACATAATGAAATTTTACATTTTTTTTTTCCATAGAAAAGGACATATGGTGGCTTTTCATTTATGTACTTAGTTGTTTTTCCTTTTCTTTTTTTGTCTTTTGGGTCCTTGCATGTATTTTACTATTTAGCTTTTTTGGGGGGAATGGTTCACAAATTTTGTTGCTAAAATATGGGGCTTCTAGCAGAAGAAATTGTAGCCGTTAATAAATGAATAACTGAACCTTGGAACAAACTAATCACCACAGACTTCCTCTTTGTTCTCTAGGGATACCCTGGGGAGACAGTCTTTCCTGATTACAGCAACCCAAAGTGTACTCAGTGGTGGGCAGACCAGTTCACTAAATTTCATAAGTATCTGGAATTTGATGGAGTGTGGATTGTAAGTTATTATTCTAGCATCAAATTTCCTTTGGAAACAGATATGCCAAATATTCAGATGAATTTTAACCCTGATCTGTAATAAAATAGTTTGCTTGACATAGTAGCATTAAAAATTATTTTACTTAATGCTGAGTTTATACATAGTGAATCAGGCTCCTAAAAAATCCTAGGTTGTTATTCTGGATTTTGTACCAACTGGTTATTTCATTTTGATAATGTTTTTTGCTTTCTCATGATCTCAGCTTTTTCCTTTATAAACTGTCTTTCAGCTTAAAAATGCTGTTTTATTAAAAGTTATCATTGCTACTATTTATAGCATTGATTTATAAAAATTTAATTATTAGAGAATAATTGAATGAGGACCTTTTGTTTTGTATGGGTAAACAGTAGGGAATTTCTTTGAAAATTTGAAAAACATCTTTGTTAGCAGGATTAGACATCACTTATTTTTAATTCATTATAAAGAAATGGATTTGATCTTAATTATATTCTCTTATTGGTCCTCACTCGGAGGAATAAAAGACAGAGAAAATTATAAAATAAAAATGTTACTCTATTTCAGGTTCTTTCAAATAATACTGAAACAGTAACACCAATAATGAAATCTTCATAATTTGTAAGGCAAGGATCAACCTTTGAAATGATTATTTCTTAATTAACTGATTGAAATCAATTTATAAAAGTTAAAATGTTCCCACTGTCATTTAGAACTGGAATTTACCTTAGATATAACCTAATACAATAACTTAACTTTATGAAACGGAGGGCAAGAGAAGTGAAGAAGATTATTTAAAATCCCCAAACCAGTTAATAAGAGACCCCAGATAGCCTGGCTTCTAGTGCAGTAAGCATTTCTCAAAAGCTAATTGTGATCAATGGCACTTTACATTTTGTGTGTTTTGTGTCTTTGAAGGAAATGGATGAAGTATCTAACTTCCTCCAAAGTTCTGATCAGGAGTGCGAATCAAACAGCTTGAACTTTCCTCCTTTTACTCCCAGTAAGTGCTCCCCTGTTTGCTGGTGATGCAGACACAGGCATGTTTGAAACAACCTTATTAGAACTCAATGCGATCAAGAGTGATTTCCCCCCCATGCCAAGGGCTCCCCAGAAATACTGAACACTCCTCTGCCTGGGTCTCTGTGGCACTGTTTGGTCTCTGATGACCTTTTGGCTGCAGTCATCCAAGGACCAGCCTGTGGTGACAATGCTAGCCTGAGCCCCGCCCACTCCCCTGGCTGACCTTCCCGTCTCCAGGTCAACATTCTTCCGTGCTGGTCACACCTCCAAACAACTTGGCTGGTTCAAGTTTAAAATTTACGAGCATTTCAGAACACTTTCAGGTACAAACTATATAACATCGAAGTAAATTTGTATCTCTATTAACTTTTTTCTTTCTTCTTTCCTTTCGTTCTTTTTCTCCTTCTTTTCTCCTCCTCCCGAACCCTCCCTTCCTTCCTCTTTCTTTCTTCCTTCTTCCCTTTCTCCCTTTTCTCTCTGTCTCTCTTCCTCCTCATTTGCAACAGTTTAAAGCATCAATGGTTCCTTAAAGGTCCTATTTATGTGGCATTGCTAGTCAAGGTGAACTTTCCAGTCCTTGATTTAGAAAGAGGTAGGGGAGAGGAGAGAGAGAGAGATTGGGGCCTGGGTGCAGGGAATATAAACTAGACTATGCTGTGACAACAAATAAACCACCATAACTCGATGGATTAGCACAATAAAAATTCATTTTTTGGCCGGGCCCAGTGGCTCACGCCTGTAATCCCAGCACTCTGGGAGGCCAAGGCGGGCAGATTGCTCAAGGTCAGGAGTTCGAAACCACCCTGAGAAAAAGCGAGACCCCATCTCTACTATAAATAGAAAGAAATTAATTGGCCAACTAATATATAGAAAAAATTAGCTTGGCATGGTTGCACATGCCCGTAGTCCCAGCTACTCGGGAGGCTGAGGCAGCAGGATCGCTTGAGCCCAGGAGTTTGAGGTTGCTGTGAGCTAGGCTGACGCCACGGCACTCATTCTAGCCTGGGCAACAAAGTGAGACTCTGTCTCAAAAAAAAAAAAAAAAAAAAAAATTCATTGTTTGCTCACATTGTCCCTAGTGAGGGACAGGTGGCTTGAATCCAAATGGTGACTCAGATCTAGTTTCTTCCACCATCTTCCATCTGAGAGACCTTTCTTTCCAGCTTTATGAGTGAAGGAAAGGGTGGAGGGAGTTTTACGGGCAGGTCTGGAAGGGTGGTGTTCCCAATGTGCCCATGTTCCTTTGCCAGAATAGGGCACAGAGCCTCAGCTTAATATTAATAACTTCAAGGGAAGGTGTAACCGTCCAGTATAACCTTCTTACACTCCCAGGAAGAGAACTCTGGTGTGGTGGGCATCTGGACAGCCTCTGCCAGTTTATTCAAGTTTTTTCACTTTACTTACACCCTGAGACCAAGGTTTCGCTGTTTCCTTAGCCTCTTTTGGTTGCCAGAGGAGTGCAGAATGTTTTGGAGGGAGTCTTGACTTCAAACTATTTAACCTCTTAAAATAAATCTACCATTTGCTTCTTCAGCCTATTCTTTGTTCCTTTCTGCTTTATCTGTATTCCCCCATTTTTTTCACCCCAGATCAATCTATCACTTTTTTTTCTTTATCTCCTTATCTTCTTGGCCAAAACTAAGTTTTATTTTTGGTTTTTTGCTTTGCTTTGTTTTTGTTTTCTACAGACAACCTCTATCCCATCACCTTCTGCTTGCTTCTAGCCAGTGCCTCACTCCCTGGGGCCGGCATTCTGTCTACCCTGACGTGACCCGCTACTGCCCCTCAAAGCGGTGGGGCAGCCTCTTACCCTTCCAGGATTGCCCAGTGCACTGTAGCACGGTAGAGCTCAGTGAAGCGGTTGTGAATCTCCTCCCACAAAGCAAGCTGGGCAAGAGTATAGTCTTCTTCATGTTTTACAGTCCAACTTAATTTCTGCCTCCAAACCTTGATTCTGTTAGGAGGGTGAGAAAAACCCAACCTCTGTCCTCCCTGGTTCTACGAGTTTCTGGAATTGTGCCTCATACTAAGGTCTTGTGAAGGGTCAAGGCTTGGTGAAGAAAGGCAGATATGGCCCCAGGGGTCCACGGGGAAAGGAAGAGGCAGAAAAATTGATCATTTTAGAATTGAGAAGAGGAAAATACGGTAACAAAGGGAATTCCCAGACGCAGCATGTGAGTTCTAATTTATAAAACCACCCACATCTCATATCTCATTTTTTAAAAAATTTGTGACGAGAGTCTGTGTTATAAAAATGAAAATATTCTCTTTCACTGCCCTCATATCTATACATTATGCACTCAATTTTTCTTGATTAATAAGTATAAACATTATGTGCTTTATATTTAATCTCAGATCAACTTCCCATTGCTCTGAGCATCTTTCTCACTTGCTGCCACTCACCACCATTCTTTGTGAGCTCAAGGGAATGCAAATTAATTTTAATGATTCATATCCCATGGTGGGTTCAGTGCAGGCCCCAGGTAGGAAGTAGCATTTAGGATAGAGTTTAAAATCTGGAAAGGATTGTGTCAGGTAGAGATTGGTGGGGGAAGACACAGCATCCAGGAAGAAAAGAATTGGCTGGCTACTTTGTTAAAGTTGTCTGATGGAGAAGTTCCTCACCGCTGGGTATTTTCCTCTAGGTGTTCTAGACCGCTCGCTTTTTGCAAGAACCCTCTGCATGGACACAGAGTTTCACTCGGGTCTCCACTATGATGTCCACAGCTTGTATGGATACACCATGGCAATAGCCACAGACTTGTAAGGACTTGGTTTTCCCCCTGATTCCACATTTAGGGAGGTGGGAGGTGAAGGGTTTCACTGCTCTTCTGTAAGTACATTGTTCAAATATTTTTTGCAGTTCATAGGGATACAGAAATGCCAGTCTTTCAGGGTATCTAAGAGGTCCTGTCATACAAATCCTTGGTTTCTGTGTAGGATAAGTTTTTGTTCACTTATGGCTAAGGGGCTTCATTATTTCGAGGATACTAGGAGGCAATGCTATGTAAGACATTTAGAGTCCCCTACTGGGAGAAGGCAGCCCTTGGTTGGGTCCCTGTACTGAATGTGCTATGGTCACCACACTAGGATTGCTTGATTTTAGCAAATAAAAACACAGGACACCAAGTTAAATTTGCATGGGGCATACTTACACTAAAAATTATTCATTGTTTATTTGAAATTCAAATTTACCTGGATGTCCTGTATTTATTTGGCAATGCTACATCACACTCTGCTAGCTTCCCTCCCAATGTTCTGTTCTTTTCCCTCTCAATTCTCCCCTCTGCCCTGAGACACACCCACATACATGCATGCACACGTACACACACCCTACCACCACCACCATCACCACCATCCATTATGAAAGTGTAACAAGGAGACAGATGTGTTCTGCAAAGCATCACACCCTTTTCATATCTTCTCACATGGGCTGTTTTTGTTGTTGTTTACTTATGACTTTGTAAATTGAGGAATAGCTGTCCCCCTCACTGCCCAGTTTCTTCTTTGGAAGATAGTAAAATATGATCATTATCCCTAAAAGAGGAAAATGTGGAGGCTAAGCTTAAGATTTTAGTCTTATATTTGCAGCATAAATGGAGGAACTAAAGTGTCAGAAGAGCTACTGGGGATCTTCCAGCAGTGTAGGAAAGAACATCCTAGCCTTTTTCCACCTCTCTCCTACTGTTGTGGCATTCATGGAACTTCGTGGCAGGAATGAGTGTCAGGGAGACTTTGATGTGCTCATGGGACCTGTCTCAGTCCTTTTCAGTCCTTTTCTTACTCGACTTCTCTGTCCCTGTGGAACTCAAGGTCATGAACAGTCCTTTGGAACTTGGCTCCTCCAGTCCTTGAACAGGCTCTACCTGGCTCTTGCTCCCTCTCCAGTGTCCCTCTCGCCTCTGGGTCTGGGGCTTGTCAGTCTGGTCTTCCACTATTAATGAGCCTTAGGAGTTAATCCTCAGGCTGCTTCTTTTCATTCTATGCCAGCATAGATAGTTTATCCCTTTTCATAGGTTTTACTGCAATTTATTCTAGTGATTTTAAAATCTGTAATTCTAGCTGAGGTCTTTCTCTGATTTTGGGGCATGAACATTCAAAACTATCTTCTGACTTTTCCTGTAACCACAGATATTTTCATCCCTGTTTTGGTTTCACTCTATATAAACTGACAGCGTTTCTTTATGATTGGTGATTACAGAGTGCAGTAAAGTTTGGGCCAGTGGTAATAAAATCACAGTGTCTCAGTCCATATCAAAGGAGAGGTGAGGGCAGGAGGTGAGGAGTGAGTCCTCTCCTCCAACCTATCCTAGCTTTTTTTGTCAATAAATTGTCAGAATGGAGCGCTTCACTCTCTTAAACCAGTCTTCTGTTTTAGAATTTTCTCCCTTTTTCCATTATAAGCCATTCTGCATTTGTAGACTCTCCCTAACGTCCCCTAGGAATATGAAGTGGGGAGGAATTCATGGCTGTGATAGTGTCTTGAGCAATTGCCCGGTGCCTGGTGATAAAAGTTTGTAAAGAGAGCTTTTAAGAAAAGATACACTTGTCTCAGACCATGTATTAAAAGGAAAGAAAGAAGAGCTTTCCTGCAAAGAGATAGCAGCAATGGTGGCTCAGGTTTTACCATCCTGTACTTGTGTTATTGTTCTATTATACAATTCTAATGGAAGGTGTGGATTGTTTAGCATAAAAGAAGAAGGGAGGGAGACGCATTTTATTAAAATGCCTATGAACAGGAGTGTTCAGAACAAAAGCTCAGAAAACAGCCTACATCCAACCATATGTCATCCTACCTTATGTCCCTTCCCTGTCCCCAAAGTTATAATCATCCTGTAATTAAACTAAGTAATTAAATTCTGTGTTTTTAATTCCTTGGCTTTCATTTTTATATAGTTTTACTTTGATATGTCATGTTTTATTACAACACAATGAAAATGATATTTTCTACTTTAGTTGTTTTTAATCTTACAAAAAGTTTCATATGCCTTCTTTTGAGACTAACTCATTTCAATTACTTATTATTTTGCATAGATTAAAATTTGCTAACATTGAGAATTGCTAAGGATAAGTCTGTAGTTTCAGAGGAAACTAAGAATAAGTCCTGAAGGTTCAGAGGCATACCAGCTTGTGTACAAACTCTCCTATTTGTCAATTGGAGGGCACAGAGTTCCAATGTGATCTGGTATCTCGCTAAGCAGCATTATTCATAGCAGCAAGGCATGGAACCCAGGGACATTAGAAAAACTTTATCTAGAGAAAGAAAATAGGGCCAAGAACCCAAGACATGGTTCTAATATATTGTCAACTAAGAGGGGCCATACCAGAATCAGATCTGATCAGATGGAGAAAACACAATCAGGAGGACAGAGCCTAGAGAAATTTCTGTGGGGGCTGGAATGTAGAGGTTTGTACTGTCTTATATGAGATCTGAAACCTTACCCAGAAGTGGGAGAGATGCTCTTAATAGTGCTAAGCCTGTTTGCACACCTGGTTTATGATATCTCAGTATTTTTTCTCAGTTTGGTTGGAAAGCCATTGTTGCTCTTGGTGTGAAGTGAGTCCTAGATGTTCACAGCTCTCCTCTCATTCAACTGGCTGTATTCTCTCCCAGGGCCATGGAGAATAACTTTGTCAATAAAAGGAAATTCATCTTATCTCGTTCCACTTTTGCTGGATCTGGAAAATTTGCTGCTCATTGGTTGGGCGACAATGCAGCCACATGGGATGACCTTCGGTGGTCCATCCCCAGTATCCTTGAGTTCAACCTGTTTGGCATCCCCATGGTAAGTAAGCCTCTTGTCTATCTGAGGAATTTAATTTCTTGTCCTTTGGAATTCTTTCCATTATTAGTCTTGGAGGGTGTCTGAAAAAGTAAGGAGCATGTGTCCCACTGTGATATGTGTTGTAAAAATGAATTTCTATGTGGTGTGAACTGCCTTCTGAAGATAGAATGGTGCTACCTTATCACTAAGCTGTCATCCATGCAATCTCTGGAGATAGGAAAGAGACACCATGAGTAAAATGTATTAGTATAGGAAAATTCCATCAGGAGAGCATCAGTGAATGGGAAAGTATGAAATTGGGAACAAATATTGAGGAAGAGCCCTGATATAAGGACCACTGTGTGCACTACCATTGAGTCTCCCCTCCTCAGTCCGTGTTGTGATGTATACTACCTTGTTTCTCTCATTTGGCTGGGGGCAGGCCCTGGGACTCTGGGATCTCCTTAAGCATGGACTAATGTGAATAAGAGATTCTCTTTTCGCTTACCATATAAGGACACAGTACATGATTTTTCTTCTGTTACTGACCACTGTATCTGTATGTGTGCTAATTCTCTAGGTAGGTGCCAACATCTGTGGTTATACAAAAAATGTCACAGAGGAGCTCTGCAGAAGGTGGATGCAGCTTGGAGCATTTTATCCACTATCAAGGAATCACAATGGGGCTGGGTTTAGGGTAAGGTCCCACAGAAAAGTGATGGAAACTTTTTGAATTAACTAATCTACTTGTTCTTAAAGAGGAGTTGAAGAAAATCCTACAGGTTGGCCCAACCTGCAGAAAAACCATAAGTAAATCTTGAGTGATAGTCTTAAAAAGCAAGGTATGGAGGTGAGGGTGTGTGAGAAGTGGTGTGTATATACTGAATGATTTTATTGTTGGAAAGTCACCAACAAAGGTGAGAAGATTTGTTAAAATTTCTATGGTGCTGCTGTCACTTCTGTTACCACTTTATATAAAATGGGACAATTGGAGTTTATTGATATTTTATTTCAATTAATACAAAGGAAACCAATCATAGATATGCAAGAGCAAGGAGAAAGGATCTAGAGAGGTGCAGGCCAATGATGCAAAAAAAATTTTCACCCTGTTACAGCATTCTATCTTTCTATGAATAGTTTGGAAGATTTCCAGACTACTTCTCATGACTCATCCCACCTTCATTCTCTTCCATCCAAAATAATATTTTTGATGGGCAAGTATATAGAAGTGGGTTCAAAGTGCCTCCTAAGGAGGTATTTATAGTGATGGCAGGAGCAAGTAAGGTGGGATGTCCTTGTATTTAATAAAGTAATCTGCAATGGAAATATTTTGTATGGAGAGGCTCAGCTCTTAATAAGCTCATTAGAATAACATCCCGATGATTATTTTAGCTCCAGCTCTAGACTTTGTCTTTAACCTAGGAAGGATTAACCTTCAAACCTTCAAAAATATTGTATCCCTGAGCTTTCCCAGCCACTTATGATCGAGAGAGAGATGAACAGTTTCTGAACATCCAAGCAGGTGGCTAAGAGCAAGTAGGATAGGTGTTCTTCATGAAGAGATGTCCTAAAAGGACATATACAGTAAGAGCACTCAGATCACCCATGCAACCAGATTAAAGTGCTTGTTTTCTTTTCTCTAAACTAGCTCCGTTTGGCAGAATTATAATGAGAGCCATATGTTAGTTTAAATTTAAATTTAAAAAGTGAAAAGAAACAGAAGACATTATTTTTAATATATGTTACTCAATATGTCCACAACATTGTCACTTCAACCTGTGTTTAACACAAAATATTATTAATGAGCTATTTTATATCCTTTCCATTCTACCAAGTCTTCAACAGTCAGTGTGCCTTTTACAATTATAGCATATCTCAATTCGTGTGCAAAATTTTTAGCAGTTAAAGTGAAATGTATCCTACCAAAACAATAAAGTTGTGTTTAATGGAAAAATATTTTACATTGACTCAGTTTTATATTTAAATTTACTATAATCAAATAAAATTAATAGTTCAGTTCCTCAGTCTTACTAAACACATTTCAAGTGTCGAATAGCTCCAGGTGGTCCATGGCCAATGGAGAAGACATTGCAGCTCTAGACTTTCTCAGTAGAAGACCAGGATGAAGGAGGCTGTGGAGCATTATTTTCTTTGGTGTTTGGCCTCAGGGTTTTCGTGAGCCCTATGTCAGAAGCATGGAGTGGTCTCATGGAATATTTCTATTTCGAGGGAAAGAAATGGGCTCTTAGGGAGCAAAAGAAAGTAATAAATTCCAGTAATTTTATTCAAAATTCAGTCCCAGTAGTACAGTACAGGATGACAAGTCTAAATATGACATGTGTGTGTATCTTTCGTGTCTTACAAATTACATGGAAAATGAAGCAAATGAGTGCTGACCATTGATGGAAAATTTCCATCTCTGGGTTTTAAGAAAATCAGATTTCTCTTCTAAAAGGTTCTTTCTTTGCTCTTGGATAAGATCTTTCAAAAACCATCTTCATGATTTTTTTGCACATTGTGTATCAGAGAACAAATAGAGGTGGCTGTCTTTGGGATAGCAAAAATAAAAGAAATTTTGATGGTGAAAACATTATAGTGAAAACTGGACATGAAATATTTAAATTGCAAATTCATACAAGTACATGGACAGAAAAAGATGGATCATAGGTCATGGTGGTAGGCCATGTGGCTTATAAGGCAATGAATTTAAATGTTTGTTTTTTTTTTCTTTTTTTTTAATTTTTTTTTATTTTGGTATATTATGGGGGTACAGATTTTAAGGTTTCAATAAATGCCCATTTCCCGCCCTCCCCCCAAAAGTCTGAGTCTCCATCATGACCATCCCCCAGATGGTGCACATCTCACTCACTATGTATGTATATACCCGCTTAAATGTTTTTTTTTAATAGTAGTACAACTTAGTATTATTTTCCAAATTAAATATTATGAGAAGCTGCAATCTATAAAATTAATTGGTGCAGCCCTGGAGGGAGCAGGGCCCACTTTATCTCCATGGAAACCCCCATGGAGCTTCTTTGTCACCCGGGACTGTCATAGATAGTGCCAGCCTTACACTTTGTCACACTTGCCTGCAAGTCTACATTGGGAAAGTTGCATAATCTTTAATGTTGTTTCCTTATTTATAAAATGAAGGAGTAGGAACAAGATCCTTTCAGTTCTGGAAATGCTTTGATGTTCTGCAATTTGGAGAGCACAGCTTCTCTCACCTGGGAAAGTTTCTTGTCACAGGGAGCTTTTAATCTATGGCAATTGATTAAAATATTCAGCAATTTCTTCTCCTTCCTCCCAGGACCAGGACCCCGCCGCCTTTGGTGCTGACTCGCAGCTGTTGAATTCCTCCAGGCACTACCTGAACATCCGCTACACCCTGCTGCCCTATCTCTACACCCTCTTCTACCGCGCTCACACCTGGGGGGAGACTGTAGCCAGGCCCCTTGTCCACGAGTGAGTTTCCTGATCCTTAAGGACTCCCTTTCGTATCATGGTATCACTTTACCTTGGTTGTGGTAACAAGGTTAGTTAGGGGCTAGCTGCTCCATAATGTGCTATTGCCCTGTATGGGGGCTTCCCCTGCCTCACTGTGCTCTCTGTGTTCTCTAGGTTCTACCAGGACTCAGCCACGTGGGAGGTGCACGAGCAGTTCTTATGGGGGCCTGGGCTCCTCATCACGCCTGTTTTATATGAAGTATGTCTATAATATTGGGGTGGGGTAGCACACTTATCCTCATGGCTCCATAGCTGATTAAATCTGGATCCTGAGTACCTATGGCTGCATTTAACTCTAAATATGAATATAAATGAAAGGGATCATGAAAGTTTGAAAATTGAAGATACAGTAAATTCTTGGTCCTGCTGCCCCTCTAAGCAAAACAATTTCCATTTTGCAAAATTGCCTTAAAATTAAAGCCTGTGTCCTTAGGCATATGGCTGTGGCATTGTCATGGGCTTGGAATGCCTTGTGTGTGTGCTCATCATCTGTCTATGTTTCTCATTGTCCAGAGGGGCTATGCTCTTCTTGGGTTGGGCTGGGAAGAGAGAATACCTGTGAAGAGAAGAGAAGAAGGGAGGGAGAGTGGAGTGCTGGGCGAGAGAAGGGTGTCACTCTGAAGTCATGTGTGAAGGTCCATGTGTATCCCACCTAAGTGTCATTGGAGGCAGAGGTGATTGGGAAGTATGGGGGAAGGATTAGGATCATGCCAATCCATCTGTAACCATGAAAGAGTGCCGGTGTGGTCATGTTGAAGGCCCTTTGAGCTGGTGTTTCAACCACACCATCTGCCGACAGGTCCTGCTAACCAGCCCAGCTGGAAGGCTCTCCTAGGGGCCTGGCTGGCTCAGTCTCCTCCCAACTATTAGATTACAAGACTAATTCAGTAAATGAACTTTCTCTGCTTCTATTAGTGCAGCGCCATTGAATCAAAACAAACTTAATCTCTAGCTGTGTCCTGCTCTGGATAAACTGCTCAACCTGAGTGTCTGTGTTTTCATTGGTAGATTGGGGTAGCTCGGCGATTTCTCAGGATGGTTCAGAGAAGCATGTGCTGTGATATCTGGAGGTGTTTGTAAACTGTAAAGGGGTGTGTTCATGTTATTCATCGTTGTTTCCCTAGGGCGTGTACCAAGCGAAGGCATACATACCGGACGCCACCTGGTACGACTATGACACAGTAAGTGAGGCGGCCCTGGCCAGCTCAGAGACCTGCCTCTAGCAGACAGCAATTCTAAAGCAGCAGACAAGGGAGCCTGGGGCAGGAAGATAATATGAGGTTTTATGTTTACTTGTTTGTGGGTGCTTTTCTATGAGAAAGGTGTCTTAGTCCACCCAGGATGGTGTGCCCAAATACCTTACATGGGGTAATTTATGCACAACAGAAATGTATTGCTCACAGTTCTGGAGGCTCCAGCAGGACTTCATTAATGGTGCTTTCTTGCTCTGCCCTCATGACTTAATCAATTCCCCTATAAGCATCACCTCTTAACCCTTTGCACTCAGATGTCGAGTGTGGACAATGTTGAGTGGATAATGAGAAAAAAGCAAGCGAGTGCAAAGGGTTAATACTATCATATTGAGTATAAGGTTCCAACATATAAATTTTGGGAGTACACCAACATTCGGACCCTAGCAGAAGGCCTTTCCAAATGTACAGTGAAATAATTTGAATAATTGGGGGAGGTTTATGGAAATTCATTATATCAACCTGCCTACTCTGCAGCTATCAGGACTGGGTCCTGGCCTTTATCTGTGACAACCTAGAGAATGAAAACCAGTTATGGAATCACAGCATGGTGTAATGTAAAGAAATGGGGTGGTCTGGCATCTTAGTTCTGGTCTATACTACCTATATGCCTTGGGCAAGTCATGTTACTTTTGGGGAAGTCTTTGTTTTTCTCTTCTTTAAAGTGAGGCAACTGAACTAGATGATCTTTAAGGTCTCTCCTAGCCCCACAGCCTGCTATCTGATCTATCTTCCTTTTGTTGAGTAGGAAGTGGCCATCCCGTGGAGGAAACAGTGGGTGAATATGTCACTCCCAGGCGATAAGATAGGACTTCACCTTCGAGGGGGCTACATATTTCCCACCCAGCAGCCAAACACAACCACGGAGGCCAGGTAAGCTCCTCACTCTTCTAAGGTGTCACTACCCTGGTGCTCTAAGGGAGCAGGGCATGACGGGAGAGGCAAATAGAGACCGACGGTGGCTATGCCAAGGGAAGAGTCTCCCGGCAGTAATCTTCCTCCTCTCCTTTCAAAGTTGATCCAAAATTGACATCTTAATCCTTGTTCAGTAGGAGGTAAATGTTCCTTTATATTTCCATAGTCCTTCACTTTTGGATTGAATCAGATTAGAGAAATAGTCAAAATAATCACTGATGAGCACTTTCCTATGGCCAGAAATCGTCCTCAGGTAGATCTCCAAATGTGTGGGAGAATGCAAGTTAAGTAGGAGATAAAGGTTATCCTGTGGAAGTCAGCATAGCTGGGAGGTCAAGAGCTCAGACTCTGGAGACAGACAGTTTGGGTTCAAGGCCTGACTCTGCTACACACTAGACGTGTTTACCTTGGGCAACTTACTTCTCTGTGCTTCTGCTTATTATGGGTAAACTGGGGATGGGGATAGCCCGACTTTTTAGTGTTATTAAGAGGGTTAAATGGATTAACATTAATGGTAATTGTATGTCGGACACTTGGAAGAGTGCCTGGCACGTAGTAAGTGCTAATCATTAATGGTATGTATTATATCACAGTCCAAACTGTTTTCAGCGGAACTGCCTCCTTCCACCCTTCTTCGTGTGCCACTCACTCCTAACCCCTGCTGCCTGCCCACATCCAACTCCGTGTTTCCACACAGCATCAGTATCTACTCAGTTTCTGGGATGGGCTCTGGGGTTATCTGTCCCTGGGGCTCGTTTCATATAGTCCGTCCAGTCTCTTTTTCGTTCTCTGATGCTGAGAATTGCTCTTTTACAGCCGGAAGAATTCCCTGGGACTCATTATCGCCTTGGACTATAAGAGAGAAGCCCAGGGGGAGCTGTACTGGGATGATGGTGTATCTAAAGGTAGGCTTTCTTATGGCAGTGTGACTGGCTGTCCACGCAAACCAGTCATCACAGACTGCCCCATATGGCACTAGCCCTATTATCATTGTCATTTATTTCTCTAGCTTAGAATCAATGGGTTAAAACTCATTCTGAAAGTTCCATTAACCAAGCACAGTGCATTAAAGTAGACTTCAAATGTGCAACTTATGGGTTATTGACTCTACCAAAGCAACAGATAGTATTGCATGTAGCTTAATTATTCTCTTCTCTGGTTATCATTATTGATAACAAATAATATATTTTGTTAATAACTTTGTAAAATACTGTTTGGGTTACTATTAAGGGAAAAGTATCCAATTTATAAAGTGTGTTTCCTCCATTGCAAGGTTTCTATATACATACCTCAAATAAGCTTATAGTCTGTAAGCATATACAAAAATCCTGCCCTGCAGGGAGTTAGTATGTATGGATATTTATTTGCTATTTATTATTACACTACATGCAAGGGATATGAAGATGGATAAGACATAAACATTGTCTTCGAGGAACTCATGATCCAACAGGATAGACACAGCCTGAGTGTAGTTATCTATGATGTAGGTCAAAATGTTTAAAGTGTCAGCAAAATGGTGCCACAGAGTGTCATGGCAGCTCAGAGGAAGTGGTCCAAGGAACCTCTGTAGAAGTTTGACAAAAGTGGACAGGACTCAGATGAGCAGAGATGGTATTCCAGCTGAGGAGAAGAACACAACTCTGTAGCTCCTCTGCTTCCCCTAATAATGGGAACTCCTTGTCTTTCTCTTTTAGATGCTGTAACTGAGAAGGCATACATTCTGTATCACTTCTCTGTTACCTCTGTAAGTACTGTTTTTGAGGAACATGCAATGTATGTTCCTTGCTGTGGTTGCTTCTTGATGTTTTGGGTTGCTCTAGATTCATGGTCATGTGTAATAGGGACAGCATTTGACTGTGCTTGTCCCTGAAAGGATTCCAGTGACCATGGCAGTGTTTAATGTGTGTGTCAGATTTATATGCCTATAAAAACCAGTATGAGTTCTGTGCAGAGCTTGTTTTTTTTCTGGAAAAAAATCGTTGCCTTTTAGTTTTATATTATGGGTCCTGGCTTCCAAGGTGTACCCTTTTATGAGGGCATGAGGGGTGCATGTATGTATGGGGTGTGGATGGAGTTGAAAAGTGAGGTAGTGACTTTTTGAGGTTCTTCCATAACAGTTTTCCTTTCTGCTCCTTAAAACTTGGCCTTGGTCACAAGTGCAAAAGGGTGGCTTTTAGAGGTTGTAAGATACAGAACAACCTTGCCTCATCTCTGTCTCTTGAAGAGTCTGAGAGGAGCAAAAGCAGTAAGGCTGGCAGAGAAGCTTCTAACTTGGTTTTCTTAGAAGTCTGATTATGTATGGGCAGAGCTTTCTTTTGTGGGACTCTCTATTCCCTCATTTATTTTTTCTTTCTTTTAAATGCATATTTTTCTTTCTTTTAAATGCATATTTTCCTAGTAGTATTAAATTTATTAAGACTCTAATTATGAAATTAGACTTTTACATGAAATTATAATTTGGGTAGATGCTAAATAACTGTATGCACCATTGCTGCTCTGAGATTTTTTTCTATATAATCAACCTTTTTTATTTCAGAATATTATGAGGGTACACATGTTTTGGTTACATAATTTGCTTTTGTACAATTGGAGTCAGAGTTATAGGTATGCCCTTTACCCAGATAGTGTGCATTGTACCTGTTAGGTGTGAATTTACCCATCCCCTTCTTCCCCCTCCCACCTGCTTGATTTCCATTGAGTTTTACTTCCATATGTGGATATAACATATGTGCACAAAACTATTGATCAATTAGTTACAATTTAGCATTGAGTACATGTGGTGTTTGTTTTTCCATTCTTGCCATACTTCACTTAGAAGAGTGGTTTTCAACCATCGAGGTTGTTACAAAAGATACTAGATCACCATTTTTTATGGCTGAGTAGCACTCCATGGTATACATATACCACATTTTATTAATCCACTCATGTACTGATGGGCACTTGGGTTGTTTCCACATCTTGGCAATTGTGAATTGTGCTGCTATAAACATTTGAGTGCAGATTTCCTTTTTATAGAATGTCTTTTTTTTCCTTTGGGTAGATGCCCAGTAGTGGGATTGCTGGATCAAATGGTAGGTCTACTTTTAGTTCTTTGAAGTATCTCTATATTACTTTCCATAATTTTTTTTATTTTGAGGTAATTAAAGATCTCCATGCAGTTGTAGGAAATAATATAAAGTTCCCATGTATCCTTTACCCAGTTTCTCCTAATGGTAATAGTGTATAAATCTATAGTACAATTTTACAGCCAGGACATTGGCATTGTTGCTATCAAGGTACATAACATTTTTCATTATTACAGGGATTCTTCCTGTTGTCTTTTTATAGCCCACTTTTCTCCTGTCCTGACCCCTTGGCAACCAATAATCTGTTCCCCATTGCCATAATTTTGTGCTTTCAGGAAGGTTATCGCAATGTAATTTAACAGTATGCAACCTTTGAAATTGGCTTTGCTTTTTCATTTAGCATAATTCTGTCAAAATTCATCCAAGTTGTTGTGTGTAACAACAGTTTGTTCCTTTTTAATATTGAGTACTGTTCCAAGGTGTGAACAGACCACCTTTTCAAAAATCATTCTCTTGGTGAGGAGCATCTAGGCTGTTTCCAGTCATGGATTATTACAAACAAAATCAAACTGCTGTGGACATTCATGTGCAGGTTATGGTGCCAATATAGTTTTCTTTTCTCTAGGCTAAATGCCCAGTACAGTTGCTGAGTTTTGTGCTAGTGCACATTTAGTTTTATAATACATTTCCAAACCATTTTCCAGAGTGGCTGTACCATTTTACATTGCCACCAGCAATATATGAGTGATCTAGTTTCTCTGCATCTTGGCCAGGATTTGATGTTGTCATTATTTTTTGTTTTAGCTATTCTGATTGGTATGTAGTTATAACTCATTGTGGTTTTAATTTCTGTTTCTCTGATATCTACTGGTGTTGAACATATTTTCATATGCCTATTGGCCGCCTGTATATTTGCCATTAGCAAAAGTTTGTAATTTCAATTGGGTCTAATTTATCATTATTTTCTTTTATGGATTGTGCTTTTTGGTGCCAAGCTTAAGTTCGCTTTGCCTAGCCCTGGATTCTGAATATTTTTTCCTATTATTTTTTCTAGAAAATTTATAGTTTTACCTTTTACATTTAAGACCATAATCTATTTTGAGTTAATTTTCATGTTAAGATGTGGGATTTAGGCTGAAACTCGACTTTTTGCCTGTGTACATCCAATTGCTCCAGTACCCTTCGTTGAAAAGTATATCTTTTCTCCATTGTGTTCCTTTTTCATTTTTTGTCAAAGATATGCTGGGCATATTTTCATGAGACTTCTAATGTTTTTCATCATCAAACTGTCCCTTTTTCTTCCGTATTCACATCTACCTTCTTCTGTGTCATGGCTCTACTTTGTGACTTTTGAACTATGGTTCCCTAAGTAAGTTATCTAATTTTCTGTGCTTTGGTCTCCTCATCTGAAAAATGGGGATAATTATAATTTCAACCTCATAGTCTACTGTGAGATTTGAATGAAGTTTTACTTGTAAAATGCTTAGCACAGTGCCTGGAACATAATGATTGTCCAAAAAATTTTAGCTCTTATCATCATTATAATTAAAATAAAAGAAAAATTATTTGGGCACTTTTTATGTCTGTGTATGTCTTCATGTGCAAATGAATTTCCGTGTGTTTCTGTTTGATTTGTAAGTACTCAACTTGTCTGCTTGAAAATTCTATGATGTCAGGGACATATTTTCTGAGTAACAGAATCCGTAAAGAACCAGTGAACCAAAGCAAACAGGAAATATTACTAAACGATTTAGGATTGTTAAGAATCTGAGTTAGTGAATTCCCTGGGGATGATCCCCTGGCAACAGTTGGAAATGCAGAGAAAAAAGGAAACACCTTAAATCTCAGAAAATGAGCTGTTGAGTGGTATTTGAGGACAATAAGAGTATGAAGTACCTGGTCTCTAATCCGACATTTTTTTTTTCAGAACCGCCTACAGGCAAAGATTATAAATAATAATTATACAGATCCTGACAACCTCATGTTTACATATATCAGAATCCTGGGAATGGACAAGCAGCCGGCCAATTTTACTGTCTTAGTGAATAATGCTGCCACTTCCAACCTGAACATCGCCTACAGTGTTTCCACAAAGGTGGGAGATCGGTCTGTCCTTCAGGGCCCTTGCCAAAGGGCCTGGCCTGAGGCTCTGACACCCAGCCCTCCCTTGCTCTTTCCACTTTGGACAGTCGCAGGGACAACCGGCTTGCTGGGAGACCCGCCAGGTCACGGGGAGGGTGCAGGAGACAGCTGTGCATGCTGCATACAGACGGCTCTGCCTCGTTTGGGTCTGAAGAGGAAGATGGGAATTGGGATCTTGAGAGAAGGCAGTTCTTCTCTGGGCAAACTTAAAACTAGACAGGTTTACCCCAGATGTGACACAGCAGAAATATTGTTCCATGCGTTGGCCTTGCTCTGTAGCATCTTTACACATTTGTCCTTTTGTTAAAGTTAAAGGGTCTTTTTGAGGCAGAGTTGATATTGGACCTTAGTGTTTTAAGCTATTTTTATACCATTACGGAAAATAATAGTGAAATGAAACCCAAGGGACAATTCGAGTTTGTCTTATTGAATGAGTCCCTTACATTGCTAGTTGAATATTTTAAGTGCTGAGAAATTCATTATTTCTTAGGTCAGCCCCCTTCCATTTCAACTACATATAGTGTAGAGTAAGAGCTTAGTTCCTAGAGTTGGGCAGCCTGAGGTTCTGATCCTAGTTGTGAGATCTTGGGCAAGATATTAAACAGCCTTTGTACCTCAGTTTTCTAATCTGTAAAATGGAGATAGCCATAGTATTCACAGCATGGGACTGCTTTATAGCAGCTGTCCCCAACCTTTTTGGTACCAGGGACCAGTTTCATGGAAGACAATTTTTCCATGGACCAGGGGTTGTGGTGGAGGATGGTTTCAGGATGATTCAAGCACATTACACTGATTGTGCACTTTATTTCTATTATTATCACATTGTAATATATAATGACATAATTATACAACTCGCCATAATGCAGGATCTAATGCTGCCCCTGATCTGACAGGAGGCGGAGCTCAGGCGGTGATGCGAGTGATGGGGAGTGGCTGTAAATACAGGTGAAGCTTGTGTGCTCGCCTGCCACTCACCTCCTGCTTTGGGACCTGGTTCCTAACAGGCCACGGATATTGGTCTGAAGCCCTGAGCTTCCAGCCCAGGGTCTGACAGCAGCTGTATAGGATTAGTGGAAATCATGCTTATAAAGTGATTATTACAGTGTTTGGGCCATATGAATGCTCCATAAAGTTAGCTGTTGTTATTGTTACTATCATTATTAAATTGATAAGAGCATCACACCCAGAAGACAATAAGCTAACAGCCACGACACTGCCTGTGATCTACCCTCCTTAACACGATCGACGTTCTTCCCTCTTGATACCCGCAGTGACTCCAGGGGGTGAGAAAGGTCAGGAATAAGCCAAGTTCCAAACATCTCACAGCAAAGGGGTCTGGAGGAAGGACTAAGTCCCTGGTCCTGACTTCCGGAACGCCAGGCAAGGACTCTGCCTAGGTGGCGCACCCCCACCTGCTCCGTGGCTATCGTTCTCTTTCCCCAGGTGGTGACCATCACCGATCTCCAGGGACTGGTGCTGGGACAGGAATTCTCTATCGAGTGGCACCTTCCAGTCAGCGACCTGGAGAAGTTCAACTGTTACCCTGAAGACCCTACTGCCTCTGAGGAAAGCTGCAGGCAGCGGGGGTGCCTGTGGGAGGTAATGACCAGGAGTGGATTGCTATATTGAGCAGGAAGTTGCAAAAACCGTCCTTAGGCACCTGGAAAACACTTTTCAGATATGGATGGCTTGGATGGCGATCGTGACCCTGTGACCCTGTGCATTGCGCATTCTGCATGATAGGTGATCCGCATTTTCCTCAGAGATCCCGAATCAGAAGAAACTCATTGTCACTCTCATTGCCACTCCAACCATATCATTTAAAACCCCATTTTAACATCATCAGATGCATTGGGCATGCATTGTGCATTGAGTATTTTAAGTGAATTTTTTTTTTTTTTTTTTTGCTATTGGAGAGGCCAAGCAGAAGGGTAAAGTAATGCTACTCCTCTGTTTGAACAACACAGAGAATGGAAACTAAAAAAATAAAAAAGGAAAAGAAAAAATAAGTGCTATCCTCTGGATTGTACTGAAGTCAGCAAGGACACTGGGAGAAGGACCCTGCCTGAGGGTTCCTGCCTCCAGATCAGGCTTCCTTCTGCTCCATCTCTGCTCACTCATTACAGGAGGCCAGTGTGCGTGTATGTGTGCGTGTGTGTGTGTGTGTGTGTGCACGCGCACGCACATGTGTTTAAAATGGGCGTATTTGTTTGCTAGGGCTGCCAAAACAGAATACAACAAATTGAGTGGCTCAGAGCAACAGAAGTTTATTCCCTCACAGTTCTAGAGTTTAAAAGTCTAAGATCCTGGTGTCAGCAGGGTGGGTTTCTTCTGAAGGCCTTGAGGGAGAATCTGCTCCATGATCTTCCCCTTACTTCTGGTGGTTGCCAGCAGTGTTTGGTATTTCTTAGCCTGTAGATACATCACCTTGAACTCCGCCTTCATGTTCATATGCATTTTCTCTGTGTGAGTGTCCATCTCTGTGTCCAAAGTTTTCTTCTTAGTAAGGACACCAGTCCTATTGGATTAGGGCTTATCCTAATGACCTCATACTCATGTGCTCATCTGCAAAGACTCTATTTCCAAATAATCGCATTCATAGGTATCAAGGATCAGGGCTTAATGTCTTTTGTGGGTACACAGTTCAACCCACAGCAATGATTATGCCGTCAGAGACTTACTCTGCGTTAATCAATTTCTCCAGTAATTAGAGCCTCGAAGTGTTGTGTTAGGGACTGACCAAGGACTCCTCCTGTGGTTTCAGCCCACGACGACTCCTGGCGTGCCTACCTGTTACTATGACACCATTCCTGATTATGCTGTTGGTAACATTCAGTACCTGTCCACGGGCATCACGGCAGACCTTGCTCTCCTGGTGGCCCCTGAGTTGGCACGGACAGCAGAGTCCTCAAGGGCAGCAGACGCGCCACCACTGCCACCAGAGGGTGCGCTACCCCCATCTACATCTGCAGCAGCAGCTGCTGCCTCTGATTTTCTCTCTGCAAAGATCAGCTCCCTCCACCTGAGCGTGACCTACCACACAGAAGACATGCTGCAGGTCAAGGTAATTCCCCATGTGGCAGATTCTGGTTCTTAGCAGGGAGTTCTTATAGCTCTGCACGGATGGGAGTCATTAGAACAGCTTTTAGTCCAGATGTCTCATTGTACAGATAAGGGGGCTGAGAACTCTAGAGAGGTAAAGGTCAGAAGGTAGACAGTAGAGCCAGATGTGGCCTTAGATTCACCAGGATTGTGAATTTCCTATAATGACTTGTACACTAAGTCATAAACATCCTCAAAGAATCGTCCCTTAACCCTGAACAAATGTGTCTGCATTGTGGTAAACTCATATGAGAGGCATAGTCTTACTTCCAATATTAGAATTATTTCTTTAGCAGTTGTTCTCAAACTTTACCATGCATGAGAATCACTCGCAGGTCTTGTTAACAATCCAGACTTCTGGGCCTCACCCCAGGGTTTTCAATTCAGCAGATCTGAGCTGGGACCAGCCTGAGAGTTTGCATTTCTAACAAGTTCCCAGGTGATGTTGACTCTGCAGATCACAGGGTCACACTTTGAGAACCACTGCTCTGCCTTGACTACTAGAAAGACAATGTGAGCCACTTATGTTTTCTAGTACATGTATTTTAAAAAATGCATTTGAAAAAACACAAGAGAAATTCATTTTAATAACATTTTATTTAACTGATATGCGAAGATATTATCCTTTCACTTTGAAATCAAAATTTAATGGCAGTATATTGCAATCTTTTAATCATACTAAGTCTTAGAACATGATGTACATTTTGTAGTTACAGTGAATCTCAGTTCAAACTAGCACTCATTGGCATTCAGTGGCCACATGTGGCTGTGGATACCACCTTGGGCAGCTGAGCTCTAAACATTGCTTTCCACACTTTAATGTATCACGATTCACCTAGGCATCTTGAGAAAATGCATGTTTTGATTCAGAGAGTCCAGGGTAGGGCCTGAGTTTCTGCATTCCTAACAAGCTCCCTGGTAGTGCTGCGGCTTTGGGTCTGAGAAATACAATTTCAAGAAGCAGGGCTTTAGAAAACCCTCCCCTAAGCACAAGTTGTGGGCTGATAATATGAGAAAGAGGGTGGTTGCTCATAATGGTGATACTTCTTGTCCTTGCATAACATTTTTCACTCCTTTCATTTTTCCCACACGTCAATCCTGTTAGTTAAGTACAAACAAGTGGTGGGTAACAAAGAGAAACCTTAGGAATGGAAAGGCTGTGCAACATCTGGAAACTCAAACAGTACAGAGATCTCAGAGCCCATATAAGAACTCAATTCTCTAATTCCTAACTTACACACTCTCACCCAATCTTACAGAGTTCCACGCACTGGCATGTTCACAGGCCACACACTCTACTTATGAGATTCTATACCCTTTGATTACAAGTTCTTTAGAGGAAGGGCCCTCTCTGGCTTCATATGGATTTTACTGAGGCCTTTTTGAAATGCAGGGTCTGTATTGGGCACAGTGGGTTTGCAGGCCCCGTGTCTATTTGTTCTAGAATATTTGGTGCTTCGTAATATAATACAAACTGGCCATAAAACATGAGGACTGAATTATGGGGGCTGGCATGAAGGGGTTTAGGTCTGAGATGCCCTCAGAGAGTTTTCTTCTCTCTCCTTGCCAGATCTATGACACCGCTAATAAAAGGTATGAGGTCCCAGTACCTCTGAACACCCCTCCCTCACCAGTTGACCGCCCTGAAAACTGTCTGTATAATGTCATGATTCAGAACAGTCCTTTTGGAATTCAGATTCAACGCAAAAGCTCTGGCACTGTGATGTAAGTACTATTTATTTAGTTCTAATTAGAGTGCTTCCAGATTATTATAGTGGTTCTAATTAATTAAAGTGAAATATTAATCTCAGAGACTCTAAGTAAATAAGTATGTGTTTGTTAAAGAGTATATCTATTTCCCCTTATTTCAATGGGGAATTTTTTTCTATTAGTCATTGATTCAATAAGAAAAAGTAATTAAGGTTAAAAAACTAATTAAGTGTTGCTTGATTTCAGAGAAAGAAAAATACATGCTCTACTCATTGCTCTTGAGAAGTAGAACAGAAACCTCTATTTACTAACAGATAACCGAAGATATAAATCAGATCCATATTATGCTTCATTAAGAAATAATAACCAAAGAGGCAGGAGAGAAGGGCAAAGGTTAACGAGAGAAAAGGCTTCTTTGCTTCTGTTGAGAATCAAAAGACTTAAAGCCTTTTCACAGAGTTAGGCATCAAAGGAATTGTCATCTCTCATCATTTGTCCTGCTGCTTATTGGAATGAAATAAAGGTTTTCTGGATTTTGCCTGGGACGAGGTTCCCCATGCTAGTAGAAGCTGCCACCTGTATGTGTACACATGTCCCTTCCTGTGTATGGACGGCTTCTGCTCTCTTTGACTATGTGTCTGATTTTCTCTCTCTGGCTCTTTTTGGTAAGAAGTTCTTTGGCCAATCTAGAAAAGTTGTTCCATGAGCTTCATACTTTTCTTTTGGAAACTTTGCTTAGATCCTATTCATTTATTCATAACTTTATTCAAGCTGATATGCCAGGACTGAGATCTAGAAATAAAGAGATGAATGAGACATAGTCTTTGCCCTCAAGGAACCCATGTCCCAGAAAGAAGCTCTCATTCCTGTAACCCACAGAATAAAAATGCAAACCTAGCACCTTGGCACTGAGCCATGGCTGCAGTTATGACCTGGGCCATTTCATAGTATTTGGACCTGGATCCAGATGTGCAACAATTTAGGAGGCTTCTGAGTCAATTTGATATTCACGGCATGTTCCGAGTTTGCTCTGGCCAGTGATGTCCAGCTCAGCACGGTCTGTCTCTGTGTTGCAGCTGGGACTCACAGCTCCCCGGCTTCACCTTCAATGACAAGTTCCTCTCCATCTCCACTCGCCTGCCCTCTCAGTACATCTATGGCTTTGGGGAAACTGAGCACACAGCTTTCAGAAGAAACATGAGCTGGAACGTGTGGGGAATGTTTGCTCGCGATGAGCCACCAGCGGTGAGGACAGAGGAATAATCTACTTTAATCCTTATGCCCATAGATGGTGCCCTGTTCCCCAGCTTCATCTTATGTTGATACATTGTGCTCTCAATTGTGATAAGCCCACACATCACACGCTTTTGTGCCTAAAAGATATATATATTTTTTTCCAGTCAACTATAGATATTATTTATTTCACAAACTTTTATTTAGTATATTGTACATGCCAGGCACATTGCTAAGTGCTTAGCTACATATTTAATAGTCACTGTCTGCTCTCCAGAGGCTTAGAGACTAGGGAGAGAAAACGATGCAGAAATAATGCTACCCCAGTGTCATCACTGAATTATGTGCTATTAATAATACATAATAGAATACTACAATAATAAACAACACAAGCGCAGAGAGTGGAGGACACAGCTTTTTACTTGGGGTGGAGAAGTGGGTGAAAACGGCTCTACAAAGCAAGTGACATTGAGCTGAATCTTTAATGTTGAGTAAGAGTTTGCTGTGTGGGTTATGACGTGGAAGCAACTTCTTGGATTTTCTCTTTTTCATCATACTCATGACTCTCCCAGTACAAGAAGAACTCCTACGGTGTCCACCCCTACTACATGGCACTGGAGGAGGATGGCAGTGCCCATGGAGTGCTCTTGCTGAACAGCAATGCCATGGGTAAGACAGGCGCACCCCGTGCACCACCATCCACAGCTGTGACCACGCTGTTGGGATCTGGGCTATCAACAGAAATAGAGACATTCAGGGGCAAGGAAAATGGGACAGACAAAACTGATTTTCCATTTATTCATCCATTTATTCAAGATTTATTAAGAGCTCTAGACTAAGTATATTAGGTGTAAAGTTTGGACTGACCATAGCCCTTACTCTTGTGTAACCTCCTTTTACTGTGACACTCTGGCTCCTCTTTACAGAGTAATGTAAGTTGTTGAGGTTGCATAATATTATGTTTGGGGTACCTGAAGATCCATCTCTGATTCTCCTGGATAAGAGCAGACTTTATAGAGGAGGCAGGCATTAAAGAAAGAGTGAAAATAGCACATTTTAGGGCAGATTCCCTATCTGGGTGATTTGTAGTTCCAAGGATGCTCCTCATCTGCTTTTTCTTCTTACAGATGTAACATTACAGCCCACTCCTGCCCTGACATACCGCACGATAGGAGGGATTTTGGACTTTTATGTGTTTTTGGGGCCGACCCCTGAACTAGTAACTCAGCAATACACCAAGGTTGGAAGCCATTCTAGCTATTGATAAATCATCAAATATTTATTTGGCATGATCACATTATTAGCACTGAGATAGGCCACTTTTTCCTTATGAACTTGGAGTGTTCCCACTAGATTATTGCTGTCTTTCCTAAAAGTCAGATGTTAGTATTATGGGCTCTAAAGGCATATTGTATCCCATGTGTCTCTTGGTTGCTAAATAGCCTATCTAAGAATCTCTAATCATTAATAACCACCAAGTTTTCAAGTTTCCTAGAATGGAATCTCTGAGATATAGAAAAACTTCAATTAAAAATGTTTGTATAATTCTTCATGGCCATAGTTGTTCCATGTTTATTAGACTTTTTATTTTTCTTGAGTGGGGCCTCTTAGATCACACAGTACTCAGTGGAAATGTTCAATTGATTCACATATAAGTCAACCATCTTTTCTTCCCTAAGAAGCCTACCTGGACTCATTTTTTTTTTTTTTTTCATTCTAGTTGATTGGTCGGCCAGCGATGATTCCCTACTGGGCCTTGGGATTCCAGCTGAGTCGCTATGGATACCAGAATGATACTGAAATCTCCGATTTGTATGATGCAATGGTGGCAGCCCAGATTCCCTATGTATGAAACTCTCACTCTGCCTGTGGTCTAATCAGTTACAGAAATTTGTGGCTAGTTACATATCAAAAACAACTTCATAGAAATTAATGCTGTGACTACTTTGGCATAAAAAAAAAAGTAGCTGTGGAGCTAGTACTGTGCAGACAACATTGCTTCTTAAATATATTTCATGCTATCCTTCTAAATTAAGTCTCAAAATTGAGAGTTGCATAAATCCTCCAGCAGTTAGTGGTGTGACTGGAGCATATTGGCATTCACTGCCTCTTGTCATGAATATCCTGCAGTAGCCATGGCTGGAGTTAAGCCATGACTCCGGGGACTTATAAGTGGGGACCTTGAAGAGATGCATATGAAGTGACAACATGAAAGAAAGCAGTTAAAATCAAGCCTTCACTTTCTTTAAAACATACATATGCATATCCTACAGTGACAACCTAGTCCCCCAGAAAAGCCCAGAGAAGTGTAGTTAATTGCTGTCAACTAGCAGAATTCCACAAAAAGCATGATCTTTCTCTTCTTATAATTATCAGTTTTTCATCACTCATTCTCTTTCTCTGCTTTCAATTCACCTCCTGAAATTTTGGAGGACAATTAATGATTAGAAGATGAGAATAAAATAAAGTGCTATGATAGTCTCATCAAAGATAATTTAATGCATACAACCAGACATAATTTTTTCTTTTTATATGCTGTTATACTTATTAAACAGAAATTAGAAAATATAGGAAAATTAAAAGATAAAAAAATTCATAGATATACCTTAACAAATCAATGTTAATAATTTGCTGGTTCATTCTTTCCCAAGCTTTGGCTCATTTGCAAGTCTTTGGCTTATTTACAAGTCTCTGTTTCTACAAAAAAATTTCACCTAGAGTCTTGAGGTGATTAAGACAGGTGATTATCCGATTAAAAAATCACCTTAAGGCAGGTGATTATCGGATTAAAAAATCGTCTTTCTTTTTTCAAGTGAATACTACTAACCACTTTAGTTATCGTTCAGCAGTCATGGATTGAGTAAGTTCATGTACAGAAACCTGGGTTGGTACTGTGTAGAGAGACACAGACATTCTAGAAAGCTATAAAGTAATGTAGTTCTAAATGTGAATACATTCAGTCAGGTCTACTACAGGGAGAAAGACAGATGTACGATCTCTTTTGTTTCTTAGAGAAGTCCTGCTTTCTACCTTTGCACATTTCAATTAGCACTTTGTTTGATAGGCTCACCAAGTTTGAGATCTGAAGAGTAAAAAAGACATGAAGTGAGGAAAGGCAAGGCGAGAGAGTCCCATCTGGGGAAACAGAAGGAGAAGGAGTGGGCATAGGTAAGCTGCCTGCAGGAATCAGAAGGCAATTTCAGTCAGCAGAACTGAAAAGTCGGTGTAGGAGAGTAATGACATGAGAAAGTCATTACTCATGGGGCCTGGGCTGGGGCCAGCCAGGAGGGTCTAGGCATGGCAGAGCAGTCATTGTGCCCCAGGGGGCTTTGCCGCGCGACCCCAGCATCTTGCTTTCTCCTTCCTGTAGGACGTCCAGCACGTAGACATCGATTACATGGACCGGAAGCTGGACTTCACCCTCAGCCCCAGCTTTCAAAACCTCGGTCTCCTGATTGACCAAATGAAGACAAATGGCATGAGATTTATTCTCATTCTGGTAGGTTGGAGACAGATTAGATCTCGTTTTCTGTTTCTGTGTTCACAGTTCAAAAATAATACTATTGGGGAAAACTGGATAAAAGGGTGTAAGAAGCCTCTTGGTATATTTTTTTCCAACTTCCTGTGAATGTCTAATTTTTAAAAAGTTTTTAAAAGCAAATAAAGAAGGAAAGAACAAATGAAAAAAAAACATGGCTTTAAGAAGATGATACTTTGTAATGTTTATTTTTCATAACGGAGTGTCATCACTGGGATGTAATTTATTATTACTGGTCTCTTGGTAGAGTTAGCTCAACTGTGGGCTGGAACACTAAATATAGCCAAAAAACAAAAAAAAAGCCTCACTGTTTCAGCCTATGCCTCAGAAGGAATAGCTGTATCTTAGTCTCATCCTTACCTGATGGAGTTCAAAAATCTCTTAGGTTGTTTTATCATTCAGCAATGGTGATATTCAGGGGACTTATCTGTTTAACTAAACTTACGAACAACTGAGTTAAGATTCAGAATACCAATTTATTATTTTACATTGGAAATTATGTCTTGATTAATACAGATGTAGTTACCTGCAAATGATCCTCCCTTCCAGCTTCCAAAAATGAAAGCATTATTTACTAACTTTTGTTCATTAAGTCACTCAAATATTTATTGAACAGTGTTTATTTGAAAAATTACTGTTTTAGAAGCTATATATATGTGTATGCACGTGTGTATTCTAAATTAATGAATAAGATGATATCCTTTTTCTTATAAGACTTTTATTCTAGTGGAGGGAGACAGCCAATAATTAAATATTTAAAAAGATAATCTGGGAGATGATTTATATGGCACTTGTGAAACATCATAATATTACAAACTGGGACAGGAACGAGATGGATTAGACAGGGAAGGGCACTTTAGATATACACGTTGGGCCACAGAATAGAATAAAGAAGTTTCATGTTCTTTAGGAATATTGCCATTATACTCTGGAAACACAATAAATTAGCTCTCTCTGCTTGAGGGCGATGTCTTTTGTTTTTTGAAACAGAGTCTCGCTTTGTTGCCCAGGCTAGAGTGAGTGCCACAGCAACCTCAAACTCCTGGGCTCAAGCAATCCTGCTGCCTCAGCTTCCCAAGTAGCTGGGATTACAGGCATGTGCCACCATGCCCGGCTAATTTTTTCTATATATATTAGTTGGCGAATTAATTTCTTTCTATTTGTTTATAGTAGAGACGGGGGTCTTGCTCTTGCTCAGGCTGGTTTTGAACTCCTGACCTCGAGCAATCCGCCCGCCTCGGCCTCCCAGAGTGCTAGGATTACAGGCGTGAGCCACCGTGCCCGGCTGAGGGCAATGTCTTGTTAACCTGGTTTATCTCTAAGTGTTGTTTTCAAACATTAGCACACTTTTTTTTTTCTCAAGAATTTTATGGAGAAACACCAATATACTCTTTTACCTCTCAACTCTTTTTTCCTTATAGATTTCTATGTCATTGGAAAAATCACTCATGACAAGTCATATTTTAATTTCCACAAGGTGTTTTTTTATTTTGTTAGTTATATCTTTGGGTGCTTACTTTCCTACAATATAGAAAAACTCCTTCACTTATTGACATAGAGTCTCGAACTCTTTGAAAGAGATTTTCCTTCATAAGGGTTACATGTCTTACTTCCACATGGGGGTACCTGTGGCACCCTCCCATTTCAATTGCCTATTGTTATATACCTAGTAGACATAACACAAATTATCAATGGGCTTTTATTTTGTTTAATTTTATTTTTTGATATTGAGGTTCACCATTTTTTTTTTTTTTGCACTATTACTTTTTTTGCACGATTACATTTTTGGAGAGAATTTTTCTGGGAGATATTTTTCTCATGTTTTCTGTTTTAAACACTTTAACTGCAGGACCCAGCCATTTCTGGTAATGAAACCCAGTATCTCCCATTCATTAGAGGACAAGAAAACAATGTGTTCATCAAATGGCCCGGCACCAATGACATTGTCTGGGGAAAGGTAAGGCTTAGGGAAGGTGCCTAGAATTAATCAACATCACAATGTCTTGATTAAAAGAAGCTCTCAATAAATCTTGGAAAAACATATTGTGCAATTAGTAAATTATGAATGAGTAGACATCTGTCTGATGCTGATTAGGTCAACAAACATTAATAATACCAAGGTTACAAGTCTAATCCTCTAAAATATTATTGAGTACTGTTTTATTGCCTGGAAATATTCTGATGGCCACACACTTTATATATTCCAGCTGGTCATTGAACAAATATTAAGAATCCCTTTGAGAATGGCTCTGAAATTTGTCCCTCATCATTCATCATTGACCTATGATGTTTACTTTGCCTCTTTATCTAAATAAATCACTAAGTCCTATAGATTATCCTCTTTCTCTTATCTCCTTTAATTCCTCTTTTTATGTCTTCATTCCACATCCTCATATGTCTGATTTACAGCAGGAGCACTGTAGGTGGACTTCCTGACTCCAGCTGATAGTAGCTCTTAGCCCGGATTCAAATTCTGTCCCTTATACTATGCTACTTCCTATTGCTCTGGGTGCATGCTGTGCTCATTTTGAATATTGCCTTCTCAGCTTACCCAAACGATATCTTCATTTCAAGATCAACTCAAATTTTCCCTCTTACAAAGCATTTGATAACTATTTTGGGGGTCTCTATCATTCCCTTTCTGTATCATTGCCCTTAGAGAGTATAGCATACAATGTAGCACTTAGGTACTATCTATGAACTCTTAGGGGGAAAAGCACTATTTCTTACTTAAATCTCAGTAGATACAGATCCTGGAAGAGTGCCTGTCATATAGGAAGGGCTCAGTAAGTGTTTGCTGATTGAATTAGTTAGGTAATGTATATAGTTGACTTTCTGCTAGTTACAGCTAAAATTGATTGATTCTATAGATTTTTTTTAACGCTATGTATGTTTAGAGTCTCCAGTAAGTCATGACAGTGCTTAAAAGTGTTGAGGTTCAGTTTATGGGTTGTGGATGGAAATCAATCTTATCTCTTTAGAGTGACACTTCACATTTATTTTTTATACAAAGAGTTTTTATAGGTCTATGACAAGCAGATCAGAGAGCTAAGTAATCATTTGAAAGTTGATTGTTCAGAGGATATGTTTAAAACAAATTTAGTTAATTATTAAGTTCAAAAATAAAACTTTGAAAGCTTATGAAGTGAATCAAAAGACCTCAGCCTATTTTCACCTAACATAATTTCATATATTCAGTCTTTACAATTTAATTCATGGCAAAGACCCCCAAGCATTTTATGGAGATGCATGTCACTGGAGTTTAAGATGTGAAACATCTCATGGTTTGTGTGCAATGATTTTTAAAGGTTTTCACTTTTCTTCTTTTTCTCTAGGTTTGGCCAGAGCTACCCAATGTAATTGTGGATGGATCCCTTGACCACGAAACTCAGGTTAAGGTACAGTTGTTCATAGATTTTGTTGTCAACATTGCCCCAAACATCTGCATATTTATGTGGTTTATCCCTATGGTTAAGTATCTTACCCTTTAGTTAAGCAGATGTAAACTGAATGTGTTTGTCTGCTGGTAATTTCTTGGCAGAAAGGGATCCCCCAATAGAAAACAAACAGCTAAAATGGAAATGTATATACATCATCAATGAAATCCCCTCATGTGTGTGCTTTGAATGAGCTCTGATTTGTTTGAATCTAATGTAGTTTGAAAAATAATGAACCAAAGTCTAGAATATTTTCACTAGAGGGGTATCTATTATGAACAGACTGGACTTTAATAAATTACCTACACACAGAAGAAAGTGCAGGTCAGTTGGTGGGAGGAATGGCCTTAATCTCAGCCTATATCCCCTCCACTCTGGAGCTCACCTGTCCCTGGATAACGGGCCCTCCTTCCTTTCATTTGGGCCAGTCTAGAAAAAGCATTGGTGTCTCTAAAGTTCAATTGCTTAGACACTGACTGTAAATTTTCCAGTTCCCATGATGACTAAAAGTCTAGTCATAAAATAAATCCTTATTTAAAAGAGACTTTAAAGCTAGCTAATGTTCTTCTAAGAAAATAGAGAGTGAAACCAGCCTTCCCTAGTCTCTGTAAACTCCGTGCAGCTGCAGCAGATCTGAGGTGCTATCAGAAACTGGGCTGGGCAGGCACAAATCCCTGCCCATCTCCCCCCCTTTCTGGTGCCAACTCCCCTTCCTGAAGAGACGGAGACCCCAGCATGAGAGCATGTGTTACTCTTGCAGCTGTACAGGGCCTACGTTGCCTTCCCTGACTTCTTGCGTAATAGCACAGCTGCATGGTGGAAGACCGAGATACAAGAGCTCTATGGAAACCCTCGAGAGCCAGAGAAGAGCTTGAAGTTTGACGGATTGTGGATTGTAAGTGCACCTTTGATTATTTCTCTTTGGAGAGATCAGCAGTCAAAACACGGGGAAGCCATCGAGAGACTAGCAAAGCAGGGAGATAAAACTGGAGGGATGAAAGGGAGACATGTCGTTAGAGAATCTAGGGGCTGGGAGCAGCAGAGATAATTGCTGGCCTGCCCAGGGTCATGCTGTCTGGTAGAAGTTGGAGCTTGCGGAGGCTGGAGGTGTCAGAGCAAGAGGGAAAGGGAGAAATATCCTGGCTTAGTTTATCTCCCATGCTCCAATCTCTTGCCAGCGCCTCCCCTTGGCCACATAGACCTGGAAGGCAAAGATAAGGGAGCCTGAGGCCCCTGCTGTGGCACAGGGCAGGACCAGGGTGGGTCAGGCGTGAAGCTGAGAGCAAGTAGACACTCACCACAGTGCTGGTGCAGACTGCCCTGAGGGAACGACTTAAGAGGCCTGTTCAGATGTTTGTTGTGGGTCTTTTGGCAGTAACAGCCGGGCTTTCTGAAATGTCTCTGGGGCATGTGTCCAAGGGCTTCCTCTATTTGTGTTTTTTCTAGGGATGGGGAAAAAATCAGTGTCTTGATTTCCTTTCTCACTGTCTAGTGGCCTGGGAACCTAAGCAAGCTCTGGGCCAGCTCTGAAGAGCTGCTCAGGTCTGGGCCAGGCTGGAAGAAGCCTGCGATTTACCCAGAGACAAAACTATATATAAGCCCACTGGCGGCCCTGAGGCCTCCCTGGTCACTCGCACTTTCGGGACAGATGGGCACAGAGTAGACGCATAAAAGGACACAAATTAACCCAAACATGCTAATCAGACAGTGAAAGACGTGGATAGAATTGAGGAATGACAGATACTAATAGCTCTAGGGTATTTTTTCTAATGGAGGGAAATCTGTAGCTGGGTAATTCAAAATAATGAATATTTCCTGAAATGCTTGCCTTTGCCTTTAATCTGTCCTATTTAACATAGGCTAACATACAACATTTTGACTTTTTTATTGATAAGGTAAGCAATGAATATTTTATCACAAGCCCCTACTTCTTCCATTTAAGCAATAAATTCCCCGAAGCATGATTCTTTTCCAGGCTTGTTTCTGAATTGTGTGCAACTTTTCAGAAACACATCTATGGCAGAAAGTGAGATACCTCTCTTTGTATTTATTCTATGCAGATATCAGAATTAGTCCCAGCTGTTGGACTAAGGAACATAGGGGAAGATAATAGTAACCACTGCTGCAGATGAAAAGTGAATAATTCCTGCCTAGAAAAACAAAGATGGGCTTCTTGTGTGGGGGAGATGAACCAAGAGATTTCCTTAGATCCCAGTATTATCTCAATATCTTTGCTGCTGTAAAACAGTCCTCACAAATCTAAAAATGCCAAATAAGTTAGAAGGAATGTAACACTCCACTTAAGCCCACACAAATTCTTAGGTCCATTTTGATCAATGCCAGGAATTAAATAGAGTAAATTATGCTATCAGCTGAGGTGAGGTTTCAATACGACATGGTCATCTCCCTGAGTTTAGTGTCCTCTGTAGCAAAGGCCATACTGCCCTTGACATGACGGAATCTTTTTTTGCTAACTCATTTCAGGATATGAATGAGCCATCAAATTTCGTGGATGGATCAGTCAGGGGCTGCAGTGATGAAACTCGTAATAACCCACCCTATATGCCACGTATGTAAAATGGTTGCTTTATCAAATTATTTCTCTGCTTAAAGACCCTGAAAGTTTCCCCCTCACTATTAAAGTGAAGCCTAATTTTGGAGGTAGAACACACTCTCAAACATGACATAAAATCCCAAATAGAATAACCTTGAATAAGTGCGGATAAATAAATTGCTAATCAAGCTCAGGAATAATAACATGATGTGTTATGAAAGAAACTAAACAATGTGTGGTGTATTTGATTACATTGATAACTATGAACTGATTGCATTTTAAATAAACCTCTAGAGAGAGAGAGAGAGAGATTTTGATTCTTTTTTAATTCTGATTAGAGAATCTTTTTTAGTTCTGATTAGAGAATGAAATCTAGTTCCTGAACCCTCTTTGCCCATGTTCGTAGTTACTTCATCACTTCATGAAGGATGCTCCTCGGTTATAGTGTGGTGCAAACACAAATACTATCATAGGATCAAAAGGATATGAGAGGCGGGCATGGTGGCTCACACCTGTAATCCTAGCACTAAGGGAGGCCGAGGCGGGTGGATTGCTCGAGGTCAGGAGTTCAAAACCAGCCTGAGCAAGACCCCGTCTCTACTAAAAATAGAAAGAAATTAATTGACCGACTAAAAATATATATACACAAAAATTAGCTGGGCATGGTGGCACATGCCTGTAGTCCCAGCTACTCGGGAGGCTGAGGCAGGAGGATCGCTTGAGCCCAGGAGTTTGAGGTTGCTGTGAGCTAGGCTGACGCCACGGCACTCACTCTAGCCTGGGCAACAAAGTGAGACTCTGTCTCAAAAAACAAAAACAAAAACAAACAAACAAACAAACAAAATGGATATGAGAAAGTTGAATTTTCTCATCTTATGGAAGATCAAGGAAGGAAGTGACTCAGTTCCTAAAAGCAATGTACCAGTGATTTGTGGGACAGAATCTGGAATCCAAGTTTCTTGATGTCTGTGTCACTGCTACATTGCTCTTTGCTCACTAAATCATTCATTGTGTTCTCCTTCCTCCCTTAATTTAACACAGATGGTCCCCAACTTATAATGGTCTAACTTAGGACTTTCCAATTTTACAATGGTGTAAAAGCGATATGCATTCAGTAGAGACTATAGTTCAAGTACCCATATAATCATTCTATTTTTCACTTTTACTATAGGGTTCAGTAGATTACATGAAATATTCAATGCTTTATTATAAAATAGGCTTTGTGTTAGATGATTTTGCCCAACTGTAGACTAAGGTAAGTGTTCTGAGAACATTTAAAGTAGGCTATGTATATCTAATTCATTTTCAACTTGCAACGGTTTCACCTTATGATGGTTTTATTGGGATGTAACCCCATCATAAGTTGTGGGACATCTGTATATATGTGTCAGGCAACTGCTGACAAATCGGAAAGATTTAGAGACACTAATACAAAATCGAGTGAAACAAGATTTATTCCCTTGAGAATATTACCATCTAGTGGAAGGAACACTCCTAACAATGAAGGACTTCATTATGTTGACAAGTGGGCTGTGCCAGCACTCTAGCAATTAAGTCAGGTGACAGCAAAAAGAAGGGAGCTGGGCAATATACGTAACCTTAACATTTGTACCCCCATAATATGCTGAAATAAAAAAAAAAGAAGAAGGGAGCTGCTTTTCCCAGCTCCTTACTCGGTCCTTGCCCTTTATTAATTATAAAGTCACAGGATGTTGACTTTGTAGACTAAAAATTGGACCTGTTAGTGGTAACAAAGTTGTTGATTAAAATGGAGAAATACCAAAATGATGGACATTGCTAGTGAATGTGCAACTCATGTTGTTTAGGAAACAACTCAACATTTCCCCACAGATCTGGAGTCCAGAGACAAGGGACTGAGCAGCAAGACCCTGTGCATGGAGAGCCAGCAGATCCTGCCGGACGGCTCCCCAGTGCGGCACTATGACGTGCACAGCCTGTACGGGTGGTCCCAGACCAGACCCACGTACGAGTGAGTGTGTTTTCGTCACTGACAGCAAGGATAATTTACCACATTATTACTTCCGTCTTTTTGTATTTGTATTGTGCATGTGTCTACACGATACCAGTTAAATGGATGAATGTCAAAATATCAGGCATGGTTGCCCAAGCAACCACAACACCTCTGAGTGCTGCTATCAAGTAGGTTGCTAAATTCACCTATTTAAAGTGAGCAGTTAGGTGGTGTTTAGTATTCAGAGTTGTGCAGCCATCACTAAAATAAAATTTTGGAACATTTTCAGTGCACCCAAAGAAAAATCTTTACCCATTAGCAGTCATTCCCACCTTGCAACTACCCCCTGAGCCCCTGCCATCACTAACACTTTCTGTCTATATGGATTGTCTTTTCTCGACATCTCATATGAATGGAATCACATACTATGTGGTCTTTTGTGTTTGGCTTCTTTCACTTGACATAATGTTTTCAAAACTATTGGTACTTCATTTCTTTTTACTAGTGGATAATATTCCATTGTGTGTGTGTGTGTGTGTGTGTGTGTGTATAGAAAGTTTATTAATCCGTCAGATAGTGAACATTTAGTTTGTTTCCATTTTTTGGCTATTGTGAATAGTAATGCTATGAACAGTGATATGCAGGATTTTGAGAGGATGTATGTTTCCCGACTCTTGAATATATATCCAGGAGTGGAACTTCTGAGCCATATAGCAACTGTATGTTTAATATTTTGAAGAAATGTCAAACTGTTTTCTAAAGAGGCTGTCCATATTACATTCCCACCAGCACGAAGGCTACAATTCCTCTACATTCTTGCCAACACTTTGTATTGTTCATCTTTTTTATTCTAGACATTCCAATGGGTATGAAGTGATATCTAATTATTATTTTGACTTTATTTCCCTAATAACTAATGCTGTTGAGTATCTTCTCATATGCTTACTGGCCATTTGTATATCTTCTATGCAGAAAAGTCTATTCAAATCCTTTACTCATTTTTAATAGAGCTATTTGTCTTTTCCTTATTAAGTTGTGAGGATTCTTTATACATTCTGAACACAAGTCCCTTGTGATATATTTGATTTGCAAATATTCTCTTTTATTCTGTGGACTATCTTTTAATTTTCATGATGGCTTTCGAAGCACAATTACTTTTTAATTTTTTTGAGGTCCTATTTATTTATTTACTTAACTTTCCAGCCAAGCTTTCATTTGCCCCAATTAAAATCACAGCCTTAGCATCTTTGATGTTGCCAGCACATTGCCATTATTTTGGTAGTTCCCTGGAGGTGGAGATTTTTTGTTTTCTTTCTCCCTGTTGAGTTGAGCTCTGAGTCAAATCCAATGGCCACAACACCCGGGAAATGGAGATTTTCTAGGGAACTGGAAGTTAAACACAATGTTTACTGTGTTCTGGAAATGGTGCTTTTAACAGATCTCCAAAAAGGTCAGATCTCTCAGTTTGCTGCAAGGCTGCTGGCTTTGCTTACTATGAAGCTGAGCTGGGGATGGAGGAAGTTGGACCAGACCCAGGTTAAAATGCCACAGACCTCACCATTTGTCATAATTTAGTAGTTTGTCTTGGATAGATGACTTTCAATTCTTTCTACAGCTGGTTAATTTCTCGAGTTCTAAAATGGTTGATTTATTTGTTTTGCTCATATTTTCATCATTTTAATAGAAGAGCAGGTTCATAGATATCTTCATTCTACCATTCCAAAAGTTTTCATGGTTCTCATTTGAACATAATTATTTATTAATTTTAAGTTAGATTTTTGGGGGACATTCATATATATATATATATATATACATATATATACATATATATATATATATAAAACTTTAGGTATCTATTATGTGCAAGAACCTCCTCTGGAGTCTAAGTGTGACAGTGGTGATTTGGCTACCATTTTCCAGAGTCTCAACGAAATTTCAGATTGGTTCTTTTAGTTCTCCCCAGGACAGAGTGTGATCTCCACTCCTGTGTCCATTTCTGCTCAGAGTATCTGAGCTTTCTGCCTTCTGTTCCCAGGGCTTGTTAGAGTCCCAGACTGTGTGATTTTGGGTTAGCCACAGGTGATGGGTCAAGTTCCATGGTCAGGGACAACACGATCTTCCTTGGTCTTCTTAACAGAAAAGCTTCTTCATTTCCTCACTTTGTTTACATCTTATTCTCTCAGTTTCTCTTTCACAGTTCTGCTTGCTTCATCCAGCTCGAGGCTCTTCTGACAAGGCAAAACTGGTTCCTCAAGGAAACATCCATGTCTATATACTAAATAAATACACAGATGTTTTATAGCCTCAGATGTAACCTTACCTCTGAAGTATAAGAAGATGAATAAGTCACTGTCCCTGCTCTCAGGGACCTCGTTGTCCATTTAGGGTCAAACAGCGAGAAGGAAAAGCAAATAACTCTACTGAGATAATCCAGAAAGACTTCCTAAAAGTGACATTTGTATGTTTCTTAAAAGAAGAGTAAACATTTTCTCTTGGCAGAGTAAGGGCTTGCAGGGCAAAGAAAGCAGCATTAAGAAGACATGAAAACTTAGTAGAGTTTCTGTCTAAACCTCACCCTTCCCTCATGCCATTCCCCCTCCCTCTGCAGGGAAACTCACCGTTCACATGTCCAGTCCCTACTTTCCTCTTCAGGGAAGCCTTCTCCACAAACAATGCTGTGCCATAGATGCTTATTTCCTCATGAATTATGTTTGTCTTCATCCCCTCTGCTGGTATATTGGCTTAGAATTTAGGCTGTGAAATTTGATGGATGCTTCGTAACTCATTACTGCCACTTACTAGCTAATCTTTTTCATCTTTCATACGGGGAAAATCATAGCACTTACTATTGTCATAAAAATTAAATGATGTCATGAACCCACAAGTACTTGGTGTGTTGTAAGCACTCCATAAATGTCAGCATTTTTTTCCTATTTCTTTTCATCAACATTTAAAAATGTTCTGGTCTTTCTGACTTTGACCTATATCCTCTGTCATTTAATTTGTCTATTTCTCTCATATCCAAGCTGTTTAATTTTTTTTACTTCCTATACACCTTTATCATCCTCACTTTCCCAATCACACGTGCTGGTCAGTCAGACTTCCACCCCATTCTGTCATCTTCATGGACATAACTAATTAATTAGATTTTTAAAAAATGAAACCCACATTCTAGGTGTAAGTATGTCGCTAGACCTGCTGGGAGGTTCACTGGGATTCTTAGGATCGCTTCTAGATAGCGGGTTCTTTCTGGGAAGAAGTTCTCTGATTCAGAATGGAGAATCATTGCCACCCCGTGCTCCAGGCTGCCAATCCCCAATTCACCTCCAATTTACCTCTTTATTTTCCTCCAACCAGAGCTGTGCAGGAGGTGACCGGACAGCGAGGGGTCGTCATCACCCGCTCCACATTCCCCTCTTCTGGCCGCTGGGCAGGACACTGGCTGGGAGACAACACAGCTGCCTGGGACCAGCTGGGGAAATCTATCATCGGTGCGTGGGCCCATTCCCGGGGGACCTCTGCTGGCAGGGAGGGGACTGGAGTGTGTGCAATTCAGCGGCACTGGCTCTATCTGGATCGTCATCTAGGTGGAGGATAAAATCAGTAAGAGTTGAGTTCTCGGCTGGGTGTGGTGGCTCACGCCTGTAATCCTAGCACTCTGGGAGGCCGAGGCGGGCGGATTGCTCAAGGTCAGGAGTTCAAAACCAGCCTGAGCAAAAGTGAGACCCTGTCTCTACTATAAATAGAAAGAAATTAATTGGCCAACTAATATATATAGAAAAATTAGCCGGGCATGGTGGTGCAAGCCTGTAGTCCCAGCTACTCAGGAGGCTGAGGAAGCAGGATCGCTTGAGCCCAGGAGTTTGAGGTTGCTGTGAGCTAGGCTGATGCCACGGCACTCACTCTAGCCTGGGCAACAAAGTGTGACTCTGTCTCAAAAAAAAAAAAAAAAAAAAAAAAAAAAAAGTTGAGTTCTCTATGGGCATGGGTTTTAATGCATACCCATCTTTCAATATTGTCATCATGAATGGCCCAGGGCTTTCTAACGGGGTAAGGAAAAGTCAGGCCAGACCTTCCCTCTCCTCCCAAAGTCTTCTTCCTCCAACGCAGTCATATTTTCTCCTTGCAGGCATGATGGAGTTCAGTCTCTTCGGAATACCGTATGTAAGTCATGCCGGGGGCCGTTGCAATTGCCCAGTCGGATTTCAGTGTCTGCAGCCCACAATTTCCCACCTCACACTCTCATTCTGCATCTTCTCAGACAGGAGCAGACATTTGTGGGTTCTTCGGAGATGCTGACTATGAGATGTGTGTCCGCTGGATGCAGCTGGGGGCGTTTTATCCCTTTTCCCGGAACCACAACAACGTCGGGACACGGGTGAGGCAGCAGTTCATGCTGCAGGTGTTTTGTCTCCTTAAATCACAACCTCTTTTTAACCCTCAAGGATGTCACACTTAATTCTTGAGAAAAATCATCAAAACCACCATAAGCTTTATTTCCTGGAAAACCTACAGAGTTCAGAACCCCAGAGTTATCAATAATTTTTAAGAATATACTCTTCCTTGTCTTCTGGGGGATTAGAACCTGTGAAGAGAGAAGTTGTTATAGCTCCCCATGGGGCTAAAAGAACCTCCATTTACTTTTATATAAATCTAATACCCATTTAAGATATTTCGAGGTTGCATAGAGACCTACCTCTTTGCATGTGTGCAGGATCAAAGCTAGACCTGTTCAGGGGACTTAGGAATCGGTACCAAAGAGGAGAAAGCAGGAAGTTCTAGTTTCGTAGGGTGGCAGGGGTGGCGGAAAGGATAGGCTGGGAATGAAGGGAGAAGTGGCCTGTTACCTACATATGGAACAAATGCCCGCTGATCCTTTTCTGATGCCACAAGGATGGAGTGAAGAAGAGGTGATCTGTTATGTGCTTCTTTATCCCTACAGAGACAAGATCCTGTGGCCTGGAATTCAACCTTTGAGATGTTCTCCAGAAAAGTCCTCCGGACCAGATACACACTGCTGCCCTACCTCTATACTCTGATGCACAAAGCTCACGTGGAAGGCAGCACTGTGGTCCGGCCCCTTCTCCACGAGTGAGTGCAGCCTTTTCCCCCAAGCAGTAGGACTGGGCATGTCTTGTAAATAACCTGCTGCAGCAGTCATAAGAGTGTGGGTGAATCTTTCATGTTTGTTTTTAAGGTTTACAGACGACATCACGACATGGGATATAGACCGTCAGTTCATGCTGGGCCCTGCCATCCTAGTCAGCCCAGTGCTGGAAAGTGTGAGTTTTTCATCATAGATCAGAAACCCTTTAATCATCTAATCTAAAATCATAAGAAAAGCATTTTAAAGATTATCTTGTCTTGTTATGCTTACTATTTTCAGGCAAGTGCCTTTCTAGAACATCTAAAAGAGATTTTTTTTCTTTTTTCTAGATCTCTATTAATGAAAATTTCACAACACTGATTGATATCTCATTTTAGATTTTTGTCGCTTTGTGTAGCCTTTTACAATTTACTCTTTTTTTTTTTTTAAGATAGAGTCTCACTCTGTTGCCCTGGGTAGAGTGCAGTGGCATCATCATATCCTACTGCAGCCTCAAACTCCTAGGCTCAGGTGATCCTCCTGCCTCTGCCTCCTGAGTAGTAGAGATGGGGTCTTGCTCTTACTCAGGCTGGTCTTGAACTCCTGAGCTCAAGCGATCCTCCCACCTTGGCCTGCCAGAGTGCTAGTATTATAGGCCTGAGCCACCATGCCTGGCCCTACAATTTACTTTTTTAAAAAATTATTTTTCTGGATATTTGAGGAAGAAGTTTCCAGGATCTTTCTTAATAAAATCTCTTAAATTCTTGAAATTACTAATAAAATTCCCATGTTTATCTTAATTCTCCAGAAAGTATTTTAAAAATTAAAATTAGGCCATGTGTGGTAGCTCACTCCTGTGGTCCTAGCACTTTGGGAGGCTGAGGTGAGAGGATTGCTTGAGGCCAGGAGTTTGAGACCAGCTTGGGCAATAGTCAGACCCCATCTCTACAAAAAAGTTTAAAAAATTAGCCAGGCATGGTGGGACATACCTGTAGTCCCTGCTACTTGGGAGGCTGAGGCAGGAGGACATGTAGTCCCTGCTACTTGGGAGGCTGAGGCAGGAGGATCATTTGAGCCCACGAGTTTGAGGTTGCTGTGAGCTAGGGTGTTGCCATGGCACTCTAGCCTGGGCAATAGAGGGAGACCCTGTCTCAGGAAAAAAAAACATTAAAATTAAATTATTTCCTTATTGAAATATTCATAATGACATGTCGATTTTATGTTTCAGAACACTTTTGAGATCCGTGCTTATTTTCCCAGAGCCCTTTGGTATGACTATAGCATGGTAAGAACTAAAATATTTTGTGAACAACCAGGTTAGTCTATGTAGGCTACAAAGGTGGGCAGAGCTTTCTCCTGACTTCCAAGCATACATTTTTTTTAGGCAATAATTTCCAACCTCTTTAGTCTCGGCAAGGTTTTTTTAAATGAAAGTATACATAAAAGCATAAATAGATGAAAATATGAGCACCTATATCATCCTCACACTCTACCATACCCCACTCCTGCCTGCCTCTCACTTTTTCTAGAGATACAGAGAAAAGACTAGGTTGTCAGAGTGTTAAGCAAAAATGAAAAACCAGAGATTTTATCCTTAGGTTTGCAGGGTTTTGCTAAATTTCTAACATGCTTCCTTGGAAAGGAAGAACTTGTAATAAAACATATTCTCATTTATTCTCTTTATCTGTCATCATTTTTTGCCTATATTCTCCCTTCTAGGAATCTGGCAACAAATCCGCAGGTGAGTGGAAAACCCTGGAGGCTCCCCTCGACCACATCAACCTTCATGTCAGGGGAGGCTACATCCTGCCTTGGCAAGAGCCTGCAATGAACACTAACTCCAGGTAAGGAGAGGCCATGTTTAATAGCCTGGCCACATGGCAATGAGGTGGCCTTGCAGGTGGCTGTCCCACCTTTACCAGGGTTATGGGGATAAGAAGCCAAACTGCAGACAGGTTTCATTGGTTGGATTCTGTGAGTGCCTTCCAAGTGGGATCTGGAGAAGGATGAGTTCATGAATTCAGTCTTGGGGAGATCTTTCATTTGTCGTGCTGTGCCAAAGGCAAAAATTTTTCCTGGGGGTGGACGCATGTTTCTCTTTCCACACTATTAAAAAAATGGGAAATATTAATGGATTTTTTGATTTGTGACAGCTACTCATTGAGTGCTCATTCTCAGGTCTACTTTGGTCAACCCAAGGAGACAAATACATACACACACACATACACACACACCCAAATTTGTATCTCTGTGCATATATATGCATATGTATTTGTGCATATATATATTATTATATATATATATACATATATATGTGTGTGTATATATATATATATATATATATAAAATCATTCACCAAGCAGAACATGTTATGTTGAGAGAAGCATGTAACCACAACAATAGCAAATCACTGGGAAAGAAGTTACTGTTCAGCTGTGTATAAAGCATGGTTTCATATGAGAGAGGGCTTTGAGTTAGGTTTTGCATAATAAGTACAATTTGAATGTATGAAGACAGGGAGAGAAGCATTCTGGAAGGATTAAAGAACTGAAGGTGAAAAATGAGTTGGGTTTGGGGAATAGTAAATAATTCTTTTTAACTGGAGCACAGATAAGGGAAAGGATAAAATAAATAAAATTCAAACAGAAAAGGATCAGATCAGGGAGGGTTGTAAATGACAAGCTCAGTACTTTGGATTTTATTCTGTAGCAACCTGAAAGCTGAGAGTTCTTTTTTGGGGTGTTTTCCTCATAAGGAAATAATATTTAATCATATTACTTATAATATGGACATATACAAAGTATGTATCTTTGGCTTCTGAAAGTTTAAGTTAAACCAAATGTTTCATTAAATTTTAAACGTTTTTTCAGTAACTTTTAAGTGTCCTAAATTTTACCTATTTTTAGAACTTTATGTGTATATTTATATATTATCTTTATTACTGGATAAGTAATATTTTTAACAAAAGCTGTTTTTCATCTTACAACCTACAATCTAGAGAAAAATAACTCCTTTTTTTTAATAGTCGTCAACAATTTATGGGATTGATTGTTGCTTTGGATGACAATGGGGAAGCTGAAGGTGAGATATTCTGGGATGATGGACAAAGCATTGGTAAGTATGAACTCTCCAGTGTTACTAAATGTCATTCAGAAAAATTGTACCATAGTGGCTTAGCATATAATTAGCATGAACTGGGAACCTATCTGTGTTTCTGCTACTGTCAATAAGACAATGGGGCTTGAAGAATTTTTACAACTTTGCCTGGTTATGTATATTACACTGTAACTATTATAGATCAGGTATGGTCCACAGCTTTGTAGGTACAGGAGCCTGATGCTATGGATTTATAATCTGCCCCTGTCTAACTGCATCACTCTGATTTTTAAAAAAGTGTGAAATGCAGATATAAAGCTGTTAGTTAATTCATTCTCAGTGGGCCACACACGTGACTCTATTATTTAGGCCAGTCATCTAAACCAGGCACCCTTTTTTTCAGAAGTAGGCCCACTCAGGAGACAATTTAGAGCCTAAAAAATTTCTTGATGACTTGTAAATGGAGAATTAAGTATTGCCCAAAGGGTACTTAATATCAGTGAAATGTTACTTTGTGTGTTTCTTTGCCCAGTAGAGATAGAAAACCCTAGTGCTATCTTAGATAAGTGGGATTTGTCACTATAATCAGAACGCCCTTTTCCTCAGACATTTCTACAGAAATTTTAACACATTGTTACTGACTGACTCTCGCTTTTCACCACGTGTTACTGTGGACTGAAACATTCTAACCTTGTAACATGCTACATTTTCTGAAATTATAACTTATTTTTCATTGCTAGTATTTCTAAGTGTTTTTTTCGTCAGTATTCTTCATTATAAGGATAAAATATTCTCATTAAGGGATAAGATATTCTCTTGAAAAAATTTATAGATAGAAAATTAGAAAAAAACGAAGCACTTTTAATATTTTTGCTGTGTTACCTTTTGCTTTTATAGTATTTAAGAAAATGCTCGATTTTTTACATAGCTGAAAACATACTACATATTTAATTTGTAAATCTTGTTTATTTTTACTTACCATAATGACGGAAATATGTCTAGATGTCATTATGTACTCCTTGTAATCATAATTATGATTATCATAATATACTGAGAGGATATACTATGATTTATCTAACTCTTTGTAATTAATCTCTGTATAGGTTGTTTTCAGTTTTCATTGTTATAAATAACATCCTCGTGTATTAACTTTTGTTTGCATTTTAGATTATTTTCATAGGGTAAATTCTTATAAATTAAATTATTATCTTGTACAATCAACTTTAACAGTTGTGATTTATATCAATAAAGAGTATTCATTTTAAGAATACAGTTAAGTTTTGACAAATATCATATATACAGTTGTATAACCATAATCGAGATATAGAATATTTTCATAACCCTAAAGCTCATTTTATATAGTTGGCCCTTCTGGATTCAACCAACCATGGATTAAAAATGTAGTTAGGTGGTTGGGCATGGTGGCTCATGCCTGTAATCCTAGCACTCTGGGAGGCCGAGGCAGGCGGATTGCTCCAGGTCAGGAGTTCCAGACCAGCCTGAACAAGAGTGATACCCTGTCTCTACTATAAATAGAAAGAAATTAATTGGCCAACTAATATATATAGAAAAAATCAGCTAGGCATGGTGGCACATGCCTGTAGTCCCAGGTACTTGGGAGGCTGAGGTCGCAGAATTGCTTGAGTCCAGGAGTTTGAGGTTGCTGTGAGCTAGGCTGATGCCACGGCACTCACTCTAGCCTGGGCAACAAAGCGAGACTCTGTCTCAAAAAAAAAAATGTAGTTAAGCCAACAGTGATTGGGTCAGTAGTGAACATGTACAGGCTTTTTTTCTTGTCATTATTTCCTTAAAAATGCAATATAATAGCTATTTCCATAGCATTTACATTGTATTAGGTATTATTGTATTAGATATTATAAGTAATCTCAAGGTGATTTCAAGTATAGAGTAGGATATACATAGGTTGCATGCAAATACTACACCATTTTATATCAAGGACTTGCACCTATATGGAATTTTATATCTGCAAGGGTCCTGTGCCCAAGCCCCTGCAGATCCCAAGGGGTGACTGCAATGATGGTTCTTTCTAGTCAACTTCTCCCAACTCCCAACCATCCTTCTAGGCCCCGGAAACCACTGTTCTGCTTTCTGGCACTATGTATTAGATTCAGTTTTCCTAGATTTTATATAAATAGAATCATACAGTATGTACTCTTTCTGTGTTTTTAGCTTCTTTCACTTAGCAAAATGAATTTTAAGTTCACCTTGTTGTCGCATGTAAAAGGAGTTAATTACTTTGTATTATCAAATGAAATTCCATTGTGTGAATATACCACAATTAGTGTATCCATGTACTTGCTAACAAATACTTCAGTTGTCTCATTCCTTGAGCATTATGCATAAATATGCCATGATTATTTGACTGTAAGTCATTTTGTGATCATATGTTTTCACTTCTCATGGGTAAAAACCTGGGAGTGGACTTGCTGGGCCAGGTCATATGATAAATGTATGTTTAACTTTTGAAAAGTTGCCGAATTGTTTTCTAAAGTGGCTGCACTATTTTCCACTACTACCAGTAATAATTGAGAGTTCCAGTTTTCCACATCCTTGCCAACAGTCGGTATTGTCAGTTTTTAAAATTGTAACCATTCTAACAGACATATAGGGCATTGTGTTATAGATTTAATTTGTATTTCCTTGATGTTGAGCATCTTATCATAAGTTTATTAGCCATCTGTATATCTTCTTATGTGAGATCAATTCGAGTCCTTTGCCCATTTTTTTCTTTTGTTGCATTCCTTGTCTTTTTATTATTAAGCTGTAAGAGTTACAGATACTACACCTTTATCAGGTGTACATGCGTGTCTCCCTGTCTGTGGTTTGGCTTTTCCATTATGGCATCTTGCAAAAAGCAAACCTTAATTTTTTTTAATGTTTTATTGAAGTATAAGTACTACTCAGCCACAAAAAACAATGATGATCTAGCAACGAACTTTAATTTTGATAAGAATCAATTTATTCATGTTTTTCTTTTATGATTTGTGCTTTTGTTTCTTGGTCAAGGTTACAAAAATTTTATCCTATTTTTTGAAAGTTTTAAAGCTTTAGTTTTTACATTTAGGACCATAGTCTATTTTGTATTAAGTTTTGTACGTATTTATATATGTATATCATTTCCTTTTTCACATATATTTATCCAATTGTCCCAGCACTGAATTTTGAAAGCACAATCTTTTCCCTATTTTATTATCTTGATACCTCTGTGAGATATCAATAGGTCATATATGGCTGAGAGTTTATTTTTGGATTATTTGTTCCGTTCTGTTAACCTATATGTTTATCCTTTGCCAATACTGTGGTGTCTTGACTAATGTAGCTTTATAGCTGGTTATGAAATAAAGTTGGATAAGTTCTTCTATTAGTACTTTGTTCTTTCTCAAAATTATTTAGGCTATTCTAGCTTTTTAATATTTTATACAGACTTTAGAATCAGCTTGTCAATTTTTAACAACAAAACCATCCTTATGGAAAATTGACTGGAATTGCTTTGATTCCATAGACCAGTTTTAGATATCTGTCATCTTTCCACCTATGAATCTATCTGTGTACACAATTTCCATTTACTTAGATATTCTTTAATTACTCTTTATTTTCAATTTAAAAAAATTTTTTTTTTATTATTTCATATTATGGGAGTACAAATATTGTTAGGGTTACATATATTGGCCCTGCTCCCCACCCCCACCCTGCTATACCAGAGCTTCTAGGGTGTCCAGCCTCCAGGTGGTGCACACCGCACCCACCGTGTAAGTACATACCCTTCCCCTCCGCCCCCCTTCCCCCTGCCCACTTCCCGATTACAGATTTTTTTTTCAGACATTTTGGTTACAATGTATATCTTTGCCTCTCCCTAAAAAGGGAAGAGGTAATCCTTTCCCCCCACAATGCTCGCCAAATGTTTTATAATTTTGAGTGCATGGATCTTGCATATATTTTGTTAAATATATCTGACATATTTCTAACTTTTTGATGGTATTGTGAATCATATTTTAAATTTCTCTTAATAGCGTATGGATAATATATTATAACCTTATATTCATTTAATATAGTATATAGGAGAGGTAGGAGTATATAGGAGAGGTAGGAGTATTTAATATAGTATATAGGAGAGGTATTTTTCAAATGATTTGATTGCCAATTTATAGATGAAGACTTGCTAAAAGCAAGGATATGAAGGAATTAGATGACTTTTTTTTTCTGAACTCAATTCAGTCTTCAGACTTTCTTTTTAAAATAATCTGATAACTCTATGGAGAGGCATGTGGCATGCTGAAGTTTAATATATCTAGGTTCAAATACCATCTCAGTCATTTTCTAGCTGTGTGACTTCTGGAAAATTATATTTCTTTTTCTGTATTTATTCATCTTTAATTACCTACAAGGTACATCTATATTGTAATTTTTGATGCAGATAAAATTATTTAACATATATAGAAAATTTCTGGCACATGAGTTCTTAATAAAATGTATCATTAATATGTAAGGTGAATAAAGCTTCATTGTAAACATTGAAGATGAAATATTTTACATTAAAATCAGTGTGGTTGCCGGGTGCAGTGGCTCACGCCTGTAATCCTAGCACTCTGGGAGGCTGAGGTGGGCGGATTGCTCGAGGTCAGGAGTTCGAAACCAGCGTGAGCAAGAGCGAGACCCCGTCTCTACTATAAACAGAAAGAAATTAATTGGCCAACCAATATATATAGAAAAAATTAGCCGAGCATGGTGGCACATGTCTGTAGTCCCAGCTACTCGGGAGGCTGAGGCAGGAGGATTGCTTGAGCCCAGGAGTTTGAGGTTGCTGTGAGCTAGGTTGCTGCCACGGCACTCACTCTAGCCTGGGAAACAAAGCGAGACTCTGTCTAAAAAAAAAAAAAAAAAAAAAATCAGTGTGGTTCATAAGACAATAAGAAATCCAAAAGTCAGGAAAGGAAGGTTGACCAGGCATCTGGACCAGGTTTCAAGGAAGTAGCAGAACTTGAGCCTTATCAGAGAAAATATACCAAAATGGCATTAACTGGTACTATAATCCCCATTCTACAGATGGTAAAATGTTAAGTAACTTGCCTGGGGTTGCACAATTACAAAGAACAAGAGCTGGGATTTGCATCCTTGTCTACCTGGTTGTCTGTGATGCAGCATTATTACATAATAGACATCTTATATAGCATTTATCCTTCAAAATTTTATTGTCTACCTTGTCTACCTGACAAGGTAGACAAGGATGCAAGGTACCTGACAAGGTACCTGACGTTGGAGCCTGGATTCCTAACCACTCTCCTCTGCTTTGAGCCTTTACCATCATAGCCATGTGAGCTCTCATGGCCATGTGCTTGCTCTACCAGAACAGAATAACCATGCAGTAGCCTTCTACACTTTACCTATGGGATCTATCCTTAGTTTGACCCAGACTCTCTTGCATGTGCAACCTTAGGACTCTGACCACAATTTACCCCCTTCTACTTGCACATCCCAACATTAACCTAGGGTGAAATATTTCCTCAACTTCTATTTTTAGTGCTCCCCACAGGGTGACAATTATAAGTAATCGTCAGTGCCTGATATCTTTTCTGACTGTACACAAGATTATTTGCTACACTTGAAGCAGCAAGTAGTTGTTTATTCTTTTCTTTTCCTTCCGTGCAGATACCTATGAAAATGGAAATTACTTCTTGGCAAACTTTACAGCAGCTCAGGTAAAACTCTTTTACTGAATTTTATAAATCCTTTCCCAGTTAACTACAGATTAAACATTATCGGTTAACTATATAAATATAATGTCCCACATTTTAATAGGAGGTCCTTTTTGCCTTTACTTTTATAATCCAGGTATGTCGACATTAAAATAAGGAAGAAATAGTCATTATTTTGGTAATTATCCAGTGAGCCATAACTCTATAAAAAGAAATTTGAATCTATACAATGCTGGGAAAAAATGGGTCCTTAAATGTATAACATTTTTCCACAGATAAGAAATGTTCTGACTAATAAAATTTTGAAGGATAAATGCTATATAAGATGTCTGTTATGCAATAATTCTGCATCACAGACAACCTCAAAACCTCAGTGGCATGCAACAATAAGCACTTACTTAGCTCATGAGTTTGCAGAGTTCAGATGATCTGGGCTGGCCTTGGCTGATCTTGGCTGGCTCACCTATATCAGCAGTCAGCCATGGATCTGTTGAGCCACATGGATAATCTTGGCTGTACTTACATATCTAGGGGGTATGATGACTCTCAGATAATCTAAGATGGCCTTGTGGAAAGGCCTGATTCTAAAAGAGGGCAAAAATAGAAGGGGAAATGCCTGAGTACTTTAAAAAAATCTCTTGCATCAAGTTGATTAATTTTCCATGAGCAAAAGCAAAGCCACATGGCCAAGCCCAGAGGCAGAAGAGGGACAGAATGCCTCATCCAGAAAGGGAGGGCATTGCAAAATGGCCTGGAAAAGTATCTGGATAGGGATGAATAATTGTAGACAACAATGCAATCAATGTACCTTATCTGTTAAATGATTCCTTGGATAATCTATATAATTATAATTAGAGTATGAGGGGGATCATTCTATGTCAAACCTGGAATTGGCTCCTCTATAATTTTTTCATGTTGACTTCAAGGAAAAATATAGCACAAATCTATTGTCTCTTTTCTATAACAGTGTTTCAAATGTTTGAAGATGTCTGTCTGTCATATACTCCTTCGTTTTCTCTCCTTAGAATTATACATCACCAGGCTAATTCCACATTTCTTCTGTTTCATATTTATAATGGTTTCTAGATTTGGTTATTCTGGACTCCAGTTAACCTAGATTTCTCTTAAAATACAGTGCCCAGGATTGAGAGCATATTTTAGAGCTGCACTATCCAATATGATAGTCACTATTGAACACTCTAAATACGACTAGACTGATTTGAAATAATCAGAAGCTGAGTTTGAAAATCGATTGTAAAATATCTCATGAATATTTAACATGTGTCAAATACATGTTAAAATAATATTTTGGATATATTGGGTCAAATAAAATATATTTTGAAATTAATTTTTCCTGTTTTTTTTTTTTTTACTTTTTAAAAATGTGGCTACTAGAAAATTTCAACTCATGTATATGGTTTGCATTATATTTTATAGGATATACAGCATTGCTTTCCATATTGCCTACTACCACTTTTTAGCTAGACTCTGTATTTTTTTTTCACAGTTGTTACATTGTGTTATTTTTTAAACACACGTGTCAGATGTTTGGCACACATAAATCTCAGGATCAACTGAGACCTTCAAATTATTTTCATAGACATGATGATCAGGTCATGCTGCCTCCATCCTGCAGTCACCAGTTTGAACCTAAGCACAAGAACTTGTACACTAATTAAATGTGCATATTCTCTGTTCTTAATTTAACAATAGTTGAGTTAAAGACTTTACATATTTTTTTCTCTCAAAATATTATTTTTAATGAAGCCATTGATCTGGAAGTTCTGGGTATTTCTTTCTACTACTAACTAGTTATTCAATTTAGGGAAGGCACCCTGTTTAAATCTGTGTCTTTTTAATTATAAAACATTAGATTGCCCCTGAAAAACTCCTACCTCTAAAATTCCATTCATCCATTATTCCAAAGCAGTAATAGATTGATTCCTATTTCTGTGATGTTTGATGGATTCTTCCCTAGGGATAAGTGGCCTATATTGAAAGAAAGCTCCTAACTTTCTCCCGGGGATAATTATTACCAATGGTGTCCTGCCTGGAAAGCAGCTTGTGGGGGTGGCAGCTGATTTGCAGCATTTGCTGATTTCTGTAGTGTAAATTATTCCCACCACCTTAGCCAATTTTAAGTCAGCTGGCTTGCAAAATTCCAGGAAACAATCAACTCTCCCCCCAAATTTACCCTTAGAATACCCATTTTCTTTAAGTTGTATCCGTTTTCTTGCATTTTCCCTTGATTTTGCCTGCCCATTCAGCCACAAAAGTCTTCTTCATTCTTCGCAATGGCAATTGAATGTGTTTCCTTCTCTTTCTATGGCTGTCATCAGAATGGAGAAATTTATAGCTTCAATCTACTGCAATTATCTCCTTGACTTATTCCATGGAATCTTCATAGTCTTTTTTTTTTTTACCTTTTTTTTTTTTATTTCGGCATATTATGGGGGTACAGATTTTAAGGTTTCAATAAATGCCCTTTCCCCCCTCTCCCCACAAGTCTGATTCTCCAGCATGATAGTCTTATCTTACAAACTTACCGGCCTCCTTTCTCTGTTTACTCATCGCCAGCTACAGTAGCCCTGGCACTCACTCAGTGAGTGTGCCTTTGTTTGATGTGTCCCTGTCCCCTCAGTCCATTTCCCATTCATATCACCATTATGACTCCTGTCCACCTTTCCAGGACTTCTGAAGTCCCACGTCCTTCCTGGGCCTGCCCTTGAGGACCCTATTCCCAAAGTAATTTTTCTTTCTCTTCACACCTATAACAAATATTCATTAAGATTTTAATTAAGGGCCTTAATCATGTACCAACTCTTGATTTATCTCATATGATTTCAACCCTTTTATTGATAACAGTTTGTGATTTAGATAAGTTCCTATATATTTCCTGCCAAGTGTCCTTGGTGTAGAGACTATTTGCAGTAATTTGTCTGCCCTGTATTAACTCCTGCAGTACTATGCATGTGGATGCCTGTGGTTCCAACTCTGTGTTGTCTATCTGCATGGCCTTGGGCTTCTCTCTGCATCATCAGCCTCAGTTTCCCTATCTGTAAAAGGCATAATGATACCTTCTTTTTAAAATTATTGTAAGGATACTAATAATATGGGTAAAATAACTTTCCTGAAACTGGTAAATGAACCCATTTTTGTCATCATCAAATTTATTAAAGTAGGTACTCAGGAAGTGTGTCTCCATGAAGTGTTTATAGAGTAGAATGATAGTTACCAGGCACTGGGGAGGGAAGGGTAGTGAAGAGAGGTTGGTTAATGGGCACCAACCTACACTTAGAGAGCGGGACTAAGTTCTAGTGCTTGATAGCACAGTAGGGTGGACTATGATTAACAACAATTTGTGATATATTTCAAAATAACTAGAAGAGAAAATTTGGAATGTTGTGAACAACAAGAAATGACAAATGACTGAGGCGCTAGATATCCTAAATACTATGACTTGATCATTATACATTGTATGCATGTGTCAAAATATACAAACCCCATAAATATGTACAATTATTATATATCAATACAATTTAAAAGTAAAATAGAAAACCAATGCAACAAAAGTAATTTGAGGTTTTTTAACATTTTAATAACATGGAACATAGTCTATCAACAATGTATTATGTATTTTTTTAATCTTCATAAATTCCTTATAGAACAACCTGCAAATCCGGACTATACACAATAAATATTTGGATGACTCAAATCCATTGAAAGTTGGATATATTAGAATCTGGGGTATAAACTCTACTTATGTGACACAAGTCTATTTAATCTATGACAACCAGCAATTTGTGGAGACGAATTTCACAAGTGACCCTTATGTCCAGGTATGTCTGAAAGGGATATTATCGTAAGTTCATTTTATTATGCTGAAATATTATCACCAATAATTTTGATAATAGCCAAATTATTATCATTGTTACATTTATATATATTAGAAAGGTTATAAATATGTGCAATGATTATGTTCCTAAAAAGTTGTGATGTTGAATGATATCATAAAATGCACCTTAGTGTTCCTCCCAGGGTAGTCCATGCACCAACAATCCCTGGTTTGATGAGGGTCTTTCCATATGTTTACAAAAGAAACTGTGCTATTTTTTAATAGGTTGGGCTCCAAGGTAGCATAAGAAAGTTTATTGACTTCTGCCGCAGAGGCTACAAGAAAGGAAACAGTGATTTCCTAAAGTTGTTGAAAGTCCCCCTCCCCCCCCTTCCTGTGTTATTCATATCCCTGGTCAAATCGATGTTACAAGTTGAAAATTGGCAGTAAACTGTGGTAGTCATCAAATGAATAGATCCCACCTGTGGTATAAGATAAAGATTAACAAACCAGAGTGACATAAATAGCAGACCCTACTAGAGGCTACCAGAACCACCTAAACCAGCACTTTGGAAGATGAAGTACCAATAAAGTTACTAAGGGCAACCACAAAGGAAAAAATATTCCACTTTAGAACATGCAACTAATCATAAATATGGGTTCAGTAACCCACGATGGATGTTTTCGAAAGGTGAAAATGAATAACTATGGTTCCTGTTTGCTAAAATGTGAACATTGTGCCTTGATGGTATTTAGATTTTAGAAAATGACCCCTCTGAGCAGCCTTTCTATAGGATCTTCTAGGCATCTACTTTAAAACATTTTTCCTGGACCATTAGGTTCAAAATCTCTCTTTACAAGTAATTGCTTCTAGTGAAGACTGGTAGAAAATCCTCGAGTATCTTCTTTTTGTAAAACTCTGTAGCATGTCAGATGCCTGTTCTGTGCCAGGCACCATCCTAGGCGTTGGAGAGGGTGGAGACATTAAACAAGCATACCAGCAGGAAGGTGAACACCCAATGGCAAAGCAAAGTTATTTTAACAAACATCCCTTTTAATCACAGTTGTAAGTATTTATGAACAATGTGATTCTGACTAAATCAAGTGGAAAGAAAGAGGCTTCCAGCATAGGGGTTATGCACACAGAGCATCTATCCATGTTTATCTGACTGGACTCAATGTGACCCGGAAAGGAATGTTTATATCCTAATACTTTCTTGGAAAAGAATGAATATATCATTTTTGTCAAGTTATAATTTGAGACTTAAATCTGATATTTAAGAAGTTCTAAAATATCCACTTTATCTTTTCTTTTCTGGCAGACACTAACTATTCAATTGACTGACAAGATTATCAGCCTGGAAAAGTTAACTGAGGTTGTTTGGATTCATGGTGGTCCTATAGTTCCTACTCCAGCTATGACAAGTACCTCCCCCATGAGTTCTCATACTCCTCTATCTACTACTGAGGCTACCAGTTCTGAGACTGTCACTAGTTTCGCTAGTACAAGTACTACTGCTAGCACTACTAGTGCTACTGTTTCTGTCACAACCACTCCTTTCCCAACAAGTACTACTAATGTTATAACTAGTACTGCTGTTCCTGATACAACTACTCCTTCCCCTACAAATACTGCTAGCTGATAGCACTAGTACTGTGTTTATGGCACAACCACTCCTTTCCCAACAAGTACTACTAATGTTATAACTAGTACTGCTGTTCCTGATACAACTACTCCTTCCCCTACAAATACAGCTACTGATAGCACTAGCTACTGTTCTTATCACAAACCACTCCTTTCCCAACAAGTACTACTAATGTTATAACTAGTACTGCTGTTCCTGATACAACTACTCCTTCCCCTACAAATAGCTGTACTATAGCACTAGTACTGCTGTTTATGCCACAACCATCCTTTCCAACAAGGTACTACTAATGTTATAACTAGTACTGCTGTTCCTGATACAACTACTCCTTCCCCTACAAATACTGCTACTGATAGCACTAGTACTGCTGTTTATGGCACAACCACTCCTTTCCCAACAAGTACTACTAATGTTATAACTAGTATTGCTGTTCCTGATACAACTACTCCTTCCTCTATAAGTACTAATATTGCTAGCACTAGTACTACTGTTTATACCACAGCCATGTCCTATCCTACTGCTGATACTAACACTAGTATTACTACTCCTAATACAACTACACCTTCCCCTACTGCCAATACTAGTGCTACTATTCCTATCACAACTACTCCTTTCCCAGAAAATACTACTGTTACAACTACTACTACTGTTCCTGATACAACTCCTTCTTCCTCTGCAAGTACTAATACTGCTAGCACTAGTGCTACTGTTTATACCACAGCCATATCTTCTCCTACTGCTGATGCTAACGCTAGTACTACTACTAATACAACTATGCCTTCCCCTACAAGTATTACTACTGCTAGAACTATTTCAATCACTCCTTTTCTGACAAGTATTGCTGATGCTAGCATGAGTACTACTGCTCTTATTACCCCTACTCCTTCCCTAACAAATACTGCTGATGTTAGTACTAGTACTACTATTTCTAATATAACTACTCCTTTTCCAACAAATACTACTAATGCCAACTCTAGTACTAATGTTTCTTTTATAACCACTTCCTCTCATGTAAGTACTGATAATAGTAGCACAAATACTGTTCCAATTACAACTGTTCCTTCTCTTACAAACACTGATGCTGATACTACTAGTAATAGCTTTTCTATTATGACTACTTTATCTGAAATTACTAATGTTATGAATACTACTGTTGTTATGGTAACAACTACTTCTACAAATACTGTTGTTGCTAGCACTAGTAATGATACTTCCGTTACAGATCCTCTTTCACCTACAATGTCTGGTGGTGACAGCACTAGTAATAGTATTTCTATAATGACTACTTCTTCTGCAAATACTCTTGCTACTAACACTAATAATACTCCGTCTGTTGTGAGTAATACTCTTTCTACAAGTATGAGTACTGCTAACACTGGTAATATTGTTCCGATTGTGACTACTCCTTCTCCAAGTACTGACGCTATTAGCACAAATAATACTATTCCTGTCATGACTACTTATTACCAAACTCCTTCCACCACTCCTACTCCTACTCTTACTTTTACTCCTAACTCCACTACTCCTATTTTGAGCATATTTCCAACAAATGATACATTCACTACTGATATAATCACTAATTTTACTACCTTTACTAATGCAAACACCACTAATTTCAACACCCTTGATACAAAAAGTACCACAATAATAGATGCTACTATTGCTACTACCGGCACCAAAGATAATACCACTAGTCCAGATACAGCAGTTACTTCAACAGACAAATTCACTGCACATACTGAACCTGCTGCAACAGATTTTATAAGCACTTTATCACCAGAAGGAACAACTACTACCTCCCTTAGAACTACTAATACTGCAATGTTAAATTCTATAAATCTGGGCCATGGAACCTTGTCCATCATAACAAATTCAACAAGAAACCTTACTACAGACAGTATAGCTACTAGTACTGTTAGCTCCACAGATACTACCTTTCCTGTAGCAACTGCTACAGATACACTACTATCTACTATGCAAGATTTCACTTCCTCTCCCCCTACCACTGCAGATGTTAAAAATGCTACCACACATACATAGTTCTCTAGTCCTCATTCTGCTACTACTGCCATACCAACCTTAAGCCACACGACATTAATTTCTACAAAATTTTCTACTCTGGGCACCATTGACACTACTGCTACAAGCACTACATCCACTCTTATGGATTCAATCACTACAAACATTATAAACATTACCACTGCAGGGAATGAAAATACAATGACAGGAGTCACCACAAGTACTGTGATTACAAAGATTACAAATGCTACTTCTATAGAAACTACCACTTAAGTCATTTCAACTCTACCTCCCATAGGCACCCCTGTTGATGCCACCACAGATAATATATCTCCAACTGCCCTTACCAGAAACACCACCCCAGCTTACCCTTCAGATGCCCCTACCAATGTTTTAAATACCACCTCCACAGGCACTGAAGATACCACTACACTAAATACCAACAGTACAAATATTACCAGTATCATACCAGATGATAGCTCTTTAAGAGCCAGATGTTAGAGGTATTATGGGTACTCCTACTAAGGACAACCCAACTACCATTAGTATTAGTATCACAGATACTGACGTGAATGCTTCCTCTACTATTCCAGACACAATAATTGCTAGTATCCAAGACTTGGCCACTTCTTCACCTACAGACACTGCAGGTATTACATCTATTACTGAAGCTACTAGAAATACCATTACAGCATATACTACCACTATAACTACAAATATTTTCAACACGGAAACTACAACTTCAGTTATTACTTCTGATGCAGTTCTTACAAACACATTCCAAGTACCACAGCTATTCCCACCACCGATACTATAAACACTACAGGACACACAGTAAATATTACTGATGCAGATAACTCTGGCGGGGTTACACGTAACACTACACACATTTCTATTCCCAATATCACAACAGCTTCAGACATGATAACAATGGCTAGTCTACATACAGAAACTCACCATCTGGCAACAGCACATTCTTCAGATGATTATTTACCTATTACTGCAACTAGTGCTACGACAGATATTACAAATAGTACCACACATGCTTTAAATACTACTATTCCTGATGGAATGACAATGGTACTTGTGCTACTGTATATACTTGTAGTGCCCTAAATTCTACTCTAGTTCCATGATTACTACTCAAGGCAGGATCATTACCTCAGATAGCTCTTTAAGACAACTATGACAGATTAGAATATCAGCTAACAGACATTCTATCTTATGCTACCTAAGTTTTCACAATTATTAGTGCTCTAGCCACTAGCCACTAGCCACTAGCCACTAGCCACTTGGCTACTCCAAGCACAGTAAATGTTGAAGATATGTTTAGGATGTTATGCATCCATTACAAGCTGTGGATACTTATTTTGCAGCAGAATATGTACTACTGTTCTTTAAGTTGTAGTTATTCCTATGGCCCCATCAATTAAACTACAGATAATTTATACGTACCTGCTATAGATGTCACAGGTCATCTTGGTGTCTCAGATAACACCATGTTAGGCCCTATAAATGCTGTTTCTTTACATGTAGTTGTAGTTATTGCAATAGCCCAACTTGCTTATTGGGTTATAGGACATAATACCCATAACTGAGAGCACTGGCGATACTCCTGGCATTCCAGTGGCCTCTATAACAATAGAGTATTGTTATATATAACAATATAACCTCTATAACAGTAGAGTATTTAATTAGTAATGATAAAAGTTGCACTTTATTTTCCTGTGGACTTTTCCAAATACCATGGCTACCAATATAGTCACTTGCTATTACACATACTAAAAGTATTATTGACCCTGAAGAGATCCTAGCTATAGCTACAGATATAGATTTTGCTACCTTGTATATACCTTGACTTCAGGCACTGAGATAATTAAATTAGAAATATTGCATGTTAGTTTTACTATCATAGAAAATAAAAATACGACTATAGATGTTAAAAGCATAAATTCCAAAACTTTGCAACCATCATTTTCATAGGGACTACCAATATTCTTACTAGAGATTTGTTAAGTACTTCCATTTACTTCCAGAAAATTAGAATTAATCTTAATTATGAGATAGTCTTAAGCCCTTGCTGTTGCCACCAATGATCGGCTCTGACTCTAGCATAAACCAGACATCATGCAGACAGAGATGAGAATGTAAAGATAGCATGGGAAAGACAGCTCTGCCTTGGCATCAGAGCTCATAATCTTACTTGCTTTTTCTTTTTATCTACCAGCTTTTCTCTCATTATTTCACTGTCCCGACTCTCCTTTGGTGTGTTAGGGCTTTCAGCACGTTTATGGTCTTTCATATACAAATTCACCATCTACCTTTGACCTATTACTTCCTTACGTCATCCAGCCCTCCATGAGTAGACTCATGGTCATTACCAAATCTATCCAGTTGGGTGCTATTGAAGACTTAACCCTAGGGCAGTATTCTCAAAGTTTAGCTTAGGGTTCCATGGGGTGCATCTTTTTGGGGCACACCGTTCATATCTGTTTTCATGATAGTACTAAATTGTTATTGGTTTTTTTCACTCCCATGCTCTCATTAGTATACAGTGGCATTTTCCAGAGACTTTGTGCTGTGTGGTATCACCATAGATGAATATAGAGACTGATGTAAGGATCTAGCTGTCTTCTATTAAGCCAGACATTAAAGAGATTTATAAAGTGTAAAATAATGCCATTCTTCTTATACTGATTATTTTGCTTTGGAAAATATAGTTATTTCTCCTAAAATATATATTATTTATGTTTACTCAGTGGATATGTTATTTTTATGAATAAAAAATAAATATGTTAAAAATATCTTGCAAATGACTCAATTTTAATTTCTAACACAGTAAATATTAGCAGATACAATTCACAAAAACAAAGCAGGGTGCCCTCACTAATTTTGAATGTAAAGGGGTCCTAAGACCAAAGAGTTTGAGAACCACTTCCCTCCATAGGGCATCGTTATCCTGTTTCTACTCTCAGGTCCTGGGGACGTGCACTGTGAACTTTCCCCACAAGTAGGCACTCCAGCATCTGTGACTTACCCGGTATGAATATCCACCACCTTCTACAAACACGTCTGGCTATCTTTCTGACCGCCACCACAGCTGTCCTGTTGTCCGGCCTCCCTGCTAGGGTCTGCCGTTCTTCTGTCCTGGTAGACCAGATAATGGTGGAATGTTTGGACTCGTCATTTGTGGTAGTATAGGGAATCGATCACATTGTGTGGGAAATGATGTCTTAGGCAAAAATCGGCTTTATAGCTGTCATTACATTATTTGGTGGCATTATGCTAAATAATGTCTTACATGTGTAATCTAAGTAAATATGCAAAATAATCTTATTAGAAATACAAAGAACCATTTATTTGCCATCGTACAAATGAGGAAATTGAAGCTTAGAGGAGTTAAATAATTAGCTCACTGTCACAAGTCAGTAACTAGCAGAGATAAGATTTGAACCCATGTCATCGGATGGCAGAAGCAGCACTACTAAAATTCTAGCTACAGAGTGTTCCCTGGTATCTGGTAAAATTTCATAAAAAGCCAACCAAGCCCAACCAAGAGAAGAGATCCCTGGACTGGTAGTCTGCAGACTGAGATTCAACATCCAGCTCGGCTTTTAGGAGTCCTCTGACTGGGAAAGTCACTGGAGAGAACTAATCTCCTTTCTCTCTTCTGGTCATGGCCACCCTTCCCCAGCTCTTATTTCTCTTTGACAGAGAACCTGGCCCTCCAGGAAACCCAGACTCCCTTACATTTGAAGGGGCCTCTACTTCTCCTCACACCACAGCTCCTAGCCACTATTCCTAGCTTCACGTGAAAATTAAGTTCTTATATGCATGTGACGGCCGATTGGAATGGAGAAAATGGATAAAGAACATGTTCCTCAGGAGAGGAGGGTCCCTCATCTTGGGAGTAAACAGAGATCCTGGGAAAGAGGGTGTGGGGACGGAACAAATGTGTCTCCACTAGGAGGAAAGCTACAGGACAAGTTAGGATAAGGGATGCCTGGATGTAAGGAGGAGAATGAAGAGGCCATCAACACTGCCACCACAAGGCACGGGCAGGGGATGGACTGTCTGTGTTAAAGCAAGTGTCAGCTTGACGGCTCTGAGTCTAGAGCTTGGCTAGCTCCTGGCTGGACCCCACTCCATACAGCCAACTGCACCAGACCAGCTCTAAGAGCACTGCCTGCAAGGGCCATTGCTGCAGGTGGACACCCCTTTCCTTTCTTTGCCTCAGTTTCCCCATATGTAAGACAAGGTAAGCATCCGAACTACAACAATATACATGGAAATGTATTTTCAGTCTGTAAAATGCTACACAAAGGTTTATGATATAATTACAATTACATAATAATAGTTATTATTATGATATAATTCCCTTAATGTTCTGATGTCTATTTAGACTTTTTTTCTTTCTCCTTCCTCTCGAATCTCCTGGAAGCAGAACTGTTTCTCCTCTGTGCTCACACTTTACAACAGGCTCCTCTAAGGCTCTTTTTTCACACTGGAGTTTTGTAAAGGAAAGCTGATATTCAGGAGTGTCTCCAGTGTATCTCAAATGTGCTTCTGGGATAAATGGATGTTTTTTTCTGAGCTGGAACAAAATGTTTCACTGCTAAATTAAATAATGCACATCTTCCCTTACTTTATAAAATAGATAATGGATATAATTAGCCCAATCTTATGCTATTTTTCAAATTTTTTTTCTTAAGTTTATTATGGTTGCTGTTATTCATATGTTGCTTTTCTAGGGAGCTCTAGATGAGAACAAATTGTATGAACAAATAATAGGCAAGAAAGATTTTGAAATAGTCAGTAGGGTCCACATGGACCGTGTGTGCATGTGGGTGTGTTTATGAACATTATTTTATATGGAAAACATCATATTTTCTGCCAGCAAAATCTTCTTTGATTTGTGTGATGTAATTAAACATAGTGTTTCCTTCTTAGAGCTGTTTCCTTCCTTCATATGCTCTTCTTAGAGCACTGTTATTTGATGGTGGTCCACTGAATAAATGTGAGCATTATTGCTGAAAGAGGCCTTGGTTGGTCTCCCACCGTAGGAGTGAGATGTTGAGTTTCACAATGCCTTTCCAAAGCCAACTGTGTCCAGCCTCAGCACTGAGGTATGCACCAGATGGTAGCTGTTCCTCAACTTCTCTGCACGTGGTTGTATTTCTACTCATTTATGCTTTGTCAAAATATAGCATTAATGTTGAAATAAATCATAAACATTTTATAAACTATAAAAATAATTCACATCTGAAGTATGAAGAACTAAGAAATAAAACATCTTGGTATTATTCAACAGCCTCGACTGAGCATTTCAAAATCTTCCTTGCCTGTTATTGGTTCATACATTTTGTTCTCATCTAGAGCTCCCTAGAAAGGCAACATATGAATAACAGCAAGCAAAATAAACTTAGAAAAACATATTTGAAAAATAGCATATTTACCATTCAAGCTTTAATATTCAAATTATTATCATTCACTACCCAATCTAACCCTTTGTGTAAATTACACAAAGTTGTGTAATTTACAACTGCAGGGAATATTACAGGTGATTTTACATAATTCGTTAATTTTACTGATGTGGCAAGTGAGGTTCACAGTGATTAAACAAGTGTCATTTGCATAGGCTCTATGGCAGTTTGTAATGTATCGATCTTCCCAGCACGTCATCTGTAGCTGTGTTTAAAAACATTCCTGAAAGCTCAGAGCAGTCAGCTCCTCCTCTGCACCAGGCTCTGACCTAAGCCGTGGTGGACAAGACAGTCCCATTGTCCTTGAAGACTGTGCATTCCAGCAGCCCAGGGCCAACAATCAATAGGCAAACAATTGCATAATAACAAGACTCCAGATTTTATGAGCAAGCGGATGAAGCTGTGTACCATGGTTCATTCAGAGTGATCAGAGCTTCAGCTAGGGCATTTGAAAGCTGCCCTGAACAGATGACATTTGATTGGAGAGATAAATCATGCGAAGGAAGTAACTACTGGATGGTCTGGGAGTACCGTTCTTGAGCAATAGGAAGTGCCAGTTCACAGCCGTGACTTGAGGGCAGGCTAGGCCCTTGTGACGGACAGACAGACAGTGTGGGAGGAGCAAAGGGAACAAGATTGGGATGGGAGATGGCTGAGGTCAGAGAAGTAGGCAAGGCCTGCCTCAAGGAGGGCACCGTAGGTGTAGGGACTTACACTAGGAAGCGTGGCTATGTTCTAGGCCAATTTGACATAAGCACACACAAGTGCTAGTTCTTTCGCAATGGTCAGCCACATGGGTGCAGCTGGGGAAAGAAAGCAGATAGGAAATGTGACCAGAATTGAGATGTTGCTGTTCAAATATGATGGAGAGAGAGAGAGGGTCAAGCCAGGCAGAGCGTCTGAAAGGAGGGGGATGTGGTTCTGGACCGTGGGATCCAGCCTGGGAAAGGAGGGCTGGACGCACGATGAAGAGTCAGTTCAAGACACGGGGAGGCTTTCGTGCTGGACGGAGCCACTCCGGGTGTTGACATTTCCAAAAAGGCACAAGGGGAGGGGTGGAGGAAGAGACAGCTGGTCGCAGTCCTCGAGGCTTGAGGGGCATGTTCTGGAGAGGCTCTCGGATGAGAACAACAAGCGGCCATGGAGGGAAACAAAGCTCTTAGTGGCAGCTTTTAAAAGGAGCTGGAGTTTCAAAGAAAAAGGAGAGCAGTTGGCGAGGGGAGCAGGGAGGGCACCAACCCACGTGCAGTTAGCACAGGGAGGTGGTAGGAACTTTGAGAGAAGTAACTGAGTTTATTGATCACTGAAGGTATCTGTGGAAGGTTTGAGACAGCCCAGACTGGGCTGTACAGGGCAGTGTGTGGCCACTCAGGATGGCAAGTGATCCCAGAGGCTTACTCTGTGGATGCTGATTTAGTGGACGGAGTTGCAAGACGCGATGGGATTGGTCCTACAGCAGGAGCGCAAGCGGCAACTTCCCTGGCTGGAGGAGTTTCCCAGATGGCACTGGGCAGTGGGAAACCTCAGAAAAGTTGATTTCAGCCCAGGCGGGGGCTCACCCAAGCATCACAAGATGCCTAAAAATCTCTGGGCAATTGCTTTTGCCCAAGGCCAGATGTTTTATCATGTGGTAATTATAACAATAATAGAAGATATTCTAATTTTAAATTAAACTGGAGATTATATTTTTCTTCCTGGTAAATTATAACTTATGATTGTAGCAATTTTGTGACCTTTATGAAGATATATATTTCTAATTTCAATCTGGGTGAAATTTAGTCTTTTATTGAATTATTTAAATAGATGACTAGTCAGAGAGAAAATTGGCAATATAGATGCAGCACAAATTTGTTCCCAGTATAGGCCCAGATAAAAGTACGCCTGAGTAGGAACAGACTTTAGGACCCATGGAGCTTAGAATTTCTGCCTCATAAAACAGTTTCCTCTGCACCATATCTTTCCCATCTCATCAGCATCGGATTCGATTCTTCCTCAAAAGGTTGCTCATTGAATTTGGGGACAGTATTAATTTTAAAAAACGTTTTTCTTGGTGCTGAGATAAAGTTTGGCTCCTCAGAGGTTGACTGATAAGAAAAGCTTTTCCTTCTTTGCTATTTATTTATCGAGTGATGCTTGGTAACAGCCACTTCCCTGAGCCCTCTGAATGTGCCCCTTCTCTGAGATTTCCACATATCCTCACAATCCAGCCACTAAAATTCTAACTTCAGGTGATCAGGGGACCCCCCCGCAGGACTCATTTTCACTGGTGTCCACTCTGACTGGCCTGTGCCCGCGCAATGGCTTAAACGTGTGAAGCCGGAGTGGGATTCCTGTCCCCTCCGGGAAGTAGACTAGTTAAGAACACTTGAACTCCTAGTTTGGAGTGGTCCTCAATCTTGGATGCATATTGGAAACACTTGCAGAATTTAATAACCTACAAGTGCCTGGGTTTGACCTTCATCACCAGGTGATTCTAACACGCAGTTGGGTTTCGGAACCGGGGAGCTGTCCCGCTCAGTCTCAGCGAACTAAGTAGCAGCAACTCAGACACAGAGGAGGGGGAACCAAGTTGTTAGCTTCATGAATGAGGGAGGAGAGAAAAGGAGAGGGAGAAAGAGAGAGAGAGAGAGAGAGAAGAGAGAGAGAGAAGAGAGAGAAGAGAGAGAGAGGAGGGAGGGGAGGAAGGATGATGAGGAGAAGAGAAGAAGAGAAGAGAGTAGAATAAAGAGAGAGAGAGAAATGGAGCAAAATGCAAACCATCTTGGTAATGGGTAAATGAGAATTCATGAAACTTCTTTACAAATTTGAAATTGTATCAAAACCTTCTTAATCCACAGGAAAGACCAGAGTCACTGTGAGCATTTGCCTATGGCGACAAGAAGCACAGAAAAAAAGCGCTATTTACCCTCCAAATGGAATATAGTATTTTGAGTAGAGGAGGTGGGGTAGACAGGGGTAGAAAGAGTCACTCGTAGCCAAGGTGCTATCAGAGACCCCTCCGGGATGAGGGATGACAGACAGGGTGCCCCTGGAGGAAGCTGTCATCTTCTTGCAGTGATACTTAGGCAGTTAGGAGACCGTCCTCACAGAACATTGGAACTGGAAAGGATGTTGAAGTCAGCTAAGTCAGGTTCCCACCATCTGTGAGAATGTTTTAAAGCATCTCCCCGGCAGCATTCATCTGAGCCCTCTGTTTGATATGAACGCGTCCCTTTTAACTGTAGACATCTGTCACTCTCTATAGGTTGATGTAAATATAGTTCCTTTCTTGAAGCCGTCAGGAGAGGAAACAATTAGATGGCACCGGGAAAGGCCCAGGGGGGGACAGTGGAGCAGATGGCCGTCGGGGGCTCGTGGGCACCTGCCTGAAGCCCCTCAAGGGCAGAGGGGCACTTGTCCTGCTCCTGTTCATTTCAGAAGTGCCTGCCCTGGCCTCGTGTCAAAGCACACAGAGGGGGTCAGTTCATATGTGCGTGTATGAGAGAATAATAACACTGAGACCAGCAGATGCAGAGAAAGATACATGTAAGGGAGGAGGCTAAATAGGACCATGAAGTTGATGAAGAGGGCCAGGGAGAGCAGCCGGGCCTGGAGCCATATTGGGCCACGACCTGGGCAGAGGTAGCCAGTGGAAGGTTCTGGCTGCAAGACCCGGGGGTGTCTGCCCATCTGGTTTGAACCCGCCAGAGGCGGCCCAGGAGTAAGGCTGCAGCACAAACCAAGGAATGGCGTCTGACACCCCCCCCCCAAAGGGTATTTTTACCTAAAAGTTTGAGGCTAAAGAATTTGCTTGGGGAGCTCTCGAGTCATACGGGTTGGGATAGAGACGTCAGTTGGATAAAGCAAAGGGGGAGAAGTGGTTTGTTGTGGTTAGTTTTTATCTAGATATCACGTTTACGTGTGCCTCCTCATGCGGTAGAAAGTGCAGTCACTTCTCGGGCATGCAGGGCATTGGTTCCAGGACCGCCAAGGATACCAAAGTCCATGCATACTCAAGTCCCACAGTTGGCCCCGAGAGACCCATGTATACACAAAGTGAGTCCTTTGTATCTGTGGGTTTCGAATCCAGTGAATACTGTATTTTCAATCCACGTTCAGTTGAGGAAAAAAAAAATCCATATGTAAGTGCAGTCCAAACCCGTGTTATTCAGGAATCAGCTGTGCTTTGTTGACCTCAAATCAAGGGTTACGGCCTAATTCCTAAAAGAAAAATCTCCATTTCCCTTCAATGGTGACAAGAGGAAAGACCAACAGTGAACACAGCCTGGTTTTCCATTAATCCTGAACTTCAAGAAGCATCTTTGATTGGGGACAGCACATTCTCTGCTCAGATAAGGCCAGGTGTGACGCTAATCACTGGGAAAAGTCATCCCCAAGGCCCCGGGAGCCGAGTGTGAACACAGGATTCTGCAGAACCTCAGAGCGGAGCTTCCAGAATCCTCTGGGGAGTGACGGCAAAGGCCATGGACTCTCTGCCTCCTGTGTCCCCGGGCAGAGGTGTTGCTCTGCCGGGAAGCAGGGCCGTGCTGTGGGACCTGCGCTAGGCCCCTTGAGCAGTGAGTGACATGGTGTTTGCTGAGTCCACTTCCCTGCTCTGCGGGGGATTAAGATCCCTCTCAACGCCTTGTGCTGCCTGTAAGGCTGGTGGCAGGGGCCCCCTCCCCTCCCTAGATGGAAAAAGAAAACGCTTAGTGACCTGACCTGCCAAGGACAAACTGCCAGGCCCCATTGAGAGGAACCACACCTGGATTCGCTCCTGGATTCCACAAATACCTCCAGTCCCTCCTATTTCTCAACGACCATCCAAGGTCACAATAGAGAATCCCAGCTCTTCCCGCCACAAGTCCCTAGCCCCGCCCAACGGGTATAAAAGGCCTCAGCTCCTTCAAACTGTGGCGACTTCTGCCCCCCCCCCCCCCGGGGCCCCAGAACCTCGTCCATGAGTGTATAATAAAATCACGTGGTTTGGCCCCTCACTCTTTCTGTGTCTTTTCTTTTCGCCACCGCCGAAAAACCTTACACTGCCCAGAGTAGGGGTCCTTCCTAGGGGACACAAACAATGAGCACTTCACAGAGTAGCCTGGTGACTTTAAATCCCAAAGGGAGAGGGTGGTGCTGAGCTTTGCAAGCTTAGAATAAGTACAGAAATGTGCCCAGGGCAGCCACCATCAGGGCAGCTCTCAGGGTAGCCACCATCACTGGCCTTTCCTGAAAACTATGATTGCAAACTGCAGCCTGACTCCACGAACCGTCTGCATGGAGTCAAGGCCCTGTCCCTGTGAGCCTCCTTGGCCCGCCCTGGCTCCCGGGCTCAGGACTGCCTCTCGCCACCCAGCCCTACCTGCTCTCGGAGCTACGCCAGCATGCCTGCCTGGTAGGCTCTGGACACCTGGTTGCCTAAGTGTTGACAAGGTGACAAAGATCATCTGGCAGCAGAGACACAGGTGAGGAGAGCAAGGGACACGGATTAAATGTCGCATTTAGGCAACCAGGTCCTCAGATGCCCTCAGGGTGTCTTACGCTGAGCCGCTCAAGGGACTGCCCAGCTGCCTGCCCTGACCCAAGGCTCGAGGGAAAGAGATGGCAACAGGAAGCAAGTCGATTTTATTTAATGCGACGTCTTGAGCTTTGTCCCTTATAAGCAGAGCCCCTCCATTCCCCGCAAATCACCCTTCGCCCCCACCACATGCATGGCTTGCTGCCTCCGCCTCACAGGGAGGGCGAGACAAAAGCCTCAGAAGAGAAGACCAGAAGCCCCTCCAGGGCGGGGAGTGGGCCGAGGAAGGTGTGCAGGGCGCTCCCTCTGCGCTCCAGCCCCTTCCTCCTTGTGGCATCCTCTTCGGGCAGCAGGGGCACCTGAATTCCCAGAGCGTGGACCCCTCAGCCCCCTCAGTCATGGAATTCGTGGTCCCACTGGTGCTTCCACGGCTGTGAAGCTATGACAAGCTTGCAGAGCACGTCATGGAAGACCCTTACGGAACACGTGCAGTGCCCAGGCCTGCAGTGTCGTGGCCTGGGTCAAGAGAAGGGCACAGACAGGGGACGTTTGGGGCCCAAAGCAGGGAGGAGTTTCTACTACATTTGCTCACAAGAGGAGGCTGAGAAGAGAGGGCCTGTGTGTGTGTGTGTGTGTGTGTGTGTGTGTGTGTGTGTGTGTGTGTGTGTGAGGCAGAATCAGCCTCCCGTGTGCAGCCTGCCCAGCAGCCAGGAGAGGGCGCCCTGCACCAGCAAGTGGGCCGCCAGGGGCAGGCGCCGCAGGGCGGCCGGGCCGGAGCTGGAGAGGGCCACCGGTGCAGCCCTGAAGCCTGCGGGGGTCTTGTCCTGGGGCTCCACTTTGCCTCCAGAGGACTCCAAGCAGGGCCCCCGAGGAGTAGGGGTGATGTCCGGAATCCAGCCTGTTGTGTTTTCCACCACCTCCTGCAGGAGAGGGAAGAAAAACGCAAAGGTAGAAGCATCCCCCTTTCCTTTCCTGCGGCCTCCTTCGGTCATCCCCAGCCCTCACGGAGGCCACGGGCTGCCTGTGAGGCTGCCATCACACCCACATCCCACCTGGAGCAGCAGCAACCCACCTCTCTAACTCCCCAACCCTCCTTCCCTGACCTAATGTTCCTGCCATGTCATTCGTGTCCTCATTCTTCCCTTTTCCTGCTTTTACCCAACACCATGCCACACCCCTCCCTCCCTAACTCCACAGTTAGGGTGGTCTCTCACGTCAATGGTCTTTATTAGCACCGTCTGCCTGGCCTCCCTGCAGGCTTTCTCCGCCTTCTTGATGTTCTCTGGGGTCCACTCGACGTTGTTCATGGCCATCATGCCCTCCATGGAGCTGTGAGGGTGGTAGGGTCAGGCCAGGGGGGACAGACAGTCGTTTAGGGCTGACAGGGCTTCAACAAAATGTGCATAGAGTGTGCTTGCTTTTGTTGGCATCAGTAAGGAATGCCTTACAGCTCAATGAGACAATCCTTAAGAATTTGGAGAAGAACTACCATCAGAACTCAAGATGAGAATTTTAAAAAATGAAGTAGAGGATCTTCTGACCCTTTAAGGAAGGGATTTTTATCTGGGCACCATGGAGTCCAAGAAGGTTGAGGCAGTGACTTCAGGGAACCCGTGCACGCTCTGAAATTGCATGTGAATGGGGTGTGTCTGCACCGATGTGCTTGTTTTCCTTGGAAAGCAGTTTCAGAGCTGGCATGAGAGTCTCAGGGAGGGCCTTACCCTCCAGTAAGGAAGGGTCATCCCTGAACGTAAACACTGTCTTTGAGGCAAGTGGTGCGTGCGAAAGGGGCAGACGAAGAATTTGTATGTAAGTGATCTGACTCTGAGGGATCAGTTCTCATCCGCGCCTCTGAATGACCCTGCTGATATGGGAAAAATCCCACTGAATTCCTGTCTTGTGTCAGAGCTTTGAGAGTCAGACACTGACAGGGGCAGGGGTGAGGTGGGCAGAGGCTGGCCAGGCAGTCCGTGAGGAATCCTAGCTCACTAGCCTGGGAGGGGTGGGTGGGTCTCCTTTTCCTCCTGCCCCAGCCCACCCCCAAGGTGCCTCCAGGGCAGACACATGGGAGAGGTTGACCCGTCTTCCAGGATGACTCACTCGGATACCTCCTGCCCCAGCTCGTGGGCCACGTAGATGATGTCGGGGTACCCCATGCAGCTGGAGATGTTATTTCGGGGATAGTAGAAGAGGAAGATGAGGCACATCTCATTAATGGTGCTGGGACCTCCCTGCGGAAGAGGAGAGAGACAAGGATGGAGCAACAAAGACACAAAGCCATGCAGAGAGGGGAACTAGGCTGCTAGAAAACAGTTGAGGTGGTCATCCTACCAGCGACGCCGTTTTCCTTGTCCCTTAATGTACAGCCAGCTCACTGCTGTATCTTCTCCTCTATCCCCAATCGTTGGACAATGAGTGACGTCATTTACAAAGAAATATCCCATCTATCTGCCCTGTTGACCGTGTTGCCACGGCTGCTGTCCTGGCATCAGCTGCCACCTGTCGCAGTCGTAGTCTGGCCTCTGTAACGCTGCCAATGTGTTTACATTTGGCATCTTGTCATCTTCCATTTCAGAAACCTCCAGTGGCTTTCAACAGTCCATTATACAATGGTCCATTATCACTGACCAAATTGCTTTATTCTGTATAATACATTCATTCCTTCCATGTGTTCACCTGGCGAATGTTCACAGAACTACAGCATCAGGCACTGCCGTCCTGGAGATGTAGGTGGGACAGGCTCAGCCCAGCCTCAGGGCTCTTTCCCCTCGGCTCCCTCACTCCCAGTGCATTTCTTCACACAGCTTCTCCCATTCCTCAATTTCTAGCCAACCCCCTGGTCTTCGTGCACACCCCGTGCTTTCCTTTCACACGCGGCTTTCTCAGTCTTTCTCCTCTCTGGGCTTCCTCACTAACCGTCTAACGCAGGACCTGCTCACATATAGTACATGCTCAGTTCGCTGTCGTAGAATCTTATTATTTTTTCCCGTGAATTTCCCTGATGCATTATCCTCATTCTCCGCATATGATATATACCACTGTCTAACTTGTATTATAATCATTTGTGGGGCTAAATATTTTTTTCTCGATAGTAGGCAGCCCCTTTGGAATCCCACAAGCACTGAACCACTCCTGACACACAAAATGGGTGGGTTCCTTGGGACCAGAGTGACAACAGCTGACTCTAGTTGGGCCTCTACTACCAGCCAGGTAATGATCTAAGCGTTTTGTACGTGTGAACCAACTCTCACGGTAATCTAAGGAGATGGAAGTGGTATTAATCTTATGTGAATAAGGAAACCGAGGCACAAAGAGGTTGAATCACTTGCTCAAGGTGAGGCAGCTACTAAATGTGCTGACATTGAAGCCCAGGGAGGGAGGCCCCAGAGCTCCTGCTCGACATGCTCCCTTTCCATGGTCTCAGTGGGTCACTGATGCAGACATCAGGGATGCTGTCCCCATCCTAGGTGTGTGGGAGTGTGAGCCCGTGAAAGGCCCCCTGTGAGTGGGTAATGGCACTGGAGGAAGGAAGGGGCTTCAGTGGGATTCTCGGGGTCCCTGGAAAGCCAGGGCTGGGGCTTTCTCCTGGGGCTGTGGTCCTGGTCCCATGTGTGGAGAGAGGTACTCACGAAAGTCAGGGAGTCACGGTCCAGTGTCTGGTAGTGACATTCCACCAGCAACTCATCTCCCTGTTTGGAGTGGAACAGAAGGCGAGAGTGAGACACAGGGGCTGCCGTGGCCTGAGAACGTTCTTGGCTGACGATGATGAGCTCTGACGCCGCCTCCCCCCAGCCCCGCCATGCCGCCCCGACACTCACCGGCTTGATCACCACGCGGGCAGGTAGATCTCGAGTCTCCTGCAGGTTGAAGTCATAGGAATCGTCTTTGCAGATGGTTTGGAGTTGTGTTCCATTTCTAGAGGGAAAGAAGTAGAGAAGACAGAGTAAGACGGTGAAGTAGAGAGAGTTGACCAAAGATGTGGCGCGTGGGGTCATTCTGTGAGCAGATTGTCTGCAAAAATGAACAAAAAAGTCTCCTTCTTCCACATATTCCACTCACCTCTACTCTGGAGATGGTTCTAGCTCCTCCTTACTCTCAACCAAACACAACTGTATGTTGCAGAATAAATAGCTGTTCCTAAAATTTATTCCCACCTACAGAAGGGAAAGCTTTGAATCAAGGTCTTCCCTTACCTGTATTGCACGGCCTGCAGAGCCCGCCCCGCCAGGTGGGTGTGCAGCAGGTAGCCATACACCTGTATGTCGGGCACGGGGCCCCCGTTCATCTGGAAGATGGAGGAGGTGCACCTGGTCTGTTAAGAGCTCTCATCCTGACCTGCTTCTTGCTCTTCTGCCCTTGCTATTCAATACCTTCCTCTTATGACTGACACCCCCTTAATTATTATTGAGCCCCCCAGCCCCTCTTCCTGCCCCACTCCCCTTGCCCCCAAAGCCCCGACTCCTTCCCTCCCTTGGGTGAGTCATGTGAGTGAATTTCCTGGGCCCCGGGCTGTGATCATTCTCCAAGTCTGCAGCTCAAGTTGTGTGGGCTCATGGCCCGGAGCAGATCTGTGATGGGGAGCACGGAGGGTTTGTTCTCTCCCAGCTTCACCTCTTCAAACTTCTCCGTCTTACACAGCCCGTAGGACATGAAGGACTCAGAGCCCGGGGGTATGAAGTGGATGGGGAAAGTGAAGAAGCCCAGCTGGAGGACGCCCATGTCGTATTTGCGCAGGTGAGAGCTGTAGTACATGCGAATGCCTGAGGAGTCGTACACACCTGGTACAGAAAGGAACAGGCGCAGAAGGTAGGACACAACGTGGAGAGAAAGAGGCCCCAGAAAGCTGGGGTGGGGCTGTGACCAAAAAAAGTCAGCATGCATCCTGCAGCACATCCCCAAGACCTAAGGGAACCAGCCAGCCCCACCAGCTGCCCTTCCGTAAACCCTCTGCACGCTCACCAGGACGGTTGTGAAAGTTGCTGTAATGAACCTCCAGTCGGATCCACTGAGGGTCCAAGGGGGTCCCAATAGAGATGCCCACGTCATCTGGAAACTGGTAACTCTGTTGGGGGGAGGGAGATTTGGCGGCAAGAGAGTCTGGGAACTCGGTGCAAGGATCCAGGGCTCCCACCCCTGCTTTCTCGCCCTCATCCCAGACCTCCCCGTCCCTTGGTCCTTCGCCAGCCCTGCCAGCCCCATTGCCCGACAACATGCGCCTGCCTAGCCAGTGCTCTCCCAGCCCAGGACTCACTGTGCCGCCGACAGCCCAGCCCACGATGATCTGCGAGCAGAGGGAGAAGGCAGGGTCGGCCCCGTAGCAGTCGCTGATGCCGGTCGGGAGGGTGCTGGCGTTGCCGCAGGCGTACACCAGGATGTGATGCACCATCGTCTCGTTGCGGGCCATTAACTTGGGCTCAAACTGGGCAGAGAAAGGGGAGCAGAGCATGGTCAGACCTTCTGCGTCCAGTCTGTATTCTCCCCACGTCTTTTCCCCAAATAAAACTGCGGCATTCCCCATTTCTCTGTTGTTGTCTCTCGTTCCTTCTCTCTGTTTTTGTCCCCCAAGCTTTCATCGTCCCACCCACTCGTCTGACTCCTCTCAGCTCCCACCCTGTAAACCCCTTCCCAGGGAGCAGAGCATGCCGAGTCCAGCTGCGGCATCTGAGCAAGGACCCACACCTTCTGGAATTCTCTTTCTAAAGAACAAATGGCTCCCACATATCTGCCGCTTACTTCGAGATTGTATTTTTACTTATTTGATCAAAGTTGAAATCTCTCAAACGTGAAACTGGGTGACAAGTTTGAGTTCACTTCAGCCAGACTTGGCTGAGCCCCCGAGGGCCCTTGGCCGCATCCCCTCCCTGCCTTACTTCCTCCTGGGCTGAGAGAACACAGTTCTGGGGCTTCGGCTTTGTTCTTTGCAAACACCTGTTGATCCATAACCTGCATCAACATGTCTGCTGCACTGTGGGGCTTAGATAAAACAGTGCTGGGAGTTACAGTTCTGGGCTCAGGAAGTTATGTACTACCATGCCCGCCAAGCCTGCCTGGGTCCCCGTTTTCCCAGCCACTTCCCTACAGCTTCCCCCCGGCATTTTTTCAGACGCCATCGTTTGGAGTTGACTGTGCGTGCTGCCCTGCTGGAGCACCCCCCCCCCCAGGCAACATCCGCTTTGGCTCGCTGTACCTTGTAGATGTGATGCTTCTTGCTAACGATGGGGAGAGGGAGAAACGTGCAGGCGTACGTGGTGTCGTCCTCTGGGATGAGGAACTGGGGAGAGGGCGCACATGCTGAGCGGGGTGGGAGCGAGGCTCCCGAAGAAACCGGGAAGGGCCAGGCCAGGGAAGGGGATTCACATTAGGATCAGATTGGCGGTCCTCAGGCACCAAGGGGAGTCCATGTAACCTCCATCCAAGGAACGTGCTGAATACGGGGTGCAGGAGGAGGGCTCTGGATCGAGTGGGGAGATGGGAAGGGAGCTGGAGGCGGCTGGGTGGGGCGGAGGGGAATTATTACATTAGTGATCTCCAAGTCATGGATGATGGTGTCCTCAGGGACGTCCAGATCGTCAGGGTGGACTACTTGTAACAGGAAGATGGACTTGACAAAGGTACGGTCCCGATCCAGCTTCAGAGTGTCATCCAGGCCGTAGGCGGCCAGCACCCTCATGGTGTCAGCCTGGGGGTGCCATGAGCATTGAGGGGCAGCACCACACACATACTTGCACCCCTGCACCCGAGGACCTGCGCAAGCCACTCGCGCATGTCTACACAGTGGAAAGGAAGGAGCTTCAGAGCGAGAACTAGTCAGGTTCTAGTTCTGCCTCTGAGGCTAACCTGAGCAAGTCTCACTCCCTCTTGCGTTCCCTCCCTGTGCCCGCGTCCACATGTGTGACTTGAAACTCTCACATCCCAGCATGCTAAAGTTCAATGAACTTAGGTAGGATTGTTCGAGAGAGGAACCCTGGGGAAGGTGAGCTGGGCTCTGGGTCAGTGGGCAGTCACCCTGCAGGGGGCTTGTGGCTTTCCAGGGGTGGCACCGTTGAGGCAGCACCTGGGAAGGCTGAGAGGGACAGAGGTCCTAGGGACGGTGACTCACTGCCTGACTGGGGCAACGGCACCTCCCCAGAAGGAGTTGCTGCTTGTGATGAAATGCTTTTTGCCCCTCCCTGTTTTACCGTGATGTCCTGGTCATGGGGGTCGCAGGAGCGGAAGGGCCTGGAAAAGCGCATGGTGGTGTAGACAGCGTCTTGCGTCAGCCCATGCAGCTCAGCATCCTGGCTCCCGTCCTCTTTCAGGGTGTCTTCGTCTACCAGGTGCTGGTCCTGGGGTCCAGGGCAGATCATGGAGAAAGAACCAGGAGCCCTGAATGTCAGGCTTTGGGGTAATAGGCATCCCATTAGCGCCCCCAGGATACTAGAGTAGCAGAACCCAGGTCTTCTCTACACCATAGTTTCCTCCTAGGGCAGGGCAGAGTGTCAAGGGGTGGATTCTCGAGGAAGAGGCTGGACCATGTGTGATGGAGTTTCACCACCTGACTTTGCTTTACTTCTCCCATTTCAAATCTCATCCCCATAAATCCTAATATCCCTGCATCCCTAACCCTTGAAATCTTATGTATTCTCTGAACTGTCTACACCATTCATCCTCTCTCATGTGGCTCTTAACATACGTTGCTCTGTACTGTTAACTGACATTTCCCTATGTAAGCGCAGTTTGGAGGAGTGATTAAGAGTTCAGAATAGGTGAGATTGGGAGATGAGTGAGCTACTAAGGCATCTATAAAATGGTGATAATAATCTACCTCACAGTGAAGCTATGAGGTTTAAAATACAAAGAATTCAGAACAATGCCTGGCTAATCAAAAGTATGTGATAATTTTGAGCTATTGTTGCAGCTGCAGTGGTCATTAGATTATTTCACACTGTGGTCTACCCATTTGAGCTTAAAGGAAACTGAGGACAGAGACTGTGTCTCAAACAGCTTTGAATTTTCCCCAGTGACTTGCATTTAGTGGGCTACTAGCAAGTAAGTGGTGCAAGACTGTCTCTCACAACCTAATGGTTTCATTCTCTTAGCAGCCTTGGAGATGTGCTATCTGGAAGACCTAAATTGCCAGCTCTACAATGGACCATTTTTGGAGAGAGAGATCAGCATTCAGCCAGAGACCTGGGAATGTGCTTGGATATCTTTGGAAAGTATGGATCCTCCCTGGACATGAAGCCATCCTCAACCCAAAAAAGACTCATCCTTGGAACACAGTCACCCCTCAGACTTACCGAAAAATAGACATTGCCATCGGGCAAGACTCCTCCAACAACCAGATCACTTCCCGCTCTAGTGTAGCGACTTGTGACACCCAAGCCCACCCAGCCAGCTGTCCGGACTTGGAGCTCAAAAGTGATGACTTCAGCCTTAAGGTCAAAGTCCCAGCGCAGGAAAATGACGTTGGAAGGATCTAGGAACCTGGAATAACGCAGGCGAGATGTGGGACCGAGGCAGTTGCCAGGGGAGGGAGCTTCCAGGCCCAGAAGCAGGAAAAGCCCGAAGAGAAGGGTGCAGGCCATGTCTCCTGGGGCCTGGAGCATCCGCCCTGCAGATGGACACCTGAGAGCCCTGGATTTATATGTCCCTCCACCTGTGCCAGGCACCATGCCATGGAGGAGGGACAGGCTGGGGTGCTTCTGATCTGATTATCCTCTGGGTTCCGAGAAGTGCCCCTTTACATAACTCTGGAGGTGAGAGGTGCCCAGAGAGGGTACAGGGGCAGTTGCTGTCATTCTGGAGCAGAGACCTGGCATGACATTCTCAGGAGTGAATGTTCAGACTTTCCACCCCAACCCCATACCAGGGTGCTGCCAATGGGAGGCCCTGCAGAACCCAGGAGGCTTAATTTTCTCCCTTCCTCTCTCTCTCTCTCTCTGTCCCCTTTTCTCCCCCAATCTTCCGATCTTGAATCCGTGATGTTCTTACTGAACACACTGCCTCTGGCATATGCCTCACCCCAGTTTTTATGGACACTTTCCATTTTGTCTCTCTGTTGAACCCAGGTGCGAGCAGGGGGTGGGGCCAGAGGGAGCCGGGGCCTTTCAGCTTCCCAATGCAGTCCTGGAAAGAGGGAGGTTGCTGGGAGGGGTTTGGGGGAAGTTGTGATTTCCACGTCCTCCGTCCTCCGGGAGTCTTTGCTATACTAATCCTTGGAAGGACACTCAGAGGTGAGGGAACCACAATCAGCTCTCCAGAGGGACAAGTGTGGGGCAGCTTTGATTTTCTGCACATTCCTGGGGAGGAGCAAGGAAGGGAGGAGGTGAGGGGAGGAAGAGAGAGAAGATGAGAAGTAAACATGAATTTGCCTTCGGGATGCTTTGTGCTGTACCCCTCCTGCCGTGAGTTGCCATTCAGGCAAATCACATGTTAGTGACTCTGCACTGCAGGCGTAGCCCAGCCTCCCCGGCTGCCAGAGCAGTGGTGCTATGCGGACAGTGAAAGCACAGAAGGGATATGGGGATATTAGAACAAACGAACAGAAGGAACTTTCCAAAAATTCCAATCCACTTAATTTTGGATGCAGAAATAAGAGCACCAAGGGGTGACATGAGTGTGCTTGATCTGCCATCAAGTCAGTGGCAGAGCTAGCGCAGGGACGCAGGGCTGCCCTGGCTTGCGCTCTTTTCATTATTTCCTTAGGTCACGGACACGCTCAGGCGCCAGACCCCAGCCATGCATTTCCGCTGTGGCTTGTCCTGGTGGAGGGAGCTGGTGTCATTTGATGGCTGCCTCTTAGGGAAAGTCTTGCTCTTATCTCAATAGTAATTCCCGCCCCCTCCTACCCCCCACTGGCACAGCTGACACAGAGCTGGAAATCACATCACCTGACTCCCCCGGGGTGGTCCATCCTCCATTCTCCACACAGGAATTCAGCTCGGGTGGGGGCGGGTGGGTGCGGGAGCCACCTGCTCGCAGCTTCATTCAGCGCAGGCATAGACCTTGTGTTATCTGCTGAGCTCATCAAAGCTGGTGAGGACCAGCCAGGTGTGTTTGCTGGTTCCCTGAGCACGTGACTGTAACTGGGGTGAGGTGGGGGAGAGAACAGATGTTGCAAGGAGAAAGCTACAACCCCCACATGCGTCTGGCAGAGGAGGTGGGGAGCTGGGCAGCCACCTGGAAGCAAGAGGCTTACCTGGCCCTGGGCCGGAGCTGGGCCAAGACAAGGGGTGGGTGAAGGCAGAGCCTGGGGAGGCACTGACCTTGAGGAGCAGGAACGCCAAGGAGGGAGATAACAGGGGCGTGGAGACACTCTGATCCCAATCTCACCGGAGGATTACGGCTGGGGGAGCAGGCAGTAGGGAGACAGCACAAGCACTCCTGTAAACTGAGACTGCTGGATGGATCCCTTATCCTGCAATCTGTCCTGCCAGCCAGAGCACTGTCCTTGGGCAAGAGTCAGGGTCCTCACAAAAGAGCTGGAAGTGGTTACTGCAGACTCAGGGACCTCCTCTCCTGGACCCTCCTGTGGCTACCACCCCAGGACGCCAGGCCATGGCTGCACCCTCATGTGCGGATTCTCCAGGAAGATGGGTCTGGGGGCTGGCGCTGCCTCCCGCTGCACCTACCAAGCCACTCCTGGAACACCAGCTTGACTCCAGCGCAGTCCTGGACCTTGAAACTGCAAAGTTCGGTTGCTAAACCCTTCTATGCCTCTTTATTGTGGGCGGTAAAATGCTGAGGCTAGAGAGATGGTGGATAGTTACTCCTGGGTGACCACCCTGTCTACCTTCAGCCAATCTGCCTGTGGACGCAGACACCACCGAGAGCCCAGTGGAGCAAAGGCCAGGTGGGTCCAGGTACCCTGTGGACAGGCTGAGGCCTTGCACTGCATCCCAAGGAATTTCCAGGCCCCCTGGGTGAGCTGGCACCAACAAGATCTCCAGGGGTGTAGAGATCCACCCGGGTCTCTACCAGTGTCACGGTGCAATGAAGAATGCTCCAGACCACAGTCTCCATCTGAAGCAGGAGGAGAGACTTTTCATTTCAGAGAGCTCTTGAACCTCTCCAAACCTCTGTATTTATTAGAGGCAAAAGCATGCGTGTCTAAAGCAATAAACAAACAGATAAAATCTCTGGCATCACATTGCAATCACATTGTTCTAAAGAAGTCTGCATAAAGTTACACATAAAGATACACATCAAACTCATGATTAACTTGGTATTTTCTTGTTATTCCTAAAGGCTATAAAGGAAAGGGCAGGGGCCCAACATCAGTCACGCTCCCGTGCGTCCCAAAGCCTGTCATGCGCAGCAAGCTAACAAACATTCACCTGCCAAGTCCTGTTTGCAGGACTGCCAGGCTGCCGCCTTTCTCACAGTCCCTTTACTCAGGCTTTGAGGCCTTCTCTAACATCCTCTACATCTCCCCCCTTTTTACTATGACTAGACTGTCCTTCATAGTCAAGATTGAAGGTCACGTAAGCGTCCAACTTCTGCTGGTGCACAGTCATGCGGCGAGTCACAGAGATCGATTGTTTGCAGATGGCAAGGAACAGAAAACAAAGGAGTATAACAACGCCAACCATGACACAAATTCTCATATTCAGTCCTGTGAACTATTGCTTGAAATTCAACCAAGAAAAGCTATCCTGCAGCTCTTGTAAAGTGTTCGCTTGCAAAGCTGAATGTAGCTTTACTTGGTACAGGTGCAACTACAAGTGCTGGTTACCCTGAGGAGTCCTGGGGACAAGGAGGTTGTATTCCTTCCTGGAGTGAATGACTAGGCCACATGAGTCAGGGACATTGGGCTGAGGCCACACATGGCCAGTGTGACCGGGGGCAGAACCCTGTATGCACCTGCAGCACACAGTGAGAAGCCCTTCTTGGGCATATGAATAAAAACCATACACACAGACACCCCTGCTTCCCATTCATAGACCCTACCCTCCTCCTCAGCCCCGACAGCCTTCCCAGGCCTGCTTCCTCCCCACGCAGACCCTCCTTCTTGCATTATAACCACAAGCAGACCCGTCTGCTGGCTTCCCATGTGACTTTCAGGAACCACTCTGCCTCAATAGCACAGCAATTTAACCACGGACTCTGCCAACCGTCAGCTCTGGGGGAGTCTCTTCACCTCCCTGAACCTCGGTTTCTGTGTCTGTCGAATGCAGACAGTATCTCTGCTCATCTCAGAGGACTGCTGCAAGGACAGAACAAAATAATTCAGGTGAAACCTTCAGGGTAATGCAAAGCAACACAGAAAAGAATCCGATGGTGTTAGCTCTTCTTGCTGCATAGACACATGTAAAAAGCATGTTGCATTTTTATGTCAGTATCACCCCCCAGAGGGATGCTGGGTAGACACCTGAACAAATGGTAGGAACTCAGAAAAGGGGTGGGCTGGGTCTCTCAACCTGCAAGTGCCTCCCCGCCCCCCAACACGCACACACACTTAGAACATACATCCCTTCCCTCATTGCTGAATCCCTGTTGCCTTTCCGCGAACGCTCTCTGCCTGGACGGCACAGCGGTTTATACACAGGCTCCGCAAGGCTGGCACGCAGGCTCTGCCCCTTGTGAGCTCTGGGGAAGTTTCTTCCCTGAACCTCAGTCTCCGTGTCTGTAAAATGCCGACAGTATCTCTGTTCACCCCAGGGGAGAGAGTCCTCCCAGAGGGGCGCTGGTCTTCTCCCAGCCCCCGCCTGGGCGTTGCGGGCGAACAGCTCTGCCCAGCTGCGGAGGACGCAGTGGGGAGAAGGTCTGAGCCTCCTGGTGACTGAGGAGCCCTGGGGACATTTGGATACCTCTGTGTTGTTCCCTCTTTCTCGAGGAAGGGCGCCGGTGTTTGAGAACATCGTCTCTGAGGGCTCCTTGGTCAGGGCTGTTAAACACAGAGGAGATGGCAGGACAGAGAGGCCCCGGCCACCAGGCCCTCTGCTGGCAGCTCTCAGAACAACCGCAGCCTCCGTGAGGCTGGGGCCTTGGAAAGGCACCAGAGCTCTGGGGTGTTCCCACGGACCTCATCCTTGAGAGCTCCCCGGAGACTTCCCCATGCAGTCCTGCTCGCTTGGACCAAGAAGGATGGCTCAGCTCCACTGCCTAGACCCTTGGCTCCACGGTGATTAGACCAGCCCTCCTCGGCTGGCACACTGTAGGGGACAGTGCCTTCAGATCAAATGGATGATGTCATCTCCTATTCAGATAGGAAACACGGATCTGTGTGATGTGAGCCTTCTGTTTTCAGGCTGATAAAAGTTTATTTAACTTCATTTTTTTTCCATTTATTACTTTCAAGTGACCCGTAAGGCAAGTATCACCTTTTTTTCTTTTAAAATAAGGAAATGGATGCCCAAGAGCTTGAATGACATACCTGAAGTCACATAGCTGATAGTAGTGATAGGGCCAGGTCTCAAGTACAAAAATTCCGACTCTAAATCCAGGACTATCCATACTTCATTAGCCCGTTTCTTTGCATACCTGAACACTGCTGGGAGGAGGGGGCTGGGCAGAGGAGAGTTCCCTGGCAAGGCATCTTTACCGGAGAACTCCCCTTCCAGAAAGCCAGTGCACCTCACGTTGCTGGTGATAGCATCAAGAGGAGCAGACGAGGTCAGAGAGCACAGGGAGGTCCACACACACATTACCTGGCAGCAGGCCAGGCGACCATCCTGGAAGGAAAGGGGACAAAGGGGCCAAGCTAGTCACCCTGCAGACTTGTCCTGGGCTTCAACAGGGCCAGAGGGGAACAGGCATCCCCATCAGTCTACTAGGAAAAGTGAATGGGGCCTCGGTCTGTGAGAGGGGGCGAGGGATAAACATGCATTCCCTGTCATGATTTGGGGTCATTCTGAGACAGCCCTGTCCCCAGGTAACTTTCCTACCCTTCTACCATAACATTTAGAATTCTGTTATTATTCCTTTGGGTGACAGTTCCATCAATTATTCAATCAGAAATCCATCTGAAGAAGTAATTCTACAGGTTCATTGCACTAATTATGAACACTTGCAAACGAATTCACCTTTCACTACCCGAAGGCAGGATTGACCTGTGGGAATGGAAAATAGAACTTGAAAGTTTGGATAGCGACGATGTAAGGAAGTTGGGAAACCAGATCTTTTGAATGGGGTCACGCCCTGGCTGGGAAGCAGCTCAGTGGGGCTTTTGTGCATGAGGAGGGAGGAACGAAGAGTAGGAGGGATAGCCCCAAAGACAGGCTTTTTCTACTCCTTTGCTTTGCAATTTCACCTTTGCTTTTCCAAGGCTCAAATTAGCGTTAAAGGCCAAATGTAGGTTCTCGGTAGATACATGTTGAATGATTGGATAAGAACTTGTCTGCAAGAGCCACACTTGCTCCTCTTTCCCACCCCACCCATCCTCTGCTGCATTAACCACTGGCAAGGGTGCTGTGGGTATAGCAAACTCCTACAGCAGGCCACATGCCTTCATCCCTCACTGCCAGTCCAGCACAGTGACAGACACCTGAACAAGGTCTGCCTTCTCTCACCAACACAGGCAATTACTGGGCTCATAGTCACTTAAGAATTGCATCTCTAATACCTTACCTGGTTCAGATCCCAAGTCTAGGGTATTTTCATTTCTCCCACACTCCAGACTCCAGCTGTGGATTCTTTTTTTTTTTTTTTTTTTTTTTGCAAGTAACCCACCATGGTTAACCCAAATACAGTCCATTCATTCATTCACTCAGCAACTCCCTAAGATTTTCACGTGCATGACTCAGTTTATTATTTGTCATACTTCATTAGTTTGTTATTCCTGCCTCTGTTTTGTCTCTCTCATCAGATTGGAGGCTCTCAAGGACCAGTGGGCTAATGTTCTCTCTTGATTCTGGATGCTCTATTTGAGATTCTGCCCACTTCTCAGAGTGGACGGAATGATTCCCTGCATCCCACCATCGGAGGAAACATATTTAATAGGCAAGTGGAGATATTTCTCCCAGAAGAGTGGGAGTTTTCCAAGCATATAGAACTTGTTTTCTCCTATATGCAGCATTCCACTCTATACAGGTTCATCAACATGAATTGATGTTACCCTCCTAAACCCATGCCTTTACCAGCCATCTACCACCCAAACTCAGTTCTCATTCAAAACGGTACTCCATCCGTGCCCCTCATGGGTACAGTTAGTGGGCAGTTTCATGGGAATTATGTGACTGTTGAGGGACACGGAGCTGGCCAGCATAAAAGGCATGATGTTGCTGTCAATAGTTGAGCCATTGAGGCTGGCTTGTAGGACAAACTTGGCCATCAGGATGAGCTGCCCTAGTGCATCCCTTGGTGTCCCTTCCACTCTGACCTGGAGGCCACTGGAGGAGAAGGGGGAATGTAAGGGACTTTATTTTTTAGGGTCCCACTATCCTGATCTACCTCTGGGCTTATTCTCAGCTTATATGCTTTTCATCTGTCAATAGTTTGTATATTTTGAGAAAGATTACTCTGTCTCTTTAGTTATTATCTGAATGTTAGCCTAGCCAGAGATCTCTGAGGCTGGTCTCCTGAGACGAGGATGATGTCTTATTGATCAGTTGGGAGCCCCTTGGAAATAAGGTTCTGACTTCTTTCCTTATATCCTCCTTGGCTCCCCCCACTTAGTGTTTATTGCAGAGTGGAGAGAGAGCACTGTGCTGAGGGCATCTTCTGGCTCTAGTTCTGCTCTCAGGATGGCCGAGCCTCTTAGAAGGACTTGCCTGGGCTGAGGTGGCCACAGAGTCTATCCCATTCCTATATCCTCTGACAGCACCCATGGAGACTGAGCTAGGATCCTTCACAGATGTGAACACCTTCAAAGGCCAGGGGCACTGGAAGCCCAGCAGCATCTAGAATAGTCAAACCTTCAATAATCTTATCATTTTTGCAGAATAAATATGTGGCTAGGGAAGAGAGGAAAGTTTGGAGGAGAATTACACTAATTAAACGTAATCACTTGGAGGGTGAAGAAATACACTTCCTGAATGTGTAAAGCAGGCTCTGCCCCAAAATTAGCTCTTCACAGTTTGTATTATTGTTGAGGCTGTGAGATTCTAGGCCCAGCAGGTGAATATAGCCACCTAAGAGAGCCATCTGTTTACCCGTCTTTGTCTGAGTCATCCTCTCAATTAACCAATAAATGCATAGGATCACTATTCGATATTCAGTATTTTACTAGATATAGTGTGACTTTTGAGAAATGTGTGGCATGTTTTCTCTTTGCTTCCTCCAGATTTTACCCCTTTTCTTTCCTTTTTTGAGGAAACTTTATACTGTTTTCCATAATGGCTGTACCAATTTACATTCCCACTAAGAGTGTACAAAAGTTCACTTTTCTCTACATCTTTACTTACCCCTGTTATCGTTTGTCTTTTTGATGATAGCCATTCTAACAGGTGTGAGATAATATCTCATTATGGTTCTGATTTGCATTTATTTCCCTTATGATTAGTGATGTAGAACACATTTTATATAGCATTAGGCCATTTGTATGTCTTTTGTCCATTTTTTAATGGAGTTATTGGGTTTTTTTTTTTTTTTTTTTTTTGAGACAGAGTCTCACTCTGTTGCCTGGGCTAGAGTGCCGTGGCTTCAGCCTAGCTCACAGAAACCTCAAACTCCTGGGCTCAGGCGATCCTCCTGCCTCAGCCTCCCGAGTAGCTGGGACTACAGGCATGTGCCACCATGCCCGGCTAATTTTTTCTATATATATTAGTTGGCCAATTAGTTTCTTTCTATTTATAGTAGAGACGGGGTCTCGCTCTTGCTCAGGCTGGTTTCGAACACCTGACCTCGAGCAATCCGCCCGTCTCGGCCTCCCAGAGTGCTAGCATTACAGGCGTGAGCCACAACGCCCGGCCATTGGGGGTTTTTTTGGTATGGAGTTGAATGAGTTCCTTATATATTACCCCCTTATCAGATGTATGATTTGAAAATATCTTTTCCCGTTCTGTAGATTGCCTTTTTACTGTTGATTATTTTCTTTGCTTTGCAGAAGGCTTTTAGTTTGATGTGGTCCTACTTGCTTATTTGTTTTTGTTGCCTGTGCTTTTTGTGTCATGACAAAATTATTGTTGCCAAGACCAGTGGCAAGAAAGTTTTTCCCTATTTTTCTCTCTAGTAGTTTTATAATTTCTGGTTTTACACTAAGTCTTTGATCCATTTCTTTCTTGAGATTGCTTTGGCTATTTGGGGTCTTTTATGATTCCATGTTGATTTTAGAATTTTTTTCTCTTTCTGTAAGAAATACCATTGGGATTTTGATAGGGATTACATTGGATTTGTAGATATCTTTGGGTAGTGTGAACATTTCTAACAACATTAATTCTTCCAATCCATGAACATGGGATGTCTATCCATTTGTCTTTGTCTTCTTAATTTCCTTCATCAATGTTTTATATTTTTCAGTGTACAAATCTTTTTCCTCATTAGTTACCTTTATTATTATTTTATTCTTTTTGTTGCTGTATAAATGGGATTGTTTTCTTTCTACAAAAATGGTAGGAAAGGACTTATCTTAACACAATAAAAGCCACTATGAAAAGCCCACACAAACATCATAATCAATGGTAAAAACTTAAAACTTTTCCTCTAAGATCTGGGACAAGGTAAGGATGCCCCCTGTCACCACTGCATTCAACATAGTACTGGAAGTCCTAGCCAGAACAATTAGATAAGAAAAAGAAATAAAAGGCATCTGAATTGGAAAGGAAGAAATAAAATTATCTATTTGCAGAGAACATAATGATACTTGTAGAAAACCATAAATATTCAACAAAAAATGTTCAAATAAACAAATTTATTAAAGTTGTAGGATACAAGATAAACATAAAAAAATAAGTGACATTGCTATACACTAACAGCGAACTATTCAAAAGGGGACTTATGCATGAGTTTTAAAAAGGCGTGAACTATGGCCCCTGGGTTCCTTGACAGTGTCAATACCTACACCAATTTATCTAATCTCTATTTTTAACTTACAGTGGACAATTTGATTCTATTCCAATTGTTACATTCAATGACTTCAAATCAGAGCTATATCCCATCCTGATTTCTGATTACACGAAACTCATTTTACATTTTCTGAAATTCTCCTGTCCTTGGTATGAATACACAAAGAGGAGAGTTGCAATTTCTAAGAAGTCTTGTAAGTCTCATCAGTGTAGTAACTTGTGTTCATTTCTGTGTGCAAAACATAGGCTTCACGTTGTTTTGTAAGATCCTGGCCTGTCTATGGATATTTATCTTTAGGGATCCTAGCTTTTCAGCTTTGAGAAAGGTGTTTATAGAGGGTATTCCCTTACTCAATAGAAAAACATTCTCTCTTAATCCTAACATATTGTTAGGGTTTTAGGAGGTTAAGAAATTGCATTCCTTTTTTCTTATATGAATTCTGAACAGATAGAAAGACAAAGGGGTAAGATAGAGGGAGAGGGAAATTTCTAGCAATGATACTTACACAGCTGATAGAGAATATAGCTGAGATACATGAATACAATAGGAGTCCCAGTGCTACAACCTAAAATTAGACTTACCTAACCATTCGGAATAAAAGAGTGAAGCATTCCCTTATATTTTCTATTAAAAACATAAAATGCAAAAAGGGACAGTCTTCAAAGGGTTTTGGAGAACTAAACAGGTATCACATTTTCTCCTCCTTCAATTAAGTTTATCTTCTGCTAGCGTCTTTTAGTCTTTAGTGTAACTTGATTAAGAAAAATAGACAAATGTCAAGTAAATTTCATCTCTTCTTAATTATAAAATGGAAACAAACAAAAAACATAACATGGCAATGCAAACTTGCTTAAGAGGAGGATATCTGACTCTATGCCACTACCTTGGATGTGCTCAGCAGCTTCCATCTTCAATTATAAGAAGTATAAATGGCACTGAGTAGATTAGACCCTGAAGGACCAAATAAGTTGCTTATGCAATTTCTCTGAGCAGTCTTTTTTCAACCAACACCTATGACCTGAAAGGGATTTCTCTATCAATAATTGACTGAGGGAGCAATGGATATTTCACCTGGCTTACTCATGGCTCTGTTGATCTCGATCTATTGGTACCAATTATACCAATATATCTCAGAGGGATGCCCTGAAGGGAAGAGAATGAGATTCTTCTCAAGAGACAGAGTTCAACCAACCTATTTGGTTGTTCTTTCCCGAGGGTTTTGATTTGTATGAATTTCTTTGGAGTGGCTATTACTCTGTTCTAATAGACACTCGGCAGGGGCAAGATGGGGGGGAATGGGCAAGAGCTCTTTGGGGAAGAATTACGTAATATGGTAGAATTTTTCAGGGTCAGTTTAGAGCAAGAGAATTATTACATACCCTAAGAATTCTCACCAAAATGCTCTCATATTGGACGATTTTAATAATCAGACAGACAGGATGGTCTGCTCTGAAGTTTTTCTGAATGCTTGTGTGATGGGTTCATAAACAAAGTGAGCAGTGGGGCCAGATGGAGCCTACGTATGGGCTGAATAGCATGGACTTCTCATGAGTCTGTCCTGGCTAACACCCCTGTTAGACACCCAATTTGCCAGTGTCAATAACCAACCTCAGCCCAATCTAGCACGAGTGCTCCTGTATCCAAGACCTCCCACCACCAGGTGGTGGTAGATGGGCCCCTTCCATCATGGAGGGAGAAGCTTTTGTCATCATTAAAAATGACATATTCTGGATTTGAAGTTTCTTTTCCTTGCCATCGTCACTGTCCTAGCACCACATTCCTTGAATTACCTGAATGCCTTTTGTATTCCACAAAAAAAGAATGTATTTTTTTCCAAGCAAGGAAGTCACCTCAGTGCTAGTGGGGGGCCCCATGGAGAGTACTGACACCCATGGAAATTCAGCGGCCTTACCATATGCACCACTGCCTAGAATCAGCTGGCCTTATACAATATCAGGACGACCTATTGAAATCTTAGTGCCAGCTCAAGCTGGGAGACATCTTCAGAGGCTGAGGTGATCCTCTGAAAAATTAGCTCAAAACTACTTGTTTCTCCCTGAAAGAAAAGTTTAGTTAATAAAATATGTGACTGCAAAGTTCTCATGATTGCACTTAATAATTCATACATAATTCTCACTACCAGGGCTGTGAGACTCCAATAGTGCCTTTGTAGCAGGCATGGGTTGAACTCTTTAAAACTGTTCTTATTTTTGTTTTTTTTTTAACCCTAAGTCAACTGGCCAAAGGAAACTCCTCATGAAAACTATCCATTAAAATTCCCAGATGGTAGCTGAGGCAGCAGAGATAAGATGAAAAGAGAACGAAGGAAGAAAGGAAAATGCTAGAGTGAGGAAGTAGAGTTCCTAGACTACTGGCATAATATAGAGGGCAAACATGTATTAGGAAAGTCTGTCCTGGATTCCCTGTTTATCCGCTAGGTCATAAATCCCAATACTTTTTTTTTCCCAGAATTTTACAGGCGTACACACATTTTGGTTACATAATTTGCTTTTGTATAGTTTGAGTCAAAATTATAAGTGTGCCCTTCAGCCAGTTAGTGTGCACTGTACCCCTTAGTTGTGAATTTAACCATCCCCTCCCTCTCTCCCACCTACTTGACTTCCGTTGAGTTTTACTTCCATTTGTGCACTTGCTGATTGATTACTATTGAGTACATGTGGTGTTTGTTTTTAGCTTTGTGCTAACTTCTCGTGTCTCAAGTAAACATCCAGAATCCTGCAAAATTAATGACCAGAATCTATCTATGAGATAGTTGAGGGCTTTCCCTCACCTTTCCCCTTACCTATACTTTTGTTTAGTCACTCTTTGTCAGACTTCCTTTTACTTACCCAAAGCACCTGGTGTCTAATTTGGTGTGTTTGGTAAGGGTTTTGGTGCCCCAAATGGCTATGGAGTGGCCTGTTTTCAGTAAGTCAATTATCAATTCGTTAGAGACAACATAATCCCTACTTCATAAACTTCAACAGCTTAAGGAAGTTTGAGTCTTTCATCCTCATCTATAGAGTTAGAAGTGTTGCTATGAATAGTCACAGTGAAGATATGTACACATAGCTGCTCAGGCACCCTTTCTGTTTAGCAGAAGTAAGACGGGTGAGCGTGGCACAATTCGAGGAGTCAATTTGGATTTAATTCTGAGGCTAGACATTGGAAATGCTGTGCCACATGGTCCAGAACTCCTGCCTCAGTTGTTTTGTATTACCTTTTCGATCCAGTGTCTATAGTTAGAGAGTTTGGCATAGATGCCAACATCAGCTCTCAAAATACATCCATCTGCAAAAGACATGATTCCCTGAAGGATCCCGTTGCAGACTGCCAAGGCAGCTGAGACTTCCTGCCAGAGAAAAGGAAACCGGAAACTGGGTTATTTTTCTGGCAAGACAAAAGGAAGAAAATGGGGAAATGAAGGCATTGAGAATATGTTACCCTGCAGGGCTGCCTCCTTCCTGGCACGATGCCCACACACAGCATGTTTTCCCTGATGTTGTGGGTTTTGTAGGCATCACGACATTCATTTTGGGAGATTACAGAGATTTCCACAGTTTGCAGTAAGTCAGGCTCCTTGGCTAAAGAAAAGAGAAAAGTGAAACTTTAAGTGTTATCTTAAGTATCAAGTCTTTTTTTTCTTTATCTCTCTCTCATTTTTTTTTTTTTAGACAGAGTCTCACTGTGTTGCCTGGGCTAGAGTGTCGTGGCATCAGCCTAGCTCACAGCAACCTCAAACTCCTGGGCTCAAGCGATCCTCCTGCCTCAGCCTCCTGAGTAGCTGGGACCACAGACAGACATGCGCCACTGTGCCTGGCTAATTTTTTCTATATTTAGTTGTTTGGCTAATTTCTTTCTATTTATAGTAGAGACAGGATCTCACTCTTGCTCAGGCTGGTCTCGAACTCCTGAGCTCAAGCAATCCTCCCGCCTCGGGCTCCCAGAGTGCTCTGATTACAGGTGTGAGCCACCATGGCCAGCTTATTATTTTTTTTTAAATTTTATTTAGATTTAAGAAAATAGAGGCTCCAAGGTGAAATGACCTGGGGTCATACAGCAAATTAGTGTTAAAATGCAAATGTTTTCTTTCCACTAAAACCACTTCTATCATATACGGAAGTAAAGATGATACAAAGATAGAGCGAGTAAAACAAAATAAAATAAACCTTTGAAGGACTCCTTTGGTGAGATACAAGGAAAAGGAAAGGAGAGGGAAAAGGATAAATAAAGAGGTTAGAAGAAAGCCTCAGTGGGCAGAATTGCAAAAGCCAAGAGTAGAGAAGGCAGAGAAGCATGCCTGATTCTGACAGAAGAATGTTGTCTTGAAGTCAACAGACATCACACGTATCTTGCACTCACACATATCACATATGTTGTAGCTCCAGGTGGAGACATTGCACATGGTGTTCACAGGGACAGCTTCGTAGGGCAGGTCAACCACTTTCACATAGTCATTGAGTTCAACTTCTGTTTGCAGCTTGATTAACATGATGTCATACTCAATAGAAGTGACTGAGAAGTGTGGATGGTAAATCAGCTTCTCATAATCCAACACCTGCAGGTGCCTTTCACCGAGGTCTGATGGGATTGTAGCCCCAAATATCAACCGAAGCTTTCTGGAACAATATGGACATTTATGAGCAGATTTAACATGGGGATGGCTTCTCCATGCTCACGGGCCTGTATTATCCCTTCCCAAAGACTTTTTAGTCTACCCCTGAACATGCTCCAAAGATTTTCCTAATCCATTTAATTGGGGGATGGTCCCAGGCAGGGGTTAAGGTCTGTGCCCAATCTGAGAAGCTGAAGAGTAAAGTGGCTTTGGGGGCTCGTTACTCACGGTAAGTTGCAGTGTGCGGCTGTGACCACCCACAGCGGGTGGATCAGGGCTCCGGCGCAGGGCAAGTAATCGGATTTCAGGAAGACCAAATAGGGGGGAGTGTCGGCAACTACGTAATCTGGATTAAAGGCCAAAACAACTGAAAAGGAAGGCATGGACAAGAAATTCTGAGGTTTTTCAGTCAGTCGTCTTTAGAAAAACTAAAGTCAAGTCATTTAATATGGTCCAAGTTTCCCCTGTCCTTTTCTCCAGCACCTTTGTCTGTAAACTAAATCTATAAAATGACGTTGTTTTAAAACATGAAGAAAAATGATAAATGGTAGAAATGATAAATGGTATCTGTTTCAAAAAGTAAAAGGTATTTGCCTTTCAAATGGTCAATAAGTATTCTTTTAATTAAAATATAAACTTTTTAAAATGCATTCCACAATGCAACGGGTTCTATGTTAAATCAATTCTTCTTCTTCTTCTTCTTCTTCTTCTTCTTCTTCTTCTTCTTCTTCTTCTTTTTTCTTTTTACTATTTTTGCCAATTTTAGAATGCTTTGACAAATTTTATCTTTTTGTTCTACAACAGTGCACAGCAGAATGATATAAATGCCATTACAAGAAAAGACCAAATGCTAACATAGTCTGAGGAGGAGGGAAACCATTCATTCACTCAACAACAACAACAACAACAAAAAACCACATTGAGCATCTGGTATAAGACAGGCTCTGTTGTAGGGACTTTGGGCTATATAGTGAACAAAACAGGTATCTCTGTTCTCATATGTTCCAGTGAGTGGAGATGTTCCACAATAATTAACACAATACACAATTAAGCTATATAGTGTGCTTGATGGCGATCAGTGTAATGGGGAAAAAGAAGGAAGTAGAGGGACAGGTATTGCCAGGATGTGTGCGCACACGTGTGCCGTGGGGCCCGTGCAGTCTCACATCAGTAGTCGGAGTAAAGCTCACAGGCGATGCTGAACAATAGCATGAAGTCAGGGAAGTTCAGCAGTCAGGTGTCTGGGGTAAGGGGTCCCAGGTGGAGGAAACAGTTGGAGCGAGAGTCCTAAGGCCTGTTGAAGTCGCATCTCAGAGGCCAGGTGGCTGACCTTGTGTGAGTGAAAGGGAGCAGAGCAGGACAAGGGGCCACCGAGGTCATGGAGGGTTTTGTAGAGCATTGTAAGAACTCGGACTTGTCTTCGGAATATGATGTGGAATGACTTCAGGGTTTCGTACTAAGGAATGAGAACGGTTTCCTCCCAGAGAACCTGCAGAACGTAGAAAAATCAAAGCAGAGGGAGGGGCCTGTTAGGAGATTCATTTGATAATCCAGGCAAGAGATGATGGCTTGGGCCACAGTGAGCACTAGAGGTGGTGAGATGTGATTGTATCTGGGATAAACTTAGAAGATAAAAGCCAGAAAGATTTTCCTCAGAGAATGAATGTAGGGTGTGAGAGAAAGGGGGTTTATGACTAATTCCAAAGTTTTGCTGAGTAACCAGAACCATGCTGGAGATACCTAACTCTCCAACACGCAGCCGTGCCTCCTGTTGTGCAGAACATCATCAGACAGGAGTGGGGCCAGGATGGGGGTGTCCATGTCCATGCCTCCCCCCAAACCACACAAGCACTCCTCCTGAGGTGGGGCAGGCAGGCACTGTCACAGGAGGAAACATGGCAGGGACGGTGGCAGTGGTGAGGGACAGAGAACCAACCCTACCAGGTATGGTGCCTCTTGCCTTCACCCATCTTTCATGCTTCCTGGGGCTTCTCTTTGGCAAGGAAAGAAACAAACACACAGACACTCACCGGGCAGGTTCAGGAGAGCCCAGAGGGGGATGAACTTCATGATGACATTGGAAGTCTTTTCAAGGGGTAATGTTCAGCTCAGAATTTCTGGAAAACACGGAGAGGAGAGTGGGAAAAGGACTAAGTAGGATAAGGTGGTGGAAAAAGGTATCATTTGAATTCTATCAGTGCCAGGGTTCAGTTTTAGAAAAGGTGCCTATCAGCTCAGCTGTCAGAGGGATCAGAAGAGAGGTCAGGGGACTCTGTCCCTGACACTGTAGAAAATGAATCTGGAATTCCGAATTCTGCCCTCACTCCTCAGGGAAGGAAATACCCAACCTGAGAGAAGCATAAGTTTACAATGTCTCTGCAGCCCCCTCCTCTCTGGTCTCCTGTGTGTCAAGCTCTGAAGGCAGGTCCCCTCTCTGAGCTCTGTGTAGGCTACTGCCCCTCCTGTCTGTGTGATGCAAACCCTCACTTGTGTGATGCTGGTGTTTTTCTCCACTGGACATAATCCAACCCTCTGCCTGACACCGAACCCCTCTTTGAAATACATTAGTCATTTCCTTCATGTCACCTTGCATCCATTTGTTCATTGAACCAACCAACAAATAATTTATATCCTGTGTCTAACTTGCCTAGGACCTGTAATTGCTGGGGGGGGGGGGATGCCTGAATTAAAGGACATCATTCCTTCCTTCAAAGAGCTAGTGGGAATGATAGGTATTTAAGCTGACAGTTACAAAACGAAGTATTCAAGGTATGCCACACACTAGGTGAAAATATTTGCAAAACACATATCTGCTAAGGAATTTATATATCAGGAAATATAAAACTCAACAATAAGAAAATGAATGACGCAACTTTATAAGTGGGCCAAAGACCTGCACGGATACCTTACCAAATGTTTTAGTCTGCTTGGGCTTCCATAAAAAAATACCACAGTCTGTGTGGCTTAAGCAACAGATATCTATTTTCTCACAGTTCTGCAGATTAGATTCCATGATCAAAGCATTGGTAAACTCAGTTTCTGGTAAGGGTTCTCTTCCTGACATGTAAAACTCTCTTACTTCTTGTGTCCACACATGGCCTTTCCTCCGCACACGCACAGAGAAAGAGAGGGAGACTGATCTCTCTGGAGTCGCCTTATAAGGACACTAATCCTATCAGATCAAGGGCCCACTCTTCTAAACACATTTAACCTTAATGACTTTGTTAAAGGCCCTATCTCCTAATATAATCACATTGGGGTTTAGATTTTCAAAGACATGAATTTTGCAAAGGGGGTGGGGGACGATTCAGTCTATAACACCAGGGAAGATGTACAGATGGCAAATAGCATGTGGAAAGATTTTCAATATAATACGTCATTTGGGAATTATAAGTTAAAACAACGGCGAGATGCCACTATACACCTAGCAGAATGGCTAAAATCCAAAACGCTGACAACCACAGATGCCGTCAAGGATGTGGAGCATCAGGAACTGATGCGGGGGGGGGGGGATTTATTGCTAATGGGAGTGCAAAATGGTACAGTCGCTTTATAAAGTAGTTTGGAAGTTTCTTACAAAGCTAAACATAGCCTTACCATATGGTCCAGCAGTCAGACTGGTATTTACCCAAATGAGTTGAAAACATATGCCCACAAAAAACCCCCAAACCTACACATTAATGTTTATAGCAGCTTTATTCATAATTGCTAAATCTTGGGGGAAACCAAGATGTCCTTCAGTAGGTAAATGGATAAACAAAGTATGATGGATCCATATAATGAAATACTATTCAGAGATTTTAAGATTTTAAAAAAAATGAGCCATCAAGTCATGAAAAGACATGGAGAAAACTTAAATACATATTGCTAAGCAAAAGTACCTAGTCTGAAAATATTATATACTCTATAATTCCAATTATATTGCATTGCGGATAAGACAAAACTATAGAGATAGTAAAATGACCAGTGATTGATTGCCAGGATTTGGGGAGGAGAGAGGGATGAATAGGTGGAGCCCAGGGGATTTTGACGGCAGTAAAACTATTTTATATGATACTGGAAGGGTGGACACATGACATTATGCATTTGTTAAAACCCACAAAATTGTATAACATAAAGAGTAAACGCTAGTATAAACTGTGGACATTAGCTGATAATAACATGCCAATACCGGTTCATCAATTGCAACAAACGCACCATGCTTCTGCAAAGTGTTAGCTAAAAATAGATTTCTCAGTGGTGGAATTGAAGTGGTGGGCACGCTGGGGTGCACTGTAAAATACTTTCAGCTTTGTTGCATGCTTGAAAGTTTTCATAATAATATGTTGGGGGTAAAAATAAAAAATTGAAGTATGTGCCTTAGGGTTCAAGATGCTTTTCAGTGTACACTGTGTGGAAGAAAGGAGTACCCAGGCATTACCCTTGACCCGGGGCTTAGATGCAAGGAGGGAGCTCTTGTGGGGTTAACAGGAGAGAATAAAATAATCCAAGGAGAGGGAAGGGCTTCAGTCACAACAGGAAGACACACAAGGACATAGGGTGTTTGTGGAACTACACGCAAATGCAGGTGGGGAGTGTTAGGAGCTAGGTGAAAAGGTAAGAGGAATCCAGTAAGGAAGGCTCATCCTATAAGCCTTGTGTAGGTCAGACTCACTAAGTCTTCACCAGGTAGGAGGTAAGGAGCCAAGAATTCTGTTATTTGACAAAAACCCATTGAGTGTTATGGGGACAGACCATATGCCATATGTCTCTGCCCTATGTAATCGGCCTCCCTTGAATGCGGCAGGACTCTGATTTGCTTCTAACGAATAGAATGTGGCCAAGAGGATGTGATGGGGTGTCACCTACATGATTATGTTAGTATATAACAGCAAGTTCTCTCTTTCGCTCGCTCGCTCTCTTTCTCTCTCTTGCTAGCATGCACAGGAGAGATTCTCGCTGCTGGGTTGATGAGGTAGCAGGTGTGTTGAGCAGGCCCAGGTGTTGGCAGCCTCTGTGACCAAAGACAGTCTGAGGACCTGAGAGCAGCTTTCAGCTGACAGCAAGCAAAAAGCCAGGCCCTGTACCACGCAAACACAAGGAGATGGATTCTGCCAACAACCTGAGTGCGTGCAGGAACAGATTCTGCCCTTGCAGCCTTATTAGACTCTAAGGAGGGGACCCAGTTAAGTTCTGCCTGGACTCTTGATCCATGGAAACCGTGAAATGATAAATGTGTGCTGTTTGAAGCCATTAAATTTGTGGGGACATTTTTACACAGCAATAGAAAACTAACACCACTGACTTGGATGGCGTAGGATTGTCAGTAAGTGCCGAAGACACAAATCAAGAATTACAAGAAGGGATCAGCTGAGCTTATCCCTTCTGGCACAGTACAGATGTGATTCATTAAGGGGGCAGGGACTTGGAGACAGGAAGTGGGGAAGGCACATGTGGCTGCACGACCAGCAAACCAGGGACCTGCAGTATGGATTCCCAGATTACTGGGGATAGAAGAACACTTGAATTAAATGGCCTCAGCATCTGGTTTTGAGAACAGAGATAATCTTTGCATATGGGTCAGAACAAGCTACAGGTCTTAACCACAGCTAAGCTCTGTTTTTATCTTATTTATTTTTAAATTTATTTTTGCTTTTGGAGAAGAGAAAACACATCCAGGCTCAGAGTATACCAATATCCAAAACTCAACCCACCCCTGCAGCCTTTACAGATACCCTGGATTCACTGCGTCTCACATGGGACGTCCCCAAACCTCCTCGCGCCTTCCGCAGCTGGTTTCTATCCCCATCTCACTGGCCCATCTTTGCTTTTTTAAAAGAAGCTCCCCACGTCATATTGACCCTCCTCTACATGTTGCTCCACGGTCCCTCAGACATCGCCCAAACCCCCAACTTGTGGGTCACTCAGAGTCCTCTTAGCTGTCTTTGCTCTTCAGTGTCCTGGCCAGTGGGTCTGGGATGCTGTGTATCTCCGTGCGGAACGCACAGCTGTCCCCAGGAGCAGAGAGCCCTCCCAGAGCCTGCAGCTAACCCATCAGCGCGGGACTCCTACTTCTCAGCTGCTCCCCAGGTGGCATGTGCGCTCCAGATCCTTGCCTCCAGCCGCCTGCTAGCAATCCCCACCTGCAGGTCCTTCCAGGATCTCAGATATCGCAGGCCACACCTGTCCTCATTGCCTCGCACACAAATGCACTGACCGTCCTCAGGTTCTCTTTTACCATCGCTGTCTACCCAGCTGTCCAAGTCAGAAACTTTGGGGTTATCCCTGACACCTCCCTTTCTTTTTCTTCCCATGGGCAGTAGGTCCAGATCTTGCAAAAGTTGCTTCTTTAGCATCTCTCAGTTCCGAAATCTGACGATGTTGTGTTTACTAGGAAGGCTTTGACGACATCCGCTCCCATGCCTAAGAGATCATCTGGATTCCTTTCTAGAGCGGGCTGGGCCCGGAATCATCCTGAGTTTGGCTGCCTGTACAAAACTCATTTTTTGCTACATTCTTTCTCCTCTACAAATTATTTTCTACTCGCCAGTATTACTTATTTACATACATTCTCCAGAACATGCCACACTTTTATATGCCTTTTTTTGCCTCTTAGTAAACTTTGCCTTCAGTTTTACAGTCTCCTCCTGTAACTCATCTGCCTCTTTGGTGATACCTGTGTCCTGACTCCACCACCAGAGTGTTTTATTAATATCTTATTCTCTCATGGAACTTCTTGCTCATCTCTGTTGTTGCAGTCATCACAGGTATTCTAATTGGATACCTGATAGCAAATGTCACCTCATACTCACTCATGTGTCCCTAGCAAATGCACTGCCTACTAAGCAGCTCACAGTTCAATAACTTTTGCATCAAATAATTTATGTGAATACATTGAATACATGAATGAATGCACAGTGGGTATGTTGCTAAATTCCTTGTCATTTTCAAGGTTTGCATGGCGAAGAGAGCAGGCATCACGGCATGGGTACTTAGTGGCTTTGTTTTATTGGATGCTTTCTCTTTGGATTTTGTTGAAGAGTAAGAAAGATGAAGACAGCTGTGCATCCTGTGTAGAAATGATGCAGAGAGATGGCACTGAGGAGACGGGGGACAGAGGCGCCTCAGTGGGTGCTGATGATTTTTAGGATCCATCTTCCATAGTTGTGGACATTTGTGAAGAATCCTTCACTTCCCAGGGTGACACTTCCTTTTGCCCAGGCCAAGATTCCATGTAACCTGCCGCTGCAGATGGCTGGAGCAGCTGAAACTTCCTTTTAGAGAGACAGAACAGAGGTCAATGAGGTTTTGTCCTTGAGGAATGAGAGTAAATCCCAAGAAGTGGCACATGACAGTAGCAAAACCATCTAAGGGAGTGGACTTATTTTTCTTGAGAGGTGACAACCTTCTCTTCACATCGACATCAGTCTCACCTCTCTGGGTTCAAGCTTCACCCAACCTGAGTGCAAGCAGGAATGGGACAGACGCTACTACCCCAAGTCTCTCCCGCTGTGATGGTGGGGAAGGAAAGTGTTTACAAACCCAGAGATGAGAGGAGGGGAAGGGAAAGGGATTTCAGTTCTCTGCTCCTCTCTCTAGGGGAGGACTTTCCGGGCGAGTGCCCTTTGATTCTCCATTGTCACCTCTCTCTCCCGTGCGCCCCATGCTGTCCTCCTGGATGGAGGAGAGAGATACCTTATGTTTAGACATGGTGCTTAGAGGTTGTCCCACACACATGATGTCCAGGCCCTGTCCTTTCTGGAGTCTCTCCTGGCAGTCACGAAGGGGAAGAGAGTATTGGTTTATCCATGTCAGGACGTCAGGGTCACCGACTGTGGGAAAGAGAAGACAAACTCCAATTAGACAGTTACTCTCCTTATCACAAGGGCTCTTGTGATCAACTCCTGTTGTGTCAATACATTAATTTCTGAGAATATTCAGCCCGGATAGCAGCTAACATTCCATCCTTCTTGGGGTTCAGTAATCTCTACTGAATGTGGAGAAGTGGGTTCTGTGGGTTCACAAATCCTCTTCTGTGAGACATCCAATCTACCATTCTTTCTGTATTATGCATAATTGATAAAACTTTGAAAAAACTGTGAGAAAATTATGACTGACCACAAGGAGAAAGAGACAGTAACAAATCCATTGTCCCAAGAACCATGTCCCCACCTCTTTTGAATATCTACTTTATTCTTATTGCATTTAATCATAAAGGCAGAAGCTATTTTTAGTGTGTATAAAACTGCTTTTTAAATTAGACTATTTATAAATGGATTATTTATAAGTGTGTGTGTGCATGTATATATATATATATATACACATATATATATGTATATATATATTTTTCCCCCTAAGAGGTCATATTGCTGACCTACATCATAGCAATTGCTATTAAACTATCAACTTCAGGATACAGGAACTCTAACCAAGGTATTAGGTAATTTTAATCTCTGATAGAGAGTAGCAAGGAGGAAGAAAACAAAAAAATTGACCAGAGATTGCTCAAGCTAATTAAAAATACGTGTAACAAGCTAGGCTAAAGTAACTTGCTACTTGAAATAATGAATTCCCAATAAATATTGGGAGCCCTGCATCAGACAGTGTATAGAGTTGTATAGTTTGCCACTACAGTTCTGACATTCAGAGCTTATACAATAAAACCTTTGTATAGTTTTATTTTGTTTTCAAAGGGTATATAATTAATTACTTTTGTAAAATGTAATGCAGTTACTTTGAATAAGACTTATAAAGTCAAGGACAAAAATCATACAAGTTGAAATATGTCTACAAAATATATTTCACTTACACGTCCAGGTACTTTGCTTCTAAATTGAAAAATGAAGTTGCAAAGTACTCAGAATATACAAGTGTATGCCTTTTATTTGTTTTTTATAAAACAGATTTTTAAAGTTCCCATTTTTAAATTTGTTTTTACAGAACAGATTATTCTGTAGCCACCAGAGAAGGATTTAACCCTGATTAATAGATCCAGGACCACGTGCCTGAGTGAACACAGCTTTTGCAAGCCAATCAGTTTATGTCAGCTGTCACTTCTTGAATCAGCGAATCAGGGTCAGATGTTCTCCTATAAACACATCTCAGAGCACCAACCACTCAACAACAAGCTCACTGAAGATTTGAATGGATCCATCCCATGCCACTATGCTACAGATGATGTAACCCTTATACCTTGGATAGGCCTCCATTGCCTCGTCTCCAAGCTTCCCACAAACCCCACATACACATAAGTACTCTGCTCTGCTTGGCGGGCCGATGTCTGGTCAGTATTGCTCTGCCTTGAATAACAAGCAATAGATTTAGCTTTATCATTTTATTTCAGATATCAAGTGGTGGTATCCTCATTCTTTGACAATACCTAAAGAGAGCATCTTGGTTATTAACAGCTGCATGAAGTCACAGCTAACAGAAACAAGCAAATGCATCAGAAAGCAGCTTTCTTCATAAAGCACCTTTGATTAGACAGGTTCCCATGGAGACCAGATCTCTGTGCTCATCCCCAGTTACAGCTCTTGGGGGAGAAGGACGTGTGCCTACAGCAAGGGCTGTGACTATGTTCCCCACGATGCATATCAGGCCAGAGAGAGACCAACAGTATGTCATAACAATCGATTTCCCTATGAACACTCAAGTCTCCACCTCTGAGTAGGAACTCTCGCGTGTAGCAGGGTACTATGAGTAGCCCTCACTGCAGGGAAAGAGCTCTGGTGACAGGACGGGCGGCTCACTCAACCATCCTCTTGTCACCCAGGATCCCCTAGAAGGAACGGATCACCATGTCTTTGCATGTGCGTTGGCTTCTCTGTGGAAGCAGTGGGAAGCCTTCTCTGTTACCTCACTACATCACGTTTTGTTTTTATTTTCCCCACATCTCTTTTATTAATTGCATGGTGGGTATTCAACAAATGTCAATGAGTAGACCACCCTCCTTCTTGATGCCTTGACACTGTCTTTGTGCGTATACTAGACTCCTATTTTCCCACCTTTATTTCAGTTCAGTTCCCTGGATCTGGTCTTGGATATTCCAGAGATATAACAGATTCTGCCTGCTCCATTTGATGGTGTCATATTGGCTGCCCTGCATCAGTCTCTTTCAATCTTATCTTTGACCTCCAGTCATGCTAGTATAAGGTCCTGGCAGTAATCCCTCTGAAGTCAGGAACCCTACCTCATACCACCTATTTTGCCAAGTACATCCCACCACATTTTTTTCCAAGTTCCAACCTGCTCAGATAAAGAACTCAGAGTCCAACACTTACGGTTTTTGTATTCCTTCCAGGTCCAGGTTGGGATAAAGCAGGACTCGTTAAGTATCATGGGTTCCAAGGCTATGGCTATCGTTCCCAGGTATGTGTCGACTGGAGCAGGCTTGGACAGTTTGATCAACATCAGGTCATTTTCCAGAGTTTGTGTGTCAAAGTCAGGGTGGGGCACAGTCAGTGAGTAATTTCGTATCTGCTCTATCTTAGTCTTGGTGCTCGGTTGATAAACTCCCAGTCGGATCTTAACACTTCGGAAGAAAGAGGGCAGGGAGATGAGAGAGAAGAGAGTCACAGAACATCAGACTACAAGAAATGTCCCAGGCTGCCTTCTCCAACCATCTTACTTTTTTTCCTTAACCTGAGAACTAAAAGTGGCCTGCTCTTGTCTGAAAAATAATAAAGCTAGTTTACAGGACTGTTGTATTGAGACATGCATTGGGTAAGATCTGACATGGCATCTGGCACCTAAAACACATCAGTTGAGTATAGTTATTATCATTAAGATTCAGATCATCTGAGCTAGCAGGTACTAGAGCCGGCACTGCCATCCATTATTCCAGAGCTCCCTGTCTATACTACACTGCCTCGAGCAATCCTTGAGCAAGCGTGTAGTACCCACGGTTTCTGAGTATTCCCGAGCCTGCTGCAGCTCTTCCCAGCCCGTAGCATTAATTTTTGCCATGTGTTGCCTACGTTGATCTTAGACTTGACAGACTATTATTAATCGTCTGTCAGGACTCCCAGTTACCATTTTGCATTATATTCCCTGGGCAAATTCAGACCCACCCACCTCCATCGCCAGGAGCCCAGGCGTGCAAGATTTACAAGAGCTATTTCCTGCCAAAAGCGGTTCATGTGTTAGATGTGTGGACGAGAGAAAGAATACCTGATTTTCTAATTCCTACTCCGAGAGGACTTGAACCCTCTTTATCTCCTACGCATTTCCCACATTGCACAGAGCAGGGTTCCATCCGTGTTGAACTGCACTGTTTTGAACAACCAGCTGGCTGAGAGTTGCGAGTTCGATATGACCCTTGTATGTGCCTTAAACTCTGAGCGGGCCTTACTCACACAACACAGTCTCACACTCAGCAGAAGCCCGGAGGTTGACGAGGGACAGCTTTATTTTGTACAGCGACTCTTTATTCTTCTACAGTTACCCGCATGACACGGCTTTCACCTAACTCTTCAGCCTCATCCTAGGATCATCCCCCTACTCAGCCGACACTGATTTCCCAGTTTGCCAAATACCCTAAAGTCTTTGCTACTTCGGGGACTATCTGAATATTGTTCCCTGGGCCGGGACTGTCCCTCAGGCTTTCTTCATTTGGCTGTCTCCTTCACTGCTTAAGAGGACAAACAGGACTACCATAACCAACGCAGACCTCCTTGCATCCCGTATGTCACAGCTTGCCATTCTTTTTGTGCTTTATTTTTAGCTGTTTGTTTGCTTTGGCTTACGCCTTCTACTGGTGTATAAGCTCCACGAGGAAAAACTTATTATCACGTTGTCCCCTTACCGTTTTCTCAGTGTATTAAGCAGCCCTTACTATACAGTAAATGTTTAGCAAATATGTAGTGACAAATGAACATTATTTACTTTCCATGACAGTCTTCCGACATCTTCCTATTGGCCTCTTCTTAAACTGCCCGAATATGTATTCTACTCCCTATTTGGAAGAAGATTCTATCTTTTCCCGGGCCTTCTAATTTCCTTAAAAATTTGCTGGGACGCTTCCCCCCGGCCTGCATTCATTGGAATAGACCCGTCCCAGCTTCTGAGAGCAGAGGTATACTTACGGCAGGGGGCAGTGCGCGGCCGTCAGCACCCACTCAGGGTGAATGAGAGTCCCCACGCAGGGTTCTGGTTTGGACTGCAGATAGACCATATAAGGAACAATAATTTTTTTTTGTAAATCCAAGTCACCTTCAGGAATTTTGGAATATTTGGACAGAAGTGCTCCTGGAGAGTGAAGAGGTCATAGGTGGAAAGAGAGACAAAGAGATTGAGAGGCTAGAACTGGCCAGCGTAGTTTTCTTTAGCCTAAGTTTTTCAAAGATACTATTGATGTCTTCCATTTATTTTTCATGTTTTTTTTTTTTCTTAAACTAGAGGAAGTCATGAGTGTAACCTAAGCTACACACACAGTAAGAGAACTGACACATACCTTTGCTGAGATGGAATTACAGCAAAGTTCTGCGAAACTAATACATGGGCTCATCTCACACTGATCAGAAACTCTGGATGGCAGTGCTATTAAGTACATGTTACAAAAATGAAAATAAAAAATAAATGACTATTTTGAAAACATTCTTTGGATGGTTAAAAACATCCAGAGCCCTGACCAGCCCACCCTCCTTCCTCGGCGCAGGTCCTCTAGCGCCCCCCTGTGCAGGGAAAGGGAGAAGCGGCGACCTAGGAAATCTCAGCACGCTTGGGAGCTTGATGAGAGGGGACGGCAGGACAGAGTCGGGCATCGGTCATGAGTGTGCCCTGACAGGTTCACGGACACCGGAGGGGCTCAGAGATCGTGGGGACAGGATAAGATGCGTGTCGACACTGGCCGCTTTTGATTCCTTCGACAGTTGATTTTCTAAAAGCCCTTCACTTCCCATGCCCTTAGCTGTGGCTGGCCACTTCTCCCTCCAACTCTTCATACACTGCCCTGGTCCTCACCCTAGACAGAAACAAGGCCCCAGACTCTCACCGACTGTGCTCATGAGAGCGAAGATGAGATAGCCCTTCATGGCAGGCTGTGACCTTGCCAGCCGCAGACAAGGTGATCAAGCGGTGAACCGTCCCGACCTTTAGTCCAGGTGTCCTTGGCAACAGCGGCTGCGGAGAAACACTAATCATGGAGTGAGGAGAGACACACGGATCTTAGAGCAGTCTTCAAACTGGTCCTTATCAAGACTCAATTATGTCAATTACGTAAGACATCAGAGGGATCTATGTCTGATGTGAGTGAAAGAGGGGAAGGAACAGACCAAGCCAAGGTCCTGGTGTCACCTCTCTGATCCTACCAATCTCCCCAGGAGCCAGTGTGTGCCCACTGGCATTTCTCTCCCCCCTCTGTGACATAGGCTTTCTTTGTTGTCTCCTCCCCTCCCTGTGACTTAAATCCCACTCCCTGCCCTCCCCTGCCATCTCCCTTCTTCCGAAGAGCCCCTCTGCTATTCCCAGGTACTCACACAACATTGGGGTATGAGATGAATTTAATAAATCCTGTGTTTTTTTTTAATCTTATTCATTTTAATGATGAGGAAGTTGTGATCCTCTTGGAAGTTAGTGGCAAAGTCAGCACTCAGAACTGAGTCTCTGGATTCCCGGTGACAAGGTTGAACTTTACCTGAGCTCTGTACTTCCAGAAAAGAGCCGTGGTTAAGAAATTCCCACCTCCCTTTTGTGTTTTGGGAAATGAATTACTGCAGAGAACCATCCTTCCCAGATGACTTAGGCAGGACTCTCTGTCCATTCCTTCTCATGACTCCCAGAAGACTTTGGATGGCTCCCCTGTTTACTGGTGACAGGTTGAGTACAGACCTTGCGTCTTTACCTGCATCTGCTGACAAGGTGAGATGTGGACCTTCCAACTCCCCATTCTTTGTTTCATGGATGATTAGAATTAGAATGGTTAGTCTCCTTGAAACTAGCAACACTGAGAAGTGAACATTCCCTATGTAGCCAACTGACTGAGACTCCCCCCTGATTTCAAAACAACCCCAACTGTAAATCTCCTCACATATAACTAGTCTATTTCTCCCTACAAAAGTCTAGGGGGAAACCACCCTGCCAAGATACTATACTCTTCAGATCTGAAATGCTCTCCTATTGGAATGGTCTGAATTAAAACTAACTTCTTACTAGTTTGGTTTTTGTCTTTTGCACCTGTTACTCGTTCCAAATCTACCACATTCCTTTTATATAAGTTAACCTTACACTTTAACTTCCTGACTTTCGCCAAGAGATAGTTACTAAATAGCAGTTAAATCCCACATTTTATAAAAAGTAGATTGAACAAACGCAAAACATACAAGACTTGACTGGCCATTGTCTGAGTAATTAAAGAGCTGACCACTTACAGAAGTCCAAAAAAATAGCATTCCTCTATCTGTAAAATATATATGCAAACTTAGTTCTTCTAAAATTTAATTAACTTAAAACATGTCACCTGGATGTTCCCTAGTCCTCTAAGCTTCTGGGGCTAACATTTCCTTAGTATCCAAAGTTTAAAAAATATTAGTAATTATAATAATAAAGTCAGCATTTATTGAGATTTTACCACATATTAAACACTATGTTATGTGTTCTCTACGTGTAACCCAGTTTATCCTTCATCACAGATCTAGAAATTAAATATTATTATTCGCTTTCTACTAATAAGAAAGCTGAAGCTTTTTAAGGTTAGAAATCTTGCTCACAATCGCAGAGCTTGGAACCCTCAACCCACGACATTTCCAGAGGTCTTTCCAAAGGTTTGCCTGGTAGAAATGGGACTTATTTCTGTTAGTTTTTCTAGTCTGCTTTGTCCCAGCACTCAAAAACAGCTGCATCCACTTTATTTCTCAATTCACCACTAAGCCAACACTGGGGTGCATCCCAGGCCATTGCTGAAGCTCATACAAGCCATTATTTTGATTCATTCTCCAAACCAGATTCAACACTGAAACACAGTAGCAAAAGTCAAATTTGTTTTGGACATTCCACAGGAAACTGAAGAAGAGAATTTATGTTGTATAATGTCCAGCAGAATTTTATAAAGATCTACATTTTTTTGTTTTTTTAATTAATTAAAAAAAATTTTTTTTTGAGACAGAGTCTCACTCTGTTACCCAGGTTAGCGTGCCCATGGCGTCAAGCCTAGCTCACAGCAACCTCAAACTCCTGGGCTCAGGTGATCCTCCTGCCTCAGCCTCCTGAATAGCTGGGACTACAGGCAAGTGCCACCATGCCTGGCTGATTTTTTTTTCTATTTTTGGTAGAGATGGAGTCTGGCTCTTGCTCAGGCTGGTCTCCAACTCTTGAGTTCAAGGGATTCTCCTGCCTCGGTCCCCCCAGAGTGCTAGGATTACAGGCATGAGCCACTGCCCAGCCTATTTTAGTTCTTTTCCAAAATTCTTCCTTAGGCTTATCCTACCCTACTTCTCTTACTCTACTTCTCTAATCTCTCTCTCTCTCTCTCTCCCTTTGAAGATTATTGTCCTCACCAATTAGATCTGTCCTTCAGTTTTCACATCTCACTCAGTAAAACAAAAGCACTTAGCTGAGCTGGCCTGGTGGCTCACGCCTGCAATCCCAGCACTCTGGGAGGCCAAGGTGGGTGGATCATTTGAGCTCAGGAGTTGAAGACCAGCCTGAGCAAGAGTGAGACTCCGTCTCTACTATAAATAGAAAGAAATTAGCCAAACAACTACAAATATATAGAAAAAATTAGCTGGGCATGGTGGCACATGCCTGTAGTCCCAGCTACTAGGGAGACTGAGGCGGAAGGATCGCTTAAGCACAGGAGGTTGAGGTTGCTGTGACGCCACGGCACTCCAGCCAGGGCAACAGAGTGAGATTCTGTCTCAAAAAAAAACAACAACAACACAAAAAACAGTTAGCTGTTCCTAGGGAGGGTGTAACTCTCCCATCACAAGTGGCTTATGAAGGTACCGATTGAACAAAAATGTAAATGGTTTAGGTTGAAGGAACCAGGTTAAATTCCACAGCTAACAACAACAACGAAAAGAAACTTTAAAAAATATTATTATGTCTTTTTCCAAATGAAATGAGGGGGAGTTTTTTTTTAATAACACATGTAAAACAAATGTAAAAACCAGGCAGATCACGTTGAGCTCTACTGAAGGCAGTTCGTTGTTCCTAGACATGCCATTAAGTGACATTTTCCCCTTTGAAGGCTAAATAACCCTATTAGTTAAACAGGAACAAGAAATGAAAAGGATTTCAGGGGATTAGGGAGAGAGTTTTTTTTTTTTTTTTTTTTTGGAGACAGTGTCTCACTCTGTTGCCTGGGCTAGAGTGCCGTGGCGTCAGCCTAGCTCACAGCAACCTTAAACTCCTGGGCTCAAGCGATCCTTCTGCCTCAGCCTCCTGAGTAGCTGGGACTACATACATACGCCACCATGCACGGCTAATTTTTTCTATGTATATTTTTGGTTGTCCAGATAATTTGTTTCTATTTTTAGTAGAGACGGGGTCATGCTCTTGCTCAGGCTGGTCTCGAACTCCTGATCTCGAGCTATCCTCCAGCCCTGGCCTCCCAAAGTGCTAGGATTACAGGCATGAGCCACCATGCCCAGCCGGGAGAGAGATTTTGATTTAAAAACTGCAATTGTTGAGTTCAAAGAGTTGATCATCCAAAATGGAATTGTGAAGTCGAAGTGGGGAAGGCCCAAAAGAAAATTGTACGACAGTGCAACTGGCAGGTGTAATGTCGGAGCAGGTGTCTTTCTTTCCCAGTGAGCTCTTCTTGTGAAAGAAGATGGAGGAAGAGCTCCTCCCGTGGAAGAGGCAATTGTGTAGAGAGGAAGTTTAGCGGCTCGGGAGGAGTTTCTAGAAATCTGCACGAGCTTTTCCTTTCATGTGGGATAGAAAATGCAGTGGGATGAGGCGGGGAGCCTCTGACACACCGGGATAGAAGTCCTGTGACTCCCATGACAGCATGATCTTTGCTTTGCTTTTATAATCCTTTTATAAAAATATAGATATGGTGCATAGATGTTATCAGAAATTTGCACAATGCAAAATTATGTAAATCATGAAATTTCCTCTTATAAATGAAGATAGAACAAAGCTTTCATAAGTTCATTAGACCATATGGCTTTATTTTCTGTTTAGAAAACAGAGTCTGCTTACTCTGTTCGATCTTTGAGTTAGAGAGAAGCTGGCCTTGGAGGACACCCTTGGTCTTAGAGTGGTCTCTGCCATGGGTCCCTCCCAGAACACTGACTGCAGAAATGGGGGTGGTTGGTTGAAAAGGGAACATGGATTACCCATATGGACATGTCTTTAATAATAAGCTCTGTTAACTAACTAAGGTTTCATATGTGAAATGTGTATATAAAATCACAGTGGCCATTCGAGATGATGTTAGAAGACATACATAACTGTCAGATTAGTTCTAATGAAAGAATTAGTGTCTCACGGTGAGAAGATGAGATCAGTTTGTGAGGATAAAATCGGTTGATTTATTCTGTAGGAACTGGGAACTTATTTTAAAAATGGAGAGACAAAGGGATCGTTGAAAACTATGATTCTCTCAAGATATCTGGAAATCCTTTACCTTATAGAAATAGGAAGGGATGAGACTGAGCTATTCAGAACAAATGAATATCTCTAAGAATAAAGAATTTTGTGTTTGTATTCCTTTAATAAATAGACATTCTTAATTGACTTTGAAAAGTAAGACTAAAATAATACTAAGATAGTAAATACTTTTATTTTTTGAAGTCCTTTTAAAATTTGATTTCAATACTAAGATAAATTATGAGAATGGTTTGCATTAAAAGAATTCATTAAATAAGATTTTTAGGGTACAAGAGGCTTGTATTTATCTTATTAAAGCAAATTTTCTTAGATAAATTGACCCTGAGCATATGTTGAAGTTCATTACTTGTTAATGAGAGAACTAATAACTGAATTATGGAATCTACGAATCCAAAGTAAAGTTACTTCTAACCAGCTTATTGATCCTATATGAATACATATATGCATATATATGTGTGTGTATATATATATATATATTTACAGAAGTAGCTGAGCTTATAATGCAGATATTGCTTTCTTTTACACAGTATGAAGTTGACAGTTGGAGTTATCTCCTCAATTTACATAAGATAAATAAATTTATCTGTCACTACGATTAGATATAACAAGCCCAAAGGCCTTGTCTCTATGCAGCTGTCTCTAATATCAGATTGTTATCTCTTTATATTTCCTTATTTTTGCTACAGAGATATGGAGTCTACTGAATCATGAATTGGGTATTTATTTACAGTAAGTATATTTCTGTGAGAAATATTTCCTCTGACGTTTCCAAGTGCCTTTTTATTTTTAAACTATGGTATGTTTTCATAGGTCTTTTGATGTTTTTCTTTATGTTTTACAAACAGATCTATGCTTTGCAATTATCCATCCTTTATTCACCTTGCTTTTCTTGTATCATATGCATTTGTTGGCATTATTATAGAATCTTTATTGACTTCTTGTCTGCTTATCAAACAGATTGTATAAACCATGGAGGAAGGATATTGGCTATTTTCTTCACTGCTTTGCTGCATAAAACAGAGCCAGGAATACAATAGGCTCTCAATAAGTATTTGCTGAATAAGTGATTGGGTAAATGAATAGAATAGTTGTATTATCTCTACCGAAGCATATACCATATTTATTTAATCAATCCTCTGTTCATGTTTATTTGAGTTGTTTCTGATTTTTTGGGTTATATAGACAATGTATCAATAAACATATTGGTTGGTGGAGATTGTGCTTACCTTTTTAGCGTCTATTCCTCTTTCTCTTGATAACTAACCTTATTAATTCAGCTAACCAAACATATACAAAGTAGGTCATGTTTGTTGCAGAATAAAAAGTCCATCCTTCACTCTGATGGCATGCCACATAACTTAATTGTAAACTAATGAGCATAATCCCATATGATTAATGGTTCATGAGTGTGGAAGTGCACACATTAAATGAAGAAGACACTCTTACATGTCTGCTGTGAGCTTTTGTGACAGAGCCTTCAATTCTTTTGGGAACAGCTTTCTTTATCTCCCTCCCCAGATACAGACAACGGAGAACGTACCGGTAGCTCTGACAGCCATTTTATGATCACAAGGCTTTTTCCTTAGATTAAAGATGACAGTAATGAAGACAGCAAACAGAGGCAGAAATAAATCGGATCCTTGATAGCATTTTTGAATTGAATGAAACTATTCTTGAAGCCTTCCGTACTCCTAAGCTTTCGTTTGTGCATTTTTAAAGACATTCTGAGTTGAATATTCTGTTCCTTGCAACTAAACAACTCCTAAGAGATGTGTTCACATTTATACATTTTTTTTTTGTATTTAAATGCATCTTTCAATAGGGTAAACTCTTTAGAATTAAGTTGCTGGATAAAAGGGCAAACAGAATTTACAAATTAATATAAATTTACAAATTGTGAAGAGTTAGTCTGAAAATGATAAGAAGATTGACAAAGGGGCTTTTGGATGACACAAAAAATAAAACATATGAAAAAATGCTCAACATTTCTAATCACCAGGGAAATGCAAATCAAAACCACAATGAGAGATCACTAACTCCAGTGAGAATGGCTTTTATCAAAAAGTCCCAAAACAACAAATGTTGGAATGGACGCGGAGAGATAGGAACACTCACACACTGCTGGTGGGACTGCAAACTAGTACAATCTCTCTGCAAAGTAGTAACTAGGTACCTCAAAGAACTAAAAGTAGAACTACCATTTGATCCAGCAATCTCACTAGTGGGTATTTACCCAAAGGAAAAAAGACAATCTATGAAAAAGACATCTGCACTTGAACATTTATAGCAGCACAATTTGCAGTTGCAGAGATGTGGAAACAACCTAAGTGCCCATCAATCCATGAGTGAATTAATAAAATGTGGTATATCTCTCTTGGAAAACATGAAAGATCTTGGAAAACTGGAACATACATACAGGTAGGTGAAACCCTGGAAAATACAGGAAACCTGTGATTTTTAAATATTTCTGCATCTAAAGGTTTCCCTTATCTAGTCTCACAAAATTTCATATGGATTGAAGAAAAAGATAGGGAGAGAATTCTGTTATAGCAGCAGCAATGCATTGGGAATAAGGACATCTTGAATTTTAACTCGGCTTTACTAGGTACTATTTGAATGATTTTGGACAACTGATTTTGACTTTGTGCATTTTACTGTCTTTATCTGTAATAACTTATGGATACATGTTCTATCATAAAAATGCATGATCAAATTTGTATTGTAGCCAAATCTTACAAAAAAATTTATATGAGTTATTAATACAGTGCCTAATAATTATTTTACTTATAACAAAAATGATGGTAACAGCCACCTCTAACCTTGTTCCCTTTTCTATCCTCGATAGCTCACACAGAGTTTGGAATGTAGTAGTAGGTAATCAGTAAATTTATATTGATAAGGTTGAATGAATGACTAAATAACCTTTCAATTTTTCTCAATATAATAGTACAACTCTATGTCCACCTTCTTATTTAGCAGCTAGTTTCTAGAGAAAGTTTGCCAATATGAAGCAAGGACCATTCTTGGACAATGTAGTGCAGGACGAATGTTTTTATTTAGGTAATGTTTTGAGGCATAGAAGGAAGGTGAAGCTGTATAACAGGAGACAAGACATGAAGAGATACAGGTGTCTAGTTGGCAGCGATGGTCTGCTGAATCCAACTCACGTAGTTGCAGACCTTGGTATAGACACCAGGTTTGCCTCTCAGAGCACAGCCATAGCCCCAGGAGACGACACCCTGGAGCTGTCCATTGCAGACCACGGGGCCACCAGAGTCACCCTGAGCAAGGGAGAAGAGACCATCAGAGCTCTTATTTATGCCCAGATGGGAGAATGGGGTGCAAGATGTCCTTCCACTGTGCTGGGGCCATTTTCCTAGGCTGATTATCCTCTATGAAGCACTTTTTCTTCCTCTGGAAATTCAGCCCTCAATTTATTTACACTGTATCCGATCTTTCCCCTCTCTCCTTCCAGCCTCTCCTTTTTCCTACTAGGACAATTGGGCCAAGGAGAGGTGAGGACTGGAGAGTTTTTAATACTGTCCAACTAGCTCTGTTCCTTCGGCCAGGGCTCCCTGCCACCATTTGCCTCCATAGAGGGTACTTGGATGTCCTGTTTGCACACCATCTTGAGTATCTTTTTAACCTTAAAACAGGCCATGAATATCACAAAAATAAAATTTATAATTTGTCCCAAAGCTACCCCTCACCTCTCACAATCAATCCCAGGGACAGTTTTAATCCTCTGTATGTTAGGAAAGAGGAACTATGGCGGAAAAGAATGAGACTGGGCTGGATGGAGGAGGAGGAGCACAAAGACACTAACCTGGCAAGAGTCCTTGCCACCCTCCGTGAAGCCCAGGCAGATCATATTGCTAGTGATCTGGTTTGGGTAGGAGCTGCGGCAGGTGCTGTCAGAGAGGACGGGAGCCTTCAGACACTGCAGGAGATCAGGGTAGTTGGCTGTTGAGTGCAAGAATGCAAATGGAAGATTACCAACAGGGTTCCTGGAAATTCATTCTCAACATTTCTCTCTTCTTTCCCAATGCTCCCACTCTTTCTCTCAATTTGCCAATGACTTCTAGTTTTGGAGGACAACTTTTTTCTATAAGGTTTCCCAAATAATTTCTAATCAATGAGTTGTTCTTTCTCTGACACTAGCATCATGACCACAAATCTTACACCTAGAGACTATTTGTCAAGCAGCTACATGCTTCCAACAGTACCAAATCCCTTAGCCTCTGTTCTGTTTACCTCCTCAGTTTCTAGTTCTCTACACATCACTGATCACACTTTAATTAAATACTTTGACATCTTTTTAACAGTTCATCTTCATTGTGTCCTGTGCATGGTCCCAGCAAGGGAATCTTCCTCTTTTCAATTTGTATATCCTGAGACTTCATATATCCAAAAGTATCCTCCTGAAACCACACCTTGAGTGAGAATTTGGATCAACTGGCCCTCAACATGCCTTTCACCTCTACTATCCTCAGACTTGGCACTTCAGTCCCAGGTGACACTTACTGCCGCTGCTCAGGGTGTTGCCCCAGCCGGAGATGAGGCACTGAGTACCAACAGCTGCACAGGATTTTGGCAGAGAGACCGTGGACACTCGAGAGCTGAGCTTGGCTTTTGAGCTCAGCTTAATTAGCATGATGTCATTATCCATGGTGGATTTGTTGTATTTGGGGTGAGTGATGATCTTGGCAGCATTAATGAATTGCTCATTGCCCTCAGTGAGTTGAATGTTGTGTTCTCCCAGACGCACCTGGATTCGGCTGGATTAAAGGATAAGAGTTCTGTAAGTATCCAACTTGAGCTTTCTCCCTTTCTCCTGACCTCCTCATTCATGAGCACAAACACAGACACCATCCTCTTCAAGCATTCACTCTCACAGGTCATTGAGCACTGTGAGCATTGTGCACTGTCACACGTGGCACGGGTTAGAGTATTCCTTAGTAAAGTGTTCCTAGAGTATTCCTTAGTAAAGTGTTCCTGCCTGTCGTCTTGTTACAATAGTAAGGAATAGGAATGGGACCCCAATGACCCCAAAGAAACAGCTCCAGATAAAAAGGGAATAATTGGTGGAGACTGAGCAGCAAGCACCTGTCATTTTCTACTGGTTGCGATCACCATTTCCCATAGGGAGGTGAGGCAGGACTCAGAGATTTTGGAAGAATATTAAGAGAGCAGAATGAATCATGCTTATTTTTTGTGTTGCATAGGACATTCTATGAGTTTTATTACCTCCATATGTCATTTTTCCTGGTTAAGCTGTAATAATCAGCACTGATTCTAGTGTTAAACTATTTGTATGGATACTTCACCACTCACTGTTTCCCTTCCGTGCCTCTAGTACCTCCATTTAGGAAGACATTGGGGAACTCTAAAGGGTAGCTCTCTATGCAAATGTCCCTTGGTACATCATACAATGCTTGGGAGAATAAAATGTCTCTTAGGATCTGAATGCCTCACCCTGCAAGCATAACTCCATACATTACCCTGATTGTGCTTTGGCGGGGCTAGAAGATAAGTTGATCTTACAGCACAGGAAGGTGAGTTTGGTCACTTACGACTTGTAGCAGTGAGCCGCGGACACCACCCACTGATCGTTGATGAGGGAGCCGCCGCAGAAGTGGTAGCCCGAGTTCAGGGACGCCTGGTAGGGGACTGAATTCGCCTGACAGGTGTACCCTCCGACGATCTTGTCGTCATCATCGTTGTCAGTGGGCAAAGCAACTGATGGGACAAAGTTGGAAACTATCCGTTAATCAGATCCATCTTGGAATTTCTACGCCACCATGAAGTTTTTGCAGATTAACCAGAGAAAAGCAGATAATGTTATTCTGTCTCACATAATCAGGAAATGGTGGTTTTAGGTAATTTCCTGGGAAAATCTATTATTCCATACCTTTAACATGTACTCCACATATGCCATTATCAATATATAATTTTTAATTTATGCTTTACATTTGACAAATGCATTCTTTTTTTAACGTACCATTCACACACACACGCACACATGCACACACACACACACACACACACTCTTATAAAGATCAGAGGCTCTTTACACAATGAATGCCATCACCTGAAGATATAAAGACCACTGAAGACCACTACCCAAGGATATAAAGAATAACTGTTACACAGAACCCTGCTCAGCAGCCATGCAATTAGCTGTGAAGGTTTGCAGAAATCATGCTGATGTTTGCTTGGTGGTTAGTGGGACATTGGTATGGGATAGATATCCCCAGGAGGTGACAGAAAGGAAGCTTTTAGAAGCCACCTGAGAATGTTCTGGGCTGCAAGGAAATGGACAGTATTGTCCTTTTGCACTCCCAATTTCTCTCCTTGGTTCTAGCCTAAAAAATTTGTAAACATTTAGAACATTATAAGATTTCTTTCTCCGACGTTTCCTTTTATCCCAATTATCTTTCCAACATTTATCAATTTATTCAGCATTGTGAAGTCTGTGCCATTGATGTATTAAGATTTCTTGAAGCTCCAAAAATTTGTGGCTATGTTATATGAACCCTATTGTTAAAAAATTTTAAAATAATTTCAGGAAACAATTTTCCAGGTGTGTAGACAGTTTTATTTAATTTATGACTGCCCAATTTGGGAAAATTTAGTATTAAGTTTTACTAGTGTAACATTTAATAATGTAAAAGTAGAAATAGTCACTTCTCTATTAATATTTTTCATGATTGAATGATATGTTATTATGCTTTACACCATAAAGATTTCATTAGCAAAGATGTCATTAAAAATAAAAACACTGCCCATAGCTTTTATTCATGAGAAATGAAATATCTGTGCTGTTAAGACTCCTTGGCTTTAAATCACTCGCCCCTTAGTATAGAAGAGACTCAGGCTCTGGCACCAACAGCCTCTTCAGCGAGCACAAGATTAATTCCAGTTATTAACTCCAAATTCTTAGAAAGTTCGAGACAAACAATTCCATAATGTGCACTACCCTTTCCTTTTCTCTCCTTTTTCTTAAATTCTACCTGGAAGTTGAGTGCAAGTTCTGCTTCTTTATGTCTCTACCTGCTCATTCCTGCTCATTGTGATATTGTTCCAGGAAGTAATATTCAATTATTAATAAACATAAGTGCTATATGCTATTGCTTCAACATTTTAAGCTTCTCAAGTACAGAGACCAGATTTGACATTCATTGATGTCTTCCAGAGTACAAAGTGCAAACTTAAATAGGTAGCTAATGATTCACTTATTCAAAGACTCACCAGCAGCTCCCAGGAAAGCGAGGAAGATGAGGGTCTTCATGGTTGCTCACTGGGGAATGGGAAGAAGGTTTTTCATCCAAAGGTATTTATACCTCTAGATTTGTTATTAACACCCATGGCCACGGGTGCCAGAAAAGTGATTTCACTGGAAACTTACAAATCTAAATTTAGAATTCAATTCTGTACAGATAGAAGATAACTCATTATTAAACATCAACATTTGTTCACTTTTCCAGAAGGTTATGGGAATGGAAGTGACAAACCCACCTGGTGGGAACTGTTCCCCATAATAGGAAAGTAATGTAGAATAAAATCACAGGACAGAGCTACAGGTGTCTTGATTCTCAGACCAAAGTCTTAGGTACTTGGTTGCCTCAACTGTGAACTTTTATCCAAAGGACTATCTTGATCCCTGCACCTTTATTGTTTAATTGACACAGGCTCTTTCACAATTATGTATTAATACTTAGAATATCTCTGACATATAGTAAGTTTAAATAAATGTAACTTACCATTCTTTTATTTTCTTCTTTAGTCTGTTATGATTTCAATTAAGAACAATTTTCTTTTTCTCAGGGAAACAAGTTGTTCCTAGGAATAATAAAAAGTTAACATGGATATACAAAACCAGAGCTTCCATAAGACAAAGTATAATACTTTGCCCACATTAGTTTAGTAATCCTCATAACAACCATACAAGACACCTATTACAATCCCCACATTGCCTATAGGAAAAGGAAGGCACACAAAAGTATAGGGGAGTTGACCAAAATCTCACAGCAAGTTCATGGGTAGAATCAGGATTCCAACCCAGGAAATCTGGTTTTAGAGTCAGAAGGGGTTTTGCTTCTAAGGCTATCTCCTTAAGAAGTGCCTTTCTGTTACTATGCAACACTTCCCCCAGTCAGTTGACCACAATTTGGATACAAAGATAATACAGAATTCTTGGCCAATGATAACACAACTGAAATTTATAGATGCTTACCATGTGTCAGGCATGGGGAGGGGTTTATATGCATCAGCGCATTCAATCCTCACAAACAGCACTGCAAGTGTTGTGCCACAATTTTCACCATTTTAGAGATGTGGAGGAGGACGCTTAGAGAAGTCAAATGTTTTGCTCAAAGTTTCATTGCCATTAAGTGATCAATCCAGGGTTCAAACTCAAGCAGCCTCACTTTGAGGTCCACGGTCTATCTCAATTGTGATGCCATAAACACAATAAGAAAGAACTGTCTGAACTCCACCAAAGTAGGGCTAACTCCTCCAAGAATTATTGAGGATTCTGGAAAATCCAAGAAATGGGTTTCTGGAGCAGGAATTGTCAGAATTAATGGGGCAAGGCGGAAGTAGCAAGAGTGGGTGAATCTCAATGAGCAGTAACCCCTAGCTAGCTTGAGCCAGAGTCTACACTCAAACAACATATCTGCAATGGCCTTCCGGGGTGTTATTTCTGCTTATGCAAATTATTGCTCCTGAAATAGTTTCTCTTTCTTTTATATTTGAAATTTTGCTGCTTTCAAGATTACTTACTCAAAGGCAGAGTTTCTCAACCTTGGTCCTATTGACATTTGGGGCCAGATAATTCTTTGCTGTGGACAACTGTCCTGTGCTTTGTAGGATGTTTATCAGCATCTCTGGCCTCGACAGCAAAATAGCAATACCTACTTCCCTCAGTTGAGACAAACAAAAATGTCTCCAGACATTGTCACATGCCCCTAGAAGGCAAACCCATGCCAAGTTGAGAACCACAGCTCTACGGGGGAAAGAAGGGTTAAGGGGCCTTGCTTCTAAGGCTATTGTCTTAAGAAAGTGCCTTGGGCTTTGGGACAATATAGACATTGAGTGACCACTGAATGAATGGCACCCAAGGCAAGGAGCTGCCTTTAATGCATCCCTTAGAATTAGGAGACATTAAGGAGTAAGGAGGGGAGCAGTGCCCAGAATGGGGAAGGGGAGTCTTTTCATCCTGTTCAATGTCTGGCATTGCCAATACCTCCACCTGAGAGATATTAGAAGTTGCATGACTCAACATCACCTCTGGAGCTTTCTCAGAGCCTCATAAGAGACCTGGGCCTATCTAAAAACTACAGTATCTTAGAGCAGAACTTTTCATAGTTACTGGCTCATGTAGTGCTATGCCCTGGAGAGCTGCCTCAGGTGTGCCCAGGGCTTTATCACGTGGATTCCTTCCAGGAGGGAAAGAGCGGGGTTGATAGGGGTCAGGGGATGGGAGCTGTCATCTAGGATCAATGGCATTTTTCCCCCCTTAACAAACCTGAGGCAAAGGAAGGCTGGAGTGATAGTTCTCCAGGCATGTGGGGGAAACTGCCAAGTGATGGTTTCCTGACTTCAGTTATTTCCATACCTCTAACACTTTTCTACAAGTGAACCACTTACATTTTGATTTTTAAATAGACTTGTTTTTCTTAGTCTCTTCTTAAGCAATAACATTGACATTTCATGTGTGGATAGCTTGATAACTAATGCATATTAAAATGAATGAATACATGCTTTTTGAATAAAAATTATGATCTGAGTCCTATCTAGAATCATGTTGAAGACTACTAATGATGCATGTATTACATTTTGGGAAACATGATGTCAAGCAGACATCTGGAAAATGAGAATGGGAAAAGCCAGGGCTCAGTGATGCTGGTGGCTGTGGCAGGTGGCTGTGAGTGGAAGGGGTACAGAGCAGAGCAGATTAGGGCGTTAAGTGAACGTGAGCAGGGGATTGCTCCCTGTAGAAGAGGCCAGGTGAATACATGATCAGTATGAAGTGTCTCTGTATACATGTAGGCATGTTTGTCATTTATGTAGAGGGGTGAGCAAATCTGAAAAAAAAAAAAAAATTCTTGTATTGCATGGGAGCTTGGCCCTGTAAGATATCCTGTGCTTCTGAGATGCTGTGGATCATTCTGTGATGTTTGACGCTGGAAAATTGGTTTGCAATTTCTCAGACTCAATCAAGTATTCTTGTCTGCACTTTATGTGTGAGAAACTTCTGTTCTCAATGACGTCTCACTTATAATCAATACTGAACATGCTACAGTGTGTGTGGTCTCCTTCCTGAGCCTCCTCTCACAGTCAGATCCCTGAGCTATGAGGGATGTCCATGCTCCTTTTGCAAAGCAGAGTTAGTTGGTACCTGTACTTCTTTTCCTACTTTCAAGCACATGGTGGCCCAGAGACGTGTGTCTATATTTAAGCAGTCTGTTATTCTCACCTCTCTTTCCCATGCTTAGTGGCTTAGTGGCCTTGGAAGAGTATTTAAACTTGTGCTTAAAGTGCAGCTCATTGGGTTCCAGAAAACATATTAACATTTGTATTGGCAGGAAGAAAAGGCACCAGCCCCTAAAGGCAATTTCGTGGTCTTTTCCTCCATGTGGACTCTATTTTTCTTTTTCCTTAGCTTCTCCAGCCACTTTCCTGCTTACCACATTATTAATAACTGGAGCCATTCTGGCTTTTAACTGCTTCAATGTGTAGGGAAAAATTTTAAAATATAATATTCATTCATGAAGGAAATTTTAGCAGAACTATAGAACAGTATAAATTAAGAAATACAGAGATAAAAATGATCTCAATTTCTACTCATTGAAAATAACCTCTGTAAATGTGCAACAGAAATTCCTACAAGTAATAACTTTAAAAAAAATGAATTTGTCTACTCTGAAATGCTTTCGAAAGCTAAACAAATTTCACATAAATGGCCTCCATTTCTCAAGCATGACAAATATTGTTACAGGGGTTAATTGTGAACATACATTCAAAGGGAAGCATGGGGTTTACAGAAGTAGACCCCATCTGGTTATGAACTGCTCACAGCAGTCTTGGTTTAGTAAGTGACAGTGACACAAAGAGCTCTATTAAGCAGAAATTTGCATCACTTGAAGAAGAAATACATTCAATACAAGTGATATATAAATGATATTTTTACTGTGTACATTCTCTCTCTTTGCTTTTTTACAATCTAATTTGTTATAATTCATAATCTATCCCTTTAATACCAACTCTCTCTTGAGCTTCCCTCGGGTCCAGCTTTTACCTGAACACATCTGCTTAAGCACCTGAGTCAATGTGTCTAAAGCTGAATTAGTCATAGTTTCCTCTTCCTAGATTTTCCATGTCGGTGCAATGCAACTTCATCCACATGGTCAGCAAGACTGCAAACCTGGAGGTCACCCTCAACATCTTCATCCACCTTACTCACCTACCTAACCACCTACTGTGTTTCCCAGAAAATAAGACATATCCATAAAACAAGCCCTAGCAGGATTTCTAAGCATTTGTGCAATGTAAGCCCATCCCGAAAATAAGACCTAGTGGTGGACGTGGCTACGTATCTGTACAACCCATGCATTTCGTAGCAGAGCAGTAAAGAAGACAAGCAGCCCTTCTCATCTGCCCCATGAGAGCTCTGTTGCTCAACATGAAAGATTGGGGGCAATGGTTCTAAAGGAAATAGAGTTGCAAGAAATTCAGGATGGAATTCGGGGTCTGGAGAGTTATGATGATGTTCCAGAAGAAGACAACTTAACTATATTTGAATAAATGTAGATTGTTGTACTGTACTTAAAAAAAACAACACATCCCCTGAAAATAATCCCTAGGGTGTCTTCTTGAGGAAAAATAAATATAAGACCTTGTCTTATTTGGGGGGAAACACAGTATATTCAAATACTGAGTCTTAAGGCTTTTATGCATCTTAAAGTTCCTTGACATTTTTCTGAAAAGCCTTGGCTTATCTTTTGAGTCAACCACCTGTGCCAGGACCACATTTTCTCTCCTGAGTTATTAAAAAAGTGCTACAAGCACTTCCTGATTTGGGGCCTTACTCTCCTTCAACCCCTCCCCTCCACACCAGAATGATCTTTCTAAAATGTACATGGATCATGTCATTTTCCTGCTTACAATCCTTTACTGTCTCCATGTTGGTATCAGGACATGTTTCAGGGCACAGCACAGAAGTCTGTGATCTTGGATGCTGCATGCTGTTTTCTACCTCTGTGCCCTCCCCACACACCTTACCTGGTTAACCCCCACCCATTCTTCGGGTCTCTGCCAGGGAGAGCCCTGAACCCACCTGCATTCCCCAGCTCACATCAAGCCTTTCTGAGCTTTCTTGATGGACTTGACTTTTCTTTTATCACATTTGCTTCCAATTATGTCACTTGTATGAATATCTGCTTAATGCCTGCTTGTTCCAGGTAGTTTAAAATTCTTGAGGGTGCAGATAATGTTTGCTTACTATTACGCCTCAAATCCAGTATGTACCTGGCACAGGTACCTACAATTGCTCAATGAATAATTGCTAAATGAATAAATGAGTTTATATTTTTTCTTTCTTTGCTGGTAAACTCATGCCCACTCACTAAAATTCATCTGAAGTATCCTTTCCTCATAGATTTAATCTCTAACATAGACCTATGCCCACCTCTGACTCTACCCCACGATGCCCCTGATTTGTTGCCTTTCTCTACCTTTTGAAAGCCCTGTGTATGTTGCTATTATAGCGTTAGAGTTTTGTTGCAAGTTTTGATTTCTTTTGTTTCTTCAGCTAGAGTTGGAGCTCCTGAAGCAGAAATTTTATGTTTAAATCCCTGGTTTGCAACACTATCTCTAACCCAGAGTAGATGCTTAAGTTCTTCCTTGCCCCATGGACACCTGAGTCCCATATAAAACATCCTCACCAGGTAATCCAGCTTCTACTCTGAAGAGGAGATCACAATACCTTCTTAATCATCAGATGGAAAGTTCTTCCTCATTTGGACCAGGAAACTATTTTCTTAGAGCTTCTAACCATTTGTTCTTAGTCCTATCCCTTGGGGATATAGGATCAGGAAAACCATAGCAAGAAGGGGAGCAGTCACCAGAGGCCAGAGCCAGAAGATTATGGGTTCTAAAATAGTTGAAGACGAGTCAAGATAAGCCAAAATTCCAGTGCAGCTATGGCACTTTTGCTTCTTTCTGTAGTTTCAGTTACAAATCACAAAAGATAATCTCACAAGTTGTTTCACATTACTAGAAAATAACATGACAGATAGCAGTAGTCAAAGCTAGATGCTGGCTCTTTGTAGATAATCTAGCAGAAATAGTTCTTAGAAAAAGAAGTTGGTACAGGACTAGTTTGTACAGGATTGGTCTTGGATCTGGTTTAAACACCTCTCCTTTAAAAACTCTATTCCAACTGTTGCACTATCCAAATAATAATTGTTTTTCTCTGTGTAGTCTTTGAATGCTGATGAGAACAGTTTGTACCCCACAATTTTATGATCAGTCAAATATCATACAATTTTTAAATGCTATTTTGTCTCAATATTGGCTCTGCCTCACCACCTAGAATATTCATATACACTAAAACCAAAGATGTATATACTACTGTTTTATTAAAAGATTATTATTGTTTTACTTCCCCATTTCACACAGTACTCATTGCATTCAGCATTCTTCTAAAGATTTGCATGCAGTTAATGGGTGTTTGGTGACAAGAACAGAGCATGGGACTAGTCCTTGAGAAACCTAAACTTCAGGGCGGGCCCTCACATCCTGAGAAGAAAGTGTCCAGTTGTGGTTCTGAAGCCCGGAGTTCTAGCAGGATGGACGGGCGGTGGTTAGAATGTTCGTGCACCTGGGGATACTGGCCGGCAAGCCCCAGCTCCCACTGTCAAGGGAAGAAGGGGAAGAAGCATGTTGTGATGGACTGTCAGGAACAGCTGCTGCTGCACCGTGACGGTGCCCTGCAAAGACTGGCAGGTGAGGAGGCAGACTGTGCTAGGAAGGAGGGAAAAGAAAGTGATTAAGACACAGCCTGTGACCTTAACCACTTTGGTTCCAGCGTGGACTACAGTCGACAGCCACAGATGAACGCGAGCGTCAACTTTAGCCAACAGCTGTGATATGAAGGCGCACAGCCGAGCGTCAACTTCAGTGGACAGCCAAAAGCTTTTACTTTTATCTCTGCAGTTGCAGCTTGTACGTTCAGCTAATAAGTTACTATGAATCTGTGACCTTTTAACAAGTCCTTAGTAAGAGTTATTATAGTTATTTTCCTAAAGCTGCCAGTAAAGTAAAACAAGCTTTCAGTGCTTTGAAGCTTTCCTTGTCACACAAGAGCAAAACGGATTCACCGTCAATGCACAGCACAGACTATCGTGCGGACTATGAGTGCCGGCTGTGGGCAAGGTTTTGCGGCCGGTGAGCGCCATACTGAAGTGGTTTTAAGAAGATCAAATCCAGTAAGGGAGACAAGTACTCACATAGTCACATGTTATTATGGGAGGGAAAATCTAGAGCTTTTAGAATCAAGAAATTGGCATTGCTTCCTGGAGAAAAGGATGAAAAAGGACAGAGAAATGCAGAGGGCCCAGAGAAACCTAGGCAAATCAAGTGCATGTTCATTAGCTGCAACCGTGACCTTGTACACTGGGAAGATCTGCAGATAAGGCCCTGCCCATCACACGTATCAGATGCCTCAAGTTCTGCAATAAGCACACCGTGACATGAAATGCCTTCATCGTCAGAGGGCTAAACAGGTGCATTTCTTCATATGTGTGTAGAAGGAGGCTTGGTGGAAGGTGGTAGAGACCAAGCAAGCTGAGGAGGCTATCCCCAAGGAGTGGAGTGCCCGTGTGGGGCAGGGAGTGCCTTGTGTGGGGCATCAGAACCCACGCTGAGCTGAGGAGGGTTCTGACATCGGTGGTTTCCTGCCTGACACAGGGAGTCAGAATTTGAGCAGAGGGAGGAGCCATGACAGACCTGTGCTTACATGCAAAGGGACTGATCAAATACGTAAGTCTCTTAAGGATAACAGTAGCCAGGTTTCTCAGGATTGGACAAGGAAGTTGCCAATATGGAAAGGGAAAACACTAGAGCACAAGAAGGAACCTTATAATATTGGATTGGAACTGGAATGATGAGAGTGAACTCATTGCTTCTCAATATGCACAGACATGGAATTGAAGACACATATAAATGTGTGCATGTTTGTGTATGTATTTATGTGTGTATATTCTCTTGCTCTGTCCACTGTGATGCTTGAGAGTACTGTCACCCCAAAAGCACAGATCTAATGCCCATGTCTTGTTTTCTAAATATCATTGTCCACTAAAAGGAATCAGTTCTCTTTGGAGAAAGAGCAGGTGACAGACGGAGTCATGAAAAGCCTGTGATACCTTCTTGTGCCATAAAGCAAGGAAGTGCTCTAAGAATGATGGGAACTCTGACAGGAAGGAGGATGGAAGAAGGGAAACAATTCTTCGATTCTCGTATCTCCTCCAGACAATGCTTGACACACATTGGAAAAATAGTATTCTATATCCTTTAAAATAAAAATTAATATTGGAAGCTCACGTCATGTTAGGCAAATTTATTTTTATCAGTTACATTCCAGCCTTATGGAATGAGACCATGCCCTGATTTCTGTAAAGCCACCAATACAAATACACCAATACCAACCATGCCACAGTAGAAACACAATGGTTGTGTTTAATGGTTAGGCCTACCCGTTATGTGTGGTCTCTTACTGTTTTCCATTTCATTCATCTGTACATTGATTGATTAGCAAGCATATGTTGAGTTCCTGCGTCCTGTGGAGTGTTTTGGTGGCGGCTGGGGACACTGGATGGTTCTGGCCCAGCAGCCTAGTGAACATCTGGGAGGACGTCTACCCTGATGGACTCCCACAGTTTTAGAGTTGGTCAGAGGGTTGGAGATAATTATTTAAGCCTCTCCCTACATACAGTTTTCATGCATGAGGAAATAAAAAGGCACATAATAACCAATTACCTTTTAACCTTCCCAAAGCATATGTTCTCCAAACTAGATGCTATATGTAAACACAATAAACACATCTTATTGCTCCTATAAGCCTAGAAGCATTGCAAGGACGAGAACATTATTCACAAATGCTTGTGGAACAAATTAAAATAGCCCATATGCTCCACGAGAGTCTGTTTTACTCACTTCTCTGTTCCTAGACCTTGAACAGTGCCTGAAGCATAGTTGAGTGTTCAACAAATACTTATTGAATAAATTTTAAAAAGAGATATCCTAAGTGAGTGTATATATTGAGTTGGTGGTCATTGGGGTGTTTTGCCAGTAGGCAATAGTTACAGTTGTTAAGCCTTTTATTTGGGGTTCAAATGCCTGCTTTCCCTCTGCAGTCCCCAGCCTTACACCTTCCCGCCCCAGCCCTTTCTGTTAATATCTCTCTGCACTCCCAGTGCTGGGTCAGGGTCAGACGACTGAGATGAGGGTAATGTGCCTCTTTGGCCTCTAGGGGGAGCTGTGACTTTACTAAAATTCCCGAGGCAGGTGGAGGAGAAGAGAGAGAGGGAGGGAGGGAGAGACTAAGGAAGGAGTAAAATGCCCTGGCATCAGGACTCGCTCCTTGTTCTAGCTGAGAGATGGTGTGCGGACAACTCAAAGACCCTAAAGTCCATTCCACGCGGACCGTTCCCAGCCCGCGGAGCACTGTCTCTGCAGTGCCTCTGGCTCGCACCCTTAGGGGTCTTTCATTATTCAGGGCAATTTCCTTGGTGTGTGTCACTCCATATTCAGGTCCGTACCCCAAGTGGCTGAGATGCTCATGGGGGGAAATGGTGCACAGTACTCCCCTTGTGTCCTGCTCAGCACCCACTGAGGGGTACTCCTCCTAGTTAGTGTTAAATCAGTGTGTCCTAAATTGATGCACAGCTGCTCCAGGGAAGGGCTCCCGTGGGCTGGGCAAGGCGGCCCTCTGAGTTCATCAGGATGAGGGAGGGGGAGCCGGAGTGGGCCTGCCCTGGGTCACGAGGGGCAGCGGGAGGGCACCTGCCCAAAGGGAAGGAGTCTGCTGTGAGGGGAGGAGGGTGCCACAGGCAGAGAAAAGAAGCAGAGACCCGGTTGTGTGCTGCAGGGGCAGCAGCTGCTAGCACAAAAGCAACTGTCTGAGGAACCTACCCAGGCACACTGGGCCCCAATAAGCTAGCCCCAACCCCCAAACCCCCTCTTGAGGTGCCAGTGCAGAGCAAGAAAGGGAAAGAGGAAGTGTGAACAGCAGACACTAGCAGGAGCAGAGACTTCCTGAGCAAACCGTCTCCCAGAACCAGCGAAACGAACCCGGAAGACCAGGAACCTGAGCAGGGAGACACCAGGTCCCATCCTGCGTGACGCTGCCATGGACTCCAGGCTCATCTTCTGTGTGGTCCTTTGCCTCCTGGGAGAAGGTGAGTCCTGGGCACAGGTGGGACATCTCTGTCCTTGGACTTTTAGATTTTTTTTTTTTCATGGAATTGCCTCGTAAGACTGAGTCTGAGTCTGGGCTGAGTCTAAATTAGGCTTCTTCCTCCCACAGGCCCTGTGGACACTGGAATTACCCAGACACCAAAATACCTGGTCGCTGTGGTGGGGAGTAAAAGGAGCCTGACATGTGAACAACATCTGGGTCACAATTCCATGTATTGGTACAGACAGGATGCTGAGAAGTCGCCGAAGCTCATGTTCTTCTACAACTATAAGGAGCTCATTGAAAATGGGACTGTTCCTATTCGCTTCACACCTGACTATCCGGATAGTTCTCACTTGTACCTTCACGTGGACGCCCTGGAACCGCATGACACAGCCATGTATCTCTGTGCCAGCAGCAAAGGCACAGCCTTGCAGAGCCACTTCCTCCCTGTGCACAAACCTCCTGGGTCTAGCCGTGAGGCTATGAGGGCAATGTGTCCACTGGAGCCCTGAGACTTGGTGCGGCAGGAGCTGACAGAAATCTCAGGCTGCAATACCACCTGGCAATTCGCTGGCCAAACCAACGCCAAATTCCAGGCCCAGCCACCAGCAGCCTGTGACCTGGCTTTGTCCTGAACGAGACTGTGCCTGTAATTGCATACAGTGCAGGTGCTCTCAGGTTCAAGCTGTTCCAAGTTTCTTCCCATTGGCTTGTGCCCCTGGGAATCTTTTGTGAATCACTTAACACTCAAGCCAGGTCACTCCCCCTTCAAATATAGACCTTCTTCTAACTTCTTTTTCCACCCAAGTTAGACTCTGGGTGTCCGCCCTCATTCCAGCTTCAAATATGCTCAGACCTTTTTTTTTTTTTTTTTTTTCCTTTTTTTCTTTGAGACAGAGTCTGGCTTTGTTGCCCAGGCTAGAGTGAGTGCCATGGCATCAGCCTAGCTCACGGCAACCTCAATCTCCTGGGCTCAAGCCATCCTTCTGCCTCAGCCTCCCGAGTAGCTGGGACTACAGGCATGCGCCACCGTGCCCGGCTAATTTTTTCCTATATATATTAGTTGGCCAAATTACTTTCTTTCTATTTATAGTAGAGACGGGGTCTCGCTCTTGCTCAGGCTGGTTTTGAACTCCTGACCTCGAGCAATCCGCCCGCCTCAGCCTCTCAGAGTGCTAGGATTGCAGGCATGAGCCACCACGCCCGGCCTCCTCAGACCTTTTTTAAAAACACCTCTGCCCCTTCTCAAGTGGCTCTGTCAGCGCCTGTCCCTGAGGACAAGAGTCCCCGAGCAGTTTGGATTGCTGCTCTGCAGTTCATGCTCCCTGCCGCACACGCGAAGTCTCAGCTTCTCACTGGCTTCTGTCTTCCACTGGGGCTTTGACACTCTCATGCTTGATTCTTTTCCCTTCTGTGTCTTCAGTCCTAATGCCACGTCTTCGCGTGATCCACTATGAGCTGTAGAGTCTGATGCCCCTGGACTATTGCTCATAACAAGCAATGAAAGAAGACGACCTCCTGACATTCCTGGCCAGGCCTTAGTACTTGGGGTTATCTTTGCTGTGCCCCGTATTTTCCCTGCTTGCAACTGGTAATGTACCCCCCCCCCCATCTTGCACACACCCTCGGCGTTGAGCAGGGCCCTGAGCCCTGGGTGGTCAGGTGTCTGCATGGGCACAAAGGCTCCCTCCTGTCTCCTGTAGAGGGTGCTCCAGGGACAGTGGGTGTTGCCAGAGACACCAGTCATTCCTCCAGACCTCGCCTATGTGACACGGGGGCACAGAATGCCCCTCCTCTGTTTCTGATAACCCAAGGTGTGAGCCAGGGGAGGCTTCATTCCTGTGACCCTGCCATGAAAATCTGGCTTCTGTGCTGGACGATGTTTGCTCTCCTGCATGCAGGTGGACTCACAGGGCTCTAGGAAATTCTCATCTCAGACTTAACCGAGACAGTTTGAAACCATCCTCTTAATATTCTTTCTTTTCCCACAGGACACACAGAACCTGGAGTCATCCAGACCCCCAGCCATCAGGTCACAAAGAAGGGGCAGGAAGTGATCTTGAGATGTGACCCCATTTCTGGTCACTTATACTTCTATTGGTACCGACAGATTTCAGGACAGAAACTGGAGTTTCTGGTTTCTTTCTATAATGACAACATCTCAGAGAAGTCTGAACTATTCACGGACCAATTCTCACTTAAAAGGCCAAAAGGATCATATTTGGCTCTGAAGATACAGTCCACGGAGCTGGAAGACTCAGCCATGTACTTCTGTGCCAGCAGCAAAGCCACAGCCTTGCAAAGTCACCTCCAGCCTGTGCACAAACCCTCACGGGCTGCCTCTCTCCCAGCTACTGGCACCCTTTCCTGCCCAAGAGAAGGAATCCTGGTCAGGCCTGTTGTTGCAACTGTCTCCAAATAGACACATATCTGAAATTTAATTCAAGGTAGGATGTCATGGGCAGAAATGGCCAGAGGCCATGGGATATGTAGAATTTTTATAGATACCAAAAGGTGTGACCGTGGGCCCCAAAGATGGGAGAATAGTTGCCCAGGAAGTGACAAAGTGACCTGTCTTCTCCTTATTCCCATTCTGCTATTGTTGTTGGATTTTTTGTTTGTTTTAATTGTTTGGGGGAAAAAATAACTCATAGGATGGAGAGATGATTACTGAGTGGAGGCTCAGGTGTTTACATGAGAGTATGGAGGATCCCCATGGAAATCTTCACAATGACAAGGGGCTCGGTCCACGGCCATAAATAACAGAGAGTCTTGCCCAGCACGTGGTCAAGACCAGAACGCCGTGATGACCCTGTCAGCCTGGTGTGATGCATTTGGGATCATGATGTTAGCCCACATGAGAATGAGCTAAGACAATGAGCTTGTGGGCCAGGGCACCATCTCACCGGGATGTCCGGGTCTTGGGTCTTACATGAACAGAGTGACCAAGAGTCTGTCTCACTTGGCCTCCTGCCAGCAGCCAGATGCTAGGACAGGGACGAAGATTCTTCACCACTGCTGCTGCCCCTACCACTGTCATGGCAGAGCACCATGGTCACCACAGGTGTGCCAGGGGCTCAGGCAGTTGTCCTCTTCCGTAACTGCTCCAAGGGAAACACCAGAGACAGTCTGAGCTGGGATCAGAGGGCGATGAATTAGAGCTGAGTTGTACTGATTCAGAACCCTTCCCCCAGGTATGGCTCATAGTCCAAGAGCACAAAGGAGCCCACGGAGCTTCATAATTGCAGGGGCATCCTCCCATGTGGTGTGGGGACACAGGGCATTTATCTTGAACAAAACCGAAGAGGGGCAATTTTTCCCTGACCCACACCCTCCATCCAACCCAGGCACGGCAGTGGGACTGGAGCACTGTGAGGGTAAGACGGGTGGGCGTGTGCCTGGGGGGCAGGCAGGGTGCCCTGCAGGGCTGCGGTGCTGGGGGGGGCGACTCAGGGGGCTGCATGTTAAGTTTTCCCAGATGAAGCATCTTACATCACCTCGGCTTCCTCCTCCACAACGATGATGTCCCCCTCCCAAGGGACAGAGCAGAGAGGGACCCTGTTGTATTTCCAGCTGGCCTCTGTTTGGGTCTGTTTCTTTTGTCTCTTCTCTTTCCTTGGTTTTTGGTCATGAGATCTTGTTTCCTCACACAATCCATAATTCATTTAAATGCTGGATAGCGTACATGAAATATTATGAAGATAATTTAAGAATATGAATGATTTCATCCTTCTTGGAAAGGATTCATTTCTGCTTCTGCTAGAAAACCGTAGCAGGCGCAGGTCGCCTTAAGTTATTTGATGATTGAGCTCAACTGGAACTGGGCTTCAGCCTTTGTGATGGCCATTCACTTTTGCTCATAAGTTGTAGCCATTTGAGTAACAAACTAAATGTCTAGAGTATTTTTAACTTTTTTATACAAGTATAATTTACATAAGATAATATTTTCCCATTTTTAAGTCTGCAATCCAATGAGTTTAATAAACTTATGGGGTCATGCAGCTACCACTATGATCCAGTTCTAAACATCTCCATTCCTTCCTCCCCCTGAAAGGTCCTTTGTGCTAATTTCAGCCAACCTCTGTTCCTACTTCCACCCCAAGGCCTGGGGTCTTTGCCAGGGTCCTCATCTAGTCAGTAGTCACTGAACATAGATGTTCTCCAGATCAGAAAGGTGACAGATTCTATGCAAAGTCACTCACCTCTCAGTCTTCTCTTTCTTCTCAGCTACTTAGGTGGTGATGTTAAATCAGTAAATGACATTAAGGGAAAGGTGTTCTTCTAGATTAATCTTTACTCTTTGAGACGTCCATCTCTTAAGTCCTGACTGCCTCAGTAGTTCCAAATGACTTAAAACTTATATCTTTTATGTTTTGATGGGCTTTCCTCGATAGTTGTGGTGGGAAATGTTGTTCTTTAGCACTCCAGTCTGCTAACTCTGAAAGACAGTTTTTATATTTTTTAAAGGTAGGGTGCATTTGAATATGTTTGCATTTTGGGTAGAAGCAGCCAGAAGAGAGGGAGGAGTGAAGCCCTTCCACCCTCCCACCCATGTTCCTACTTGTAAGCCCTCTACCGCCCCACTGGCTTTGGGCCCCTGCAGGACTGACTCTTGGCATGTTTGACCCTTTAGCCACAAGGAGGAGCTGTGACTCTACTGAGTGAGACTCAGGGGCCCCTGAGGAAGGTCTGAGAGAATTCTCTGGATGGGAGAGGGTTAAGAGCAAGATTGGGTTTATTTGCAGTGTGGGAACATGTGGTCTGCAGAGGCTGTGAGTCAGTGCTGAAATGTGAGGGGTTAATACAGACTACTCACCTTGCATGGATGTGCAGGTGTGTTTGTCCCAGCAAGGAGCCTGGACTACCAGGCTTGTTGCCTGCCAGTCTGCAGGGGACTAGAGAGGAGGAGGGTTGGAGTTGGGCAGGGTGAGAGCCCACAAGCAGATGCAGGTAGAGGACCCCTTCCTGAGCGGAATGAGAGAGGCTCTGGGGCTGGGCCTGTGCTCCAGCTCTGCCCAGTCCAGTGGAGCCCTGCCTTGCAGTGAGCTCCTGGGCCCAGGCAGAGCCTGACTGGCCAGGGTTCCTTGGGGATGGTGCAGAGATAGCAATGACCATGGGAAATCCATGATCAGGCCGGAGGAGACCTAGAGCCTAATCTTCTCACCCCAGAATCTTAGGGAATTGAGCTGGAAAGGATTTTGTGTTTGTTTGTTTCTTGTCCATCTTCTTGATGGTTCTGTGTATTCTTGGAGCAGGAATGTCCCAGCTACGACAGGAAACCACTCCTCTGGGTTTGAGCAAATGTTTCTATCAAAACAGCAGCAACAGATTCCCTTATGGACTCTGTCTCCAACTTCTGTCTCTATCTGCAAAGACACACAGATGCTAGAATTGTCCAGATGTCAAAACATCCAATGATGCCCAAACACCTAGAGATTGAAAAGGACGTGGCATTGACAGACATGTAGGATACACTCCTGAAACATGACTTCTCACTTTCTTTTCCCTAGAGGCTCCAGTTGCACCTTTAATAAAA